TAATTATTGTATACTAAATATAAAAATCCAATTTATTTATATCTTATAATCACATGAGTCTTTTGCACTTCGTTAAATTTGTCTTAATTAATATTTATAATTATTGTTTGTTATATAATAAAATTATTTAATACATATAATTAATATAATTTTAAAAAACTTATGTAATTAATATTTGTTTCAAGTAGGTAATAAATAATTGTAATTGATTTATTTTGGACAAATGTATAGATTAAATTGTACTTGCATTTACTACTGGCAAATAAATGGCATAATAAAAAATGAGCTTTTAGAAAAAATTATGAGAAAATAATAGCCTGTTATTTTATTAATAATTCAAACTATATTAAATACGTTATTATTATTATCATACAGAAGCACTTGGTACAGACAGTGGATTCAACGAGCTGAGCGATGAATCTAAATCAGCTTCCATATCTCCCGCAACCACAAATTTAATATCACCATCATCGAGGGTTGACTCCACCAGTAACGACACCGGTTGCCCGTAAGTTTCATTTTTAACCGCGTGCATATGTGTACGAAATAAAAAGTATTACTATTTTCTTAAAAAGTAAATTTTTTTCATGTGTCATACTCTATCCCGATACATTTTGATATAAAGTAATAAGATGTCTCTTAAAACATTTTTCTGTCTAAAATATTTACCAAAAATAATTGGAGAATCTTGGAGAAACTTTTTTAAAATTTTGTATTTTCTTATGTCATTTCAGGATTGATACCGCTGATGAGAAGGATGAGATATCCTCCACTGTCTCAAACCTGTCGGATTTATCAGGATTGTCCGATCTCTCTGGAGAAGCCGAAATCAGTCATCAGTGGAGAAATGCTTCTTCTTGGATTCAAAAGCAGATGTTGACGGGCGCGGATCCCAGGGATCTCCTACACCACCTCCTAATGGACTCCACACAGATTCCTGAGCAAGTTGACGATCTCACATTATGGAAGGTATAAATACATGACGTTTGTCAGATCTACAATATTTTTAAGATTTAAGGCAAAGAAGGTTGTTCCGTAAGTGTAACATTCGCAATTGTGTTGATTTTCAGATCATAATCAACATGATGTCCGAACCTCCGAGACGGCAAAAGCTCAAACACATAAATACCTTGTCTGATGTGGTACGATTAATTCGCAATAGCAAGAAGATTATAGTATTGACCGGCGCGGGTGTTAGTGTCAGCTGTGGTATTCCTGATTTTAGAAGTAGAGATGGTATTTATTCAAGACTAGCGCAGGATTTTCCCGACTTACCGGACCCACAGGTACTTCATTCGGCTTTATAATTATTTGAATTAGCGGCTTGTAGTTAATATCCTTTTTAACTCTTTTAACGTCTTGACAAGGTATTACAATTATTAAGTATTTGTCTAATTTATATTTTTTAATTTATTTTTTAGGCTATGTTCGACATTAATTATTTTAGTCAGGATCCCAGGCCATTCTACAAATTTGCGCGCGAGATATATCCAGGACAATTTAAACCTAGTCCCTGTCACAGGTTCATCAAAATGTTAGACAAGCAGAAGAAGCTCTTGAGGAATTACTCACAAAATATTGACACCTTGGAGCAGGTTGCCGGTATTGAAAATGTGATTGAATGCCATGGTAAGTTTATATTATACGTTTATTACATAAAAAGCATTTAGATGACATTTTATATAGATTTTTTAATATACTAACATTTGTGTATAAAGTCTATTTATTTGTTCATTAATGAATATACTTTACATAATTTAGTAACAAAGTTATATTTTTAAAAACTGTTATTTGTAATAAGGCGTTGCACGTGTTTAAACTTTTTTCAATATAATACAGTATAATAAAGATATTTTAATATTTATATTTCTTGTATTAATCTAAATTTATAATACGCATTTGCAAAAATTTCAAATGTTATATTTTGTTAAGACATTGGCAAGATTATGCAATTTAACGTGCAAGCTCATGCAAAATCGTAGTTATATACAGTTACAGTTTTTTAATTAGGAATGTTTGGTGTAAAACTCGGGGCAGATGGCGCCATGGCGTCTAGTCCTGTCATGGCGGCGTCACCAACACTAACTCAATATACATGTATGTGTTGGTGTATCTGTGAGCACATCCGTGAGATCTGTAATGTTTACACGATATTTCGACATTTCGATATTTCGATATTTCGACATTTTTGATGAATCGAACTAGCCGCGAAGTATCACAGATAAGCTCACGCATACATCAATACATATATGTATATTGAGTTAGTGTTGGTGACGCCGCCATGACAGGACTAGACGCCATGGCGCCATCTGCCCCGAGTTTTACACCAAACATTCCTAATTACATCCGAATGTTATCTGTTAAAGGCTCCTTCGCCACCGCGTCTTGCACAAGATGTAAATATCAAGTCAGAGCGAACGACATCAGGGAGAATATCTTCGCACAAAGGATACCCACGTGCCCGAAATGCCGTGTCAACGCGTTGCCCTCCCTATCCGAGGTGAATTGCAGCGAGAACTACAGAGGTAAATAGAGCGACTTCTTTTCACGTATATCCTTGCTGATAGTGTATTTATTTGCAGTCTTTCGTAATGGCTTATCAATTTCAATGTGATACGGAAGGTTGACTATCATTAATGATAGTTTTCCGTTATTAGCCTTTACTATAATGTCGCGAGTCGATGGCCAATGACAGAACGTTATCTACTCTTCTCGGAATGTGTCTCGAACTAAATGAAGTTACTGATCCAAGACATAAGTTGATACATCAATTGTAACTGCGAATAAAAGTCTCGCATGTTAATAAGCGCATAAAGGTAAACTTATAAGATTGCACCCACCTGTGTGAGTGCCGTGTTTCGGGGCTATATCGGAGCAACGGCTTGTCGTTTATTGTCCTTGATAGTTTTCCTCAATTCGACAGTGCTACGACTGCGTACGATTGAGCGGAACGTATAAAATGCCATTTCAAATAATTTTGTTTGATTTAGATTAATTAAAATTGCTGTTAATTCAATTTAATTGAACACCCTCTCGTATAATTCTCAGATCTGGTGTCGCAAGGCATAATGAAGCCAGATATCGTCTTCTTCGGCGAAGGGCTCCCAGATGCTTTCCATGATGCGATGGCCAAAGACAAGGACGATTGCGATCTTCTAATCGTTATCGGATCGTCCTTGAAGGTTCGGCCGGTAGCCCTAATTCCTTCATCCATTCCGTCGCATGTACCGCAGATCCTTATTAATCGAGAACCATTACCACATCTCAAGTTCGACGTCGAGCTACTGGGAGATGGTGACATTATTATAAATCAAATATGCCATTTGTAAGTAAAAAGTTTAATCTTTTGTATGGAAGCTTTGTAAATTAAATATTAATTATTACTTAATTTTAATATTATTATTAATTAAATATTAAAAAATTAAATATATCTTAGTGTTATTTAATTTTTTTATATTGAAATATATGTGCACTAAAAATATGTATATAATAAATAAATAAATGTTACTTAATCAACTCAATGCAATAATCAATTTAATCCAATGATTGTTTTAATTACAATAAATATTTTATTATATTATATTATAAAATTTCGATTTATTGGCATTGTGCAGAATGGGCGATACTTACAAAGAAGTCTGTTGGTACGACAAAATTCTGAAGGAAGTCTCGCAACTCCTACCATTGCGGTGTCTGTCCGACGACACGTGGGAACAGAGTCAAGACACGACAAGTAACACCGAAGTGTCGCGCGATAGCGTAGAAGTTGATTTGAAACCTCATATTGTATCCTCGACAGAAAGTCAGGATAGCCTCTCAATCACCGCGAATGCGATGCCACAGCATGCAGATGACATCAATGTCTGCGTATCATCTTTGCACGCTGATCATGTCCAGGTGGAAAACCCAGAAAAGAGCTTCAAACTTTTAGGGGAAAGTCCTAAAAGACGATCGGGTGACACTAGTATAGAGAATAGTCCCAAGAGGATGAATTTCGGTAGCACGCATGAGACGGGAGTTGTGAGTTCCACGTCGCCAGCGAATACCGAATGCACAATGATGGCGTCAGAAAACGAGTTTAACGTTACGTCAGCAAAATCGACATTTGAAAACAATTCGGAAGAATGTCAGGTGGTGCCGACAATATTGTCCCTTTCCTCAGAAGCTATAATAAGCGAAAACACTCTGGAGTCTCACAAGTCGCTGAATAAACGTGGACAATCGAACAAGTATGACGACGCCGCAAATCTAGACGCCGCCGAGTCGGATAAAACGATACCGAAACCGAGGCAAGCATCAGTAGACTCCGTATTGGATTCCGGCATAGGCGACAGTTGTAACAGCATCGATAGCACAGAAGAAAAGTTCGATATAGCCGAATTGAAGAACAGAAGATTGGAGAGACACTGCTGGCAACCAAAGATTCGGGAGAGCCTCGCTTCTAGACTACCAGGTACAAATCTGCTATTTTGCATACGACAATTAATACTTTGGCATTTTTGTGAATGATACAAGTGTTAATACGGTTGCGATTGTTTTTACAGAAAATTCCTACTATCAGTTGGCACCGGGCAGGTACATTTTCCCTGGCGCGGAGGTCTATTCCGAGCCTGAGCCGTACGATCAATGTTCCCTCTCGGCAAACTCCGAGAGCACAGATAGCGACAGCGATTCCTCTTCCGGAGAAGAAGAAGAAGACGAAGAGGAAGAGACATGTAAGTTTCGAGTTTATTATTGAGTTAACTTAATTTAATTCTTAAATTTATATGTCGCCCATTTTGTGACCAATATATCTTATTTTATTTAATTATTTCATGTTTTTCTATGTTATGTTTTTCAGGCGCGGACGATGATCTGTCAGAGGACGCGAACGTCGACGCTGATGCTAACGGTCAGAACAACGAGAGCAAAGTGGGCGAGTAAGTCTTATACTGCTATGCAGCATCGAAGAATTGCAATTGCGTTGCGGACATAGCGAATAATTTAGTTATTATATCGATAAATCAGGATTAGTTGCGATCATTTGTGTACAGTGATAAGTAAACGGTGCAATTTTTACGGTTTAGTTACGAATCAAAATGATTCATTACTAAATATGCATAATATATATTGATATATTAAATTATTACGAATTAATCCTCAATTATTTTAAAAGCTGTGGAAAACAAGACTTTATTCGCATAATGGTCCAATTGCACTTTAATCCTATTATTTTCTACATATTCAAGTTTTACGAGCCTATTTTAATAATGATTCTTGAAGAGAATATTTTATCAGATCAATATTAAAATATATGCAGCACATTTTCTAAGTCGAAATATTAAGTTATTATACATATATATCTTTCAATATTTCTTACGTATATATCTTTCAATAAGTTTGAAATTATATTGAAAAAAAAAGAGAGAAAGGGAAATAGCAGTTACTTAAAAAGATATAGTGTGAATAAAGTCTGTTTGAAATTGGTCGTCAAGCTTGGGGAGCTTGGGAGTTTTGGAACCACGTTGCTTCTTTGCTTCTTCAATGATTCCTTTTTGTCAATGTAACTCTGCTTTTATAGGTTTTGTCAGTGGCTGAATCTGTTTTAAGGTTGCTTGTGTTTTAGATCTTTTCGGTAGATCTTTCGGTCGGGCCCCGCCGACGGATGTCGATCCTGCGTTGGAGCTCGATGGTCCACTTGTCGCTTGAGACGTGCCCACCCTTATATTGCCACCCTTATATTGCCCACCCTTATATTGAGACGTGCCTCACCCTTATATTGCCACTTAATTCTTGCATCTTATTAAGAAATATTCCTCGTTCTTCATCTTTCTCTTTTTTTAATATTGTCAACTCTTGACTCTTGACTGTCAATTGTTGACAGCTCATATATGAGATTCCTTCACATTAAACGTTGAGGAAAATCTCTTTTATTTTTAGTGAACGTGTCATCATTGTATCACGTATTTGTGAAGTCATCATGACTTTGATATTAACATGTACTCACGTATAGATTTGTATCAAACATGTTGGATATTTAAAAATCAAATTGCTCTGTGTTTCATACGTCGCTTGAGACGTGCCGCTGCCGCTGGCAGCCTCGGTGACCTCGGTTATATTCCAAACTGCATCCCCCGCACGAGTGGGGCTCGTGCGGAGAAACTGGGCTATCTTTCGGAGGAGACATTGTGCACATTATGCGAGTATAAATTATGTTTTCAAGCAGCTGATGTTGCTAAACAGCCGCGAGATAATGATTGAGGCTTGAGTCGGTTATTTTTTTGTTTCGTAACTGTCGAGGATAGAACCGTAAGTTTAAGTCCCGACAAGTAGTGTGAAAGAATACACATTTTGATAGCATTAATTCACATGTATATATGATCGAGAGTCATTGGCTACAAATTAGGTATTTAATACAAATGTTAATGTAGAGTTACTTTAGACAATTGCGGGATGTTGAGTTATGCATTTTTACAGATTTTACAGATACACTCGGTTTTTTCAAGACATCGAGATTTCAATGATAACGTATAAGAAACCTTTACAGTTTACACAAAGATTTCATTTACGGGAACGTGGCGATGTGTGCAAAGTACACGCACACGCAACATGTTTAGAGTTAAAATGTGTTTTTTTTTATATTTTACTTTTAGGCAGCACAAATCGAGGGATCTATCTATATTTACACACATTTCCACATTTTCTTTCGTTTTCTTTCCTTTTGTTATGGTAACTTCGCGACGCTCATGATGATGTATGTAAGATATTGTTACTATTGTATATGCAAAAGGATTCTAGATTCACATTTTAATAGCACAACTGATAGTCGTTCACCATTTTCACGATCTACACGAGGATTATAAGAAAACGATCGAGATTGCTTTTAGCTTACCGCACTCTTATCAGTAATTATTTCTTCTCTACCACAAATAATCTATTTAATCTACTTCGTATGTGTAAAATGTATATAATGGAATTTCAGCACGACTTTCCTTGTCGCAAACGACAAAGTTGAGTGCAAGCAACGTTAGAAGAAATTCTGTTTTAATTAAGCAATGATGTGTGTAAATATGAGATTAATCGTAAAACGTAATTAACACGGAATGATAATACTCGCCGCTCGTTACGTTTAATTTGAAATGAAGTGATGTTCGAGCAGTGGTGCGGGTCCACTCCCTTCAGCTGCAGCTCTTTTACATTCTCTGTGTTTAAACCATCCGATACGTTGTATGAAATCGGTTGAACGAAATGCTGAGTGTTGTAAAATGTCGCTGAAATTGGATGGATCCGTTGGCGCGTTCTATGAAAGATGATCTACGGTATTATTTTATTATCAGAATGAATGGTAACATACTTTAACACACACACATAACGCAGACGGAGGTGTTAATCCATAATAACTTAGATGCCGAATAGTTTCTTTTGCGGTCCTTAATGCTGATTGACGGCGACAGATACGACATATTTTGCTTGAGCAGCATTCGGACGAAGCAGTACGCCCGGGTACTGCCAGGCTAATTCGATTGAACACTGATGTTATTTAAGTTTGTCTGTTATTACTCGCATCGCTATTTCTGTCGTTACGAATAGAAGCCGCTAGTCTTGCGTTACAGATTTGAGGAAAGAACGATAAACAATTACAAATCGTGTACTTTTATCGAGATATATTGTTCTCTTCTTTTTTTTAAACGTGCGATTTTTTCTTCTCGTTACGAGAGATAAGGTTTTGCAAGAATTACACACATAAGGTACAACCGGATAGATAAGAAAAATAGCTCTGCCTTGTGAAACGTCTTGCTGGCCCGCGTCGGCAATCACATTCACATGGTTCTACGTTAAGTTACACTAAGCTTCTCAATAGTACGGATAATCGTCAATAGTTTGGCAATGAACACTCTTTAGATTTGTTAAGTTCAACTTTGTTTCATTGGAGCACGGGCGAATGTACAAAGCAATGTTGGATAGCTTCGCATTGCGTGTTATTTTTATATGAGCCAGAGGAATGATAGAATAGCGAATTTACAAGATTAATACAAAAAAATGACGCAATAATCTTTGACGAGCTGTCGTTAATAATGAGAGATAAATGTACTATGTTGGAGGAAAAGAGAAAGAGCACGGAAAGATGTTTACCAGCATGTTATGCACGTGAAAGAACAGTTCTGTCAAAGTCATTATTGCAACATATATTATATATAATATATTTGTAAGAAATGAAAAAAAAACGGTTGTGTGTAAGTTTATTATACATAATTATAATGGACGTAAACTTACTTTGATTCAATGCGGTCGCATTGTGTGAGTAACGTTTGAAATGCGAGTGTATGAAAATTGTGTATATATGAGAGAAGGGGAGAGAGGAGGAGAGCGAGCGAGCGAGAGAAGTAAATTGATAAATAGCAAATTAAGTATGTAATACACCTCTAATCACGCGACGTAAGAGATTTTTTATTTTTCATTATTCCGCTATGTGAAAGAGGCAAGGTTTTCTCGCGGGAGAGCCCTGTATAGAGACGACTCGGCTCTCCGGAGGACTTTTCGGCTGCCACCCCACGAGACATGCGTTTTGGTTCCTTACAGTAAGAGACAGTTTTTATAAGATTATAGATTACGAGAGGATTATCTTTCGCTTTGTACAAAACGGCTTTATTTATCGCTATGGTTTCGCTGAATATATCCGCAGGAGGCAGATTAGATGTTATTTCGTAGATCATCCTGTCGTTTATTTATTTCATACATACATATGTATTTGCGAGTGTACATACGTATACGCCACGTGGTCGCGTCGAATGAAGCAAATCGTTTTTATTTTAATTTTTTTTTTAATTTTTTTTGTCTCCCGAATGTCGCTCGCGCGCGATTTCACAAATCCTTGGGAATTCGGACTCTCTGTGATCGACTAGATACGCGTATGTAAGGTGTACGATTATCTGTCGGATGAGTTGATTTCTTAAATCGTACCGATCACGCCGTCCGTCTTTAACGACGAATCGGTTTCTCGATTTCTTTTTTTTTTTTTCCACGTTTTTCTATTATACTTACTCGTTTTTACTTATGCGCCGACTACTTAAAGGGGAGTCTAACAATTGTGTGTGATCACGAGGCATGTCAATCGACCGTCATGTAATTATATATTTATTTTGTACGAATATATTTTTTTATATATAACGATTGTAGTAACGATTATATGTAGTCGATTCAGAGAGAGAGCGAGAGAGAGAGAGAGGGAGAGAGACAGAAAGAAAGCTGTCAACTCATGTTTGACAATCAATACCAACTTTTTCGAGCAGTACCTACTTTCTGTATAAAAATGTACTGTCACGTGTAAATAATTATTATTTTTACTGTACAATGTGAATCGCGGGTTTTACCGCATCAGCCGAAACGACGGCGAAATTGAAAAAGGATTTTACGTTGAATTCGAAATCGCAAATGTAATTTATAACAACAACTTGAGATACCCTCAGAGATGTCGGGGGGCTGATGCGGCAAAATAGCGTAAAGTTCTGGATTTTTTATAATTTGTTATTTAATGTAAAAAAAAATGACTGTTATAAAAAATGTTCTCTATTAAAGATGTTGTAAGTTTTATTTTTTTTCTCTTTTTTTTTAGTATATTATTAACGTACAAGCTTATCTCTTAAATTAAACATTTTTCTATGATAAACCGTTGTGCTTGTTTTTCTTTCCACGACCGTCGACGAAAGTCGATTACTCGTGAATATTTCCTCTCGAGAGACTTTATAATTAAAAATAGAGATTTGGAAAATAACTTATTTATCTTCGATAATCTGGACAGCGAAGGCTTCAATGAAGCGATGAAAAGCATGAACAATTTTAACTTTATAAACGTTGAATATTTATCATACATAGCATTATAAACCTTGAGATATTATTTAGGAATGTTATTCGTGGCCGTCTCTGGCATGCAAGGCGACCTTGTGCAAAAGAGTTAATTCACTAACCCTTCCTCGATCCCAAAAAGAAAACAAAAGCTTGGAAGTCTTAGAAACTTGACATTTCCAAAACTGGGAAAAACAGACTCTGTTCTGAAAGTGCTGATTTCCAATTGTTTAAGGTTGTAATAATGGATAATAATGGAACATAATGAGTTAAATAAAAGAATTTTATTTTTTCTACATTTGCACAAATATGTAATATATACATGTACTATAAATAATACGCACAACTTGTTATAAATTTCAGTAGATTGACAAAAAAAATGTTTTCTTATAAATGATTTATGTGATCTACATAAATTTTTCCCCACAAAAATTAACCGATAAAAGTTTTCGGCATTTAATATCAAAGGCGTGTTAATAAATGGCAAGAGACTCGTTCGAGATAATCGTACGAAGAACGAAAAGCAAAAAGTTGAAATTAAATGACATGCAGTTTCAACACGAGGATATTCGCGAAGAGAAGAGTCCTCGAAGAGAAGGCATCGAAATCAAGGGCGGGTGAACGTAAAAATGACAAGAGCTCGCAATGAATTTTCGTCGTCGTTATATTTATTTATTTGCTTTATTGTTATATGTCATATAATAGTTTTATATCATATATCGCAGTTATCATAAATCAAATTTGAAAATAGGCTTTAAATTATAACAATATATCCTTAGAGAATAATTGAAGCGCTCCCTGGAATATAGGTCAAAAAGCCCTCGTACGATTTCCATGAGCTTCATATCATTTATCATCATTATCCCTCACATTATCATCATCTCATTACGCGCGTGTGTGGGGACCGTTTCAATTATAGTATATCGTCGCTATGTATTGAACACTTGCCGAAATCCCCACCAAGAAAGATTTTCAAATGTTCAATCGAAATGAACATTTCATATATCCGAGTGTGTATGTGTGTGTGTGTATATGTGTGTGTTGTGTGTATCTCTATAATATTATTATATCATTACTAAGTCCAGCCGAGATAGCAGGGGTGACCTTTCTTTCTCTCTCTCTCTCTCTTTCTATGTACCTGTTTTTTTTTCTTTTTTCTCTCTTTCTTTCCTATAGTTACGTTTTGCGTGTAATAATAACCATAATATAATAATAAACATTATTACACCACCACAGCAATAATAATATTATAATAGCACTGTCGCACTAGAGACGCACGGCTACATCCTCATGCGTTTGGCGGCCCACTACCACTTTTACAATGAAACTGTATTCATTGATCTGAATAGGATTCGGTATATATAATATATTATTAGTTACATTGCGTATCTCGATTTCGTGACACATTTCCTGTTAACGCTTACGTAAATTCGAGTTTCATTTTTTTTCCCCCGAGAACCTGGTCATTTACGCGTGTGTACGGTACGTAATAGAATTTTCATAAGTGTTCTGCGTGTTCTGTGTGTTGTGGGTGAGCTCGATAAAAATTCGCTACGATCGTGACAATCTTGTGTCCGGTGGGATCTGCCTGGAAAACAGAGAGCACGATCTCGTGCTATCGGCGATCGTTAGCCCCCGATTGAAGGATTGACGTCTACGAGACAAAACGCAAAGATTATAAATGTACCGGAACCGGCTGGACAACGAAAACCTCGATTCGATCGGCTAATCGGTCGGAACAACGTCGTTATCGTATTTTTGTTCGTATTATCTTCGATCGATTTAATGACGCAACACCAACGTACACTCTCGTCGATGGGAAATCTATACAGTTGTTCGTCTAACGCGAAACAACGGACGCTCTTCAAGCGCGATCAGACATAATCGACGCTCGAGAATCTACAGGAAGGAACGCTCCTCCTCTTTGTCTTTTTTTTTCTCCCTAATCACTACATTATCTGTTCTGGGATACAGTTTAAAAGCGACAGTCAGACTCGGAGTGACAGTGACGAATTCAAGCGTAGGTGCAAGAGTGGAAGAAGAGTAATTATGTACCCAGGTGTTCGGTGAAGCCAATGGTTCCCCCAAGATCCCCCTTACATCCCTCCTTTTCGGGTTTTTTTCCTCATCCGGACCGTCTTCCCCGGTTCTCTCAATTTGCAGCATGGAAGTTCTCAGAATCACCCGTTTTGCGAAGCAATTATTTACACAATTGTATCATGCTCGTAGGATTACAGCATTTCTTTACAGCGCTCTAAATAGTAAACACGAAAATATTCACCGCCCTATATCGTTCGATATGGTGCCAAGAGCACAGCTGCTGTCCTCAACGTAAGCGGCTCGTGATTTAAAATCAATAGTGATCCGAAGCGAGAGCTTTATCGCATTTGTCTCCGACACGACTTTCTTAAATGTTCATCATCGCTGCTACAGAGACTGTAGTGGCGACTATATCGAAACGTCATAACGCGTGTATGACCGGATCGTCGCGATCGACCTGACGAACATTTGGCTTCGAAATGTTCCCATCACCACGAATCTGTTTCACAATAATGCGAATTTAACTCAGGCGAAATTTTGAACGTTCATGATCGCCGCGATGCCGATACAAAGCGTAAATTTCACGCGTGTCTAGATTATCGTGATGGATCTGGCGAATATATTTCGCGATGTCTCGAATATCGCGAATTCAGATCTTCGACAATAGAAGAGACATAATTCATTATTATTAGCATTCGATTATTGGTCTTCTTCTTCTTGAAGGAAAAGAAGAAGAAGATTATTGGTGATTGGCATGTCCCTGCTTAACGATAATTGATAACGGAGCTTACGACAGTCCGTGCGGTCAAGGAAATGATGACACAGATCCGAGGTAATTATGCCATTATAATTACGCCGTCATTTATCCTACAACGTAGGATATAGGCTTTCCTTAACCGACACTGACTCCGTTTTCCCTTCCTCTCGCTCTTGAACACTTCTTATACTCTGCAATTAACTCGGGAGATATATTAGTGATAGCAATAAGTTGAGTAATTAAGGATTTGTCGTCTTATCCTCTAGTGTGACAAGTAATATTAAGAATCTGGGTTTGAATGAATATAATAAGATCGTAATATAATTTATGTGCCTACAAATAATTGATCCAGTCCAGACTATTGCTATTACTATCTTTTTCAATTCTCATCGTCAGATCCAAAATATGAAAATATGTTATATTTAGAGGTTGAAGCTGTGCCAGCACGAACGACGATCTTCTCTCCCCTTAATGGGTCCATTTATTCCACGCCTGCAAGTAAACAAAGTTAATATATCCAGTTTTTTTTCTACAATAGCATTACCATATTGTTTTACAGTTTTAAAAGAAGAAAAAATGTTTCGAATCAGAGATCTTGCTAGAGAAGGATGATCTTACCGGATGTTGCTTGTCTTGTACAGCGTCGGGCATTCCCCATGCAGGTGGATCTATCTTATTCTGCTCGTTCGGCGGGATTTCTGTCATTTCGGATGCTCCATACTGTCCCGCTATTAACGCCATTGGCATGAGTGACAATGGCGCATTTCCGTTAGTCGGGAAAGGTTGTTGCGTATTCACATGACCCTAAACACGATAAAGTTAATTACATGTGTGTACAAACACGATGAATTTTCAATTTGTGTAAATTTTTTATCGCTTTTAGCGAGTACTGTTTTAAAGACCTTGTGCCCTTTTTTTTATCATCGTGCGTAGCAATTGCACGAAATAATAAATGGCTCGACAAAAAGTTACGAATAATAAAAAAATTAATCGTGTATGCGAGAGGATCGACAGTTACCTGGAAGGAAGATTCCATCATCTGATGGATCTCAGGATCGACGTTGGATATACGTGGGTTGTAAGTGGGGTTCGATCGAAACATCTGATGCCTGTCGATACCGGGCGCCAGATTGCAATTCGACCATGCTAGCTTATCAGCGTTGAGCATCCAATTGATAGAAGAATCGGCGTCTCCGCCCGGACCCATCCCCGCTGCCGAGTAATTCTTCCACGTTGCCCTTTCGGTACCAATCGGTCGTGGTACTTTGCGGTCCTCAATCTTCAATTGATTCATCTCCTGGGCGACCTGCGCCGGTGACGAGGGAGATATAGCCGGCGAGCCACCGTTCTCCAGACTCGTAATCAGATCGATACCACCGCCGGGTTGGCCGCTGATGTTCGCCAGCTGATTGGAGAACCCCATTTGGCTGATCATGGGATCCTGATGCGGCGGGTAGTTGGTATGCGGCGCCGGCGTGGCGTAAGACCAGCGGGTCGTCTGAGCAGTTGTCGAGATGCCGGTGTTCGCTGCTGGCGTTGCCCGCGAGGGCGCCTGATACTTTCCCAGCGGATAGTTGCTCATCATCCCCAGATTGTTGGATTGTATCGCGGAAGGCGGTTGCGCCGGCACGGGAGCGGCGAACATATTAGCCGGATGCAGTCCCGCAGATCCGGCGGCGGCATTGAACATCGTCACCTGCGGCTTACTGCTCAAGTGAAGCGAGCTGGAGAAATCGGGGGCGCGCGGGTTCAATCTTGACATGCTGACGGTGGTGTTGATCACAGAGGCGGACGGTGCGATAGTCTGAGCGTAACTCTGCATATGAGGGTGAAACGGTAGCATAGAATGGCCGGCACCACTCTGTGTATCGTTCGGTATCATTTTCAACAGGTTAGAGTTTACGTTCGGATGTTCGTAACTGCCGCCGCTGCTGTTCGCCGCCTTGAAGAGACCGACGTCCAGTGCCGGTTGCGACGTGGACGGTATCACGTGCGCCGCCGGCTGGTGCGTCGTCGCGTTCCGCGTTGTCAGATCACCCTGGAAGACCGCCGGCCTGTTAAACTGCGCCGCCATGCCCGTTCCCATATCGATGCTCTGTGGGGGTATTACTGGTCTAGCCACCGCTAGACTACCGGGCGGCTTGTTCGGTATGGGAGGATGCTCGCCGTAGCTCGTCGAAGACTGAAACTGCGCGGGCTGCATAGGATTGTTGTGTACGGAGCCCGTTACCACGCTGCCAATTACGTTGGTCGACGCGTTGCTCGTGTTACCCGGCTTACTGGAAACTGGGGAGCACATGGCTGTACCGCGGTACCCCGGAGCCTTAGATGCGTCTACCTGTGCTCGACAAAATTTAAAACGTGTGATACTTCATTGTTTTTTTTCCTCTTACCTGAAATGTTACAATGTATCATAATACAAACAAGAAAAGGATGACTCCATGTAGAAATTAACTTTTACTGATACAAACAATTGTAATATTCTCGTTTTAATCTTGCCAAAACTATTTGAAACTATCTCGCATGTGATTTCATATAAATAAATATTTAAAAAATCAAAATCCATAATCCATTGTCACAACATACCTGCGGTGGGGAACTGTCAAACTTAGCCGTAGATGGACCGGAGCTCGTGTTTGATGATACACCACCGCCCGCAACAGTCGCAAAATTCATGCCTTTTTGAGTTTCGTTTTCTCTTCCTCCCCACATTGACTGTTGCGTGACTTTAGTAAAAGTATCATTGAACAACGAGTACTCCTGAGGCGTGTTGCTAGATTGCTGCTGCTGCTGTTGCTGCTGCTGTTGATGTTCCTGAGTCACGACCGGCGTAGTGCTGCGAATACCCTGCTGCGATTGCTGTTGCTGCATCGATTGCTGCTGCTGTTGCTGCTGCTGTACCGTTGGTGGCGGCGGCGGCAACGTTTGCGCTTGCAACGGTACAATTGGCGGCGAGGGTGTCACTCGAACGGAACTGGCTGACGTTGAGACAAGTGAATTTTCCGGACAGTTTGTCGTTACCACGGCGTTCGTGGTCGATGACGGTGAAATCGCGATCGTTCCAAGTGGGTAACTCGATTTCCCGGGATAGTGAGATGCTATTGCCGACGGGGCGGATATAATGGGCAGTGATCGGCAGTGCTTCGGCGATGTACTGATTACGGACTGTTGTTGTTGGCTGGTTGTGTGAGCGGTTGCCGCAGATGTGGCTGACATAATAGTCACAGTCGCGGCTTGCGCCATGGGCTTTTGTTGTTTGATCACCGGTGCGGTGTGAGTCGACTGCATGACGGTGGTAGAACTGTGAGTCGAGGCAGTGATCTCGGATAGCTTCGCCGCAAATGTCTGCGTCGTGCTAGTGGTGACAATCTTTGTCCCTGCCCTACCGGCGGTCATAATCGCACTCGTATACGACATTGTCGTCTTTGTGTTAGACGAGGACGCCATTTGGGCGGCTGCGGCTTGCGCGGCACGTTTCTCAGCTAAGTATAACATCGATGCGTAATATTAATATGACTTACGTTTACACGGCTGCTTATAATTCGATTTGATGGTTTAGTTCACACCAATCTCTTGATACGCGTATCAAATAATATATTTGAGCTGATCAGCCAATAATCAAACTAGTTTACTAATTATTTATTATTTAATACGTGTATCAAGTGATCGGTGTAAACTAGGCCAATAACTACTGTGTATACTACCTGATCCAAAATTTTTCTTTTAATTATAACGATCATTTAAAAATAAAACTATTTTGATATTCTAAACATTTAAATCAATTTTTGATATTTATATACTAAAAAAGGTGTAGTAAAATTAAAGAATAATACATGGTGTAATATCTGCATAAATGTTTACTTCTTTTTGTCAAAATGTCTCTATATTTTTACGGGTTGTTTTAGAATTTTTATCCACTGCGTATGTATAGCAATATTTATTAATAAAAACTCGAAAAATCGTCCTAAACTATTTCCCTAGAATGCTTAACAGCATAAATATATTCTTGGACAAATTCAACGTATGTCCGTCTAAATTCCATTGTTGATTGAGTGGATAATAATTCTTCTTTCATCCACTGTAAAAAAATTTAGAATTTTTCGAATAGAAATAGCACTATGAAATTAATAAGGAATATTTTGTATGTATGATAGACACAAATATAAAAGTAAATAAAATATTCGATGCTAATGTATTACCTTTAAACGATTAAATTTTGTAAATTAAATTGACATAAAAATAAACATATATGATGATTGTTCGTTGCAATTAATAAATTATTTATATACATATGCTTTATATTACCTGCGGCCATGAGTCTAGGCGCCGTCGCACGTGGCAAAGAAGTAGGGAAAGCACCAGTGAGTTTCACACTGGACGATGAGCGAATAGGAACCAATGGATTAATAATGGACGCTCCGGAAGAATATCCTGATTTATTAATTTGGCTACTGGTTGTACTGGATGCCAGATTAGGTGCTTTATTAACGGATCCACCAATTTTCGTTTTACTTGTCTGAAAGAAGATATCAATTTATTAAATCGTTCTACATGTAATGGTAAAACTCATTATAGTTTGATTTCTTCGTGCTTACAGTAACATTGGGAACAGACTTGTCCCACGAAGAGGTTGTTGTATTGAGCTTGGATTTCGCAAGCATCTGCGAGACATCTGCCTCTGGATCCCTAATAAGCCCTGATATCAAATGATAAGCGTTCTTTGTAGCTTCAGTTGATCCTCTACAAACAACAGAACGACAATTTAAACACTAATATTTTTACTTGAAACGATCAAGACATCTACTCAAATCGTAAAAAAGAATTTCCTGAAAATTCTCTGATTCTCCAGATATTTTTATTTAATTTCTAAGTAAAATCAGATATATCTATTTATGTGAGAAAAATAAAATGTCGACATTTTGATATTAACTTTCTTTTTTCATTTCTAAATGACAAAAGAAACTAGAAAATTATTAGTGCGATCTATGGTATGCATCTTGTATAAAATATGTAAACTTTATTAAAAAAAATATATTATCTGATCACTCACTTAATTGTGATGATTCTTTCCACTTGGCATTTACTTTGCTTTTCTACTTCGATATGCGCGCCCGTTGAAACACGAATAGCATTTATATTACTGCCTCCTCTACCTATCACTCGGCTGATAGCATTTGGGGGAACGGATACTTTTTTAGAACGGTATGGTGAATTCATAAATCTTCCGGAATCATCAGACTGTCCCCTGCAAATCATGATAGTTGTAAGATTCTATTTGTAAAAAAAATATTAATATACCGAAGCAAACAAAAGAAAAAATTTTAAAAAGATCTCTCCAAGAACGTGTATCTTACTTTCGCACAACTTCCTTCCATCCTTCCTCGCGTTTTCCGCTTTGCTTGGGGCTAGTGTTACTCGCTTTCGCCGACGTATTTAAAGCATCTCCATCGTATTGATTATTATAAGACTTCTTTCCTTTGCCAGGAACATAAGTCTCATTACCGGTCGCTTCAAAATCTTCTCTTTCAGCAGGATGCCTCAAAGAGGATGCTTCAAAAACCAAACCTTTCAATTTTCGATCGGAACTGAGGACGGTGGATGTCCTAGTAGTTGTAACTGAGGTTGTTGATACCGGTACTGCGCTGGTAACATTAGTCATAATTCGCCTGTAACAAATTATTATCGATATGTAAAAAATAATATTAAGAAGGATAATCGGTATTTCAATATCGGTACTTTATTATTCTAGAAGCATAAAAATTACTGTCTTTACATTTTAATGTAAAAAAATAATTTAGCTGCTAAATAATAAAACATCGAATCTATCTTTTCAAACGTAATTATATAAAAAATGAGCCAAGAGATTTTTTCGAGCTAGTTCAGTTCCTATATATATATCGAAATATATTAAATATACAAATTTGAAAATATCAGTACAATAAAATTGTATCTACATTTGATATTTAGAGCCTATTCTGTAAACATTAACGACATCATTATGTGCTTTGCACGGATGTTTACAGAATAAGCCTTTATCCAACATTTTTACATAATCGGTATGTTAAATCTATATCTCTTTTCCGGTGTCTCTTTTATCATTTAAATTCTTGACAACTCCCGAGTTTTCAGATTCTAAAAACAGGCCAAGATACGAAGCAAGGAAAAAATGCATTTACTTACTTCTCCGTAGTGTTATTCTGAGACTTGGTCGATGTCGCTGTGTTTTGAGATAAATTGGTGTTTTGTGAAAGGAGGGTCTTGGACGAACGCTGGGGGGACGTATCCTTATCGTTGTTACTAGGACTATTGTTCTTCTTTTTCTTCTTCTCTTTCTTTTTCTCTCTCGCCTTCACATCGTTGCTGCTACAACTACCCTGGCTGTTCGCATCTATTCCACTGTCGCCCTCTTCTCTGTCGGGATCCTCCGGGCTTCTGTTTACGGGAGACGGCACGCTCTCCATTCTCTCGTCGCCGCCCTCATGCTCGCTGTCGTCCGCCCGATCGCATTCCTCGTCCGATTTCTTTCCGCTTTCTTCCTTATCCTCAAACGGTGTCTCGTTTTTCTTGTACTCCTCATGCAGCTTGCGCTTCTCTTCCTTCTTCTCGAGCTTTTTCTTTTTCTTCCTCTCTCGTCTCCGTGCGGCGGCCGCCTTTTTCGATTCTTCTCTCGTCTTTTCCATGTCGAGTTCTTCTAAGAGTATGGTGGCATTCTTATTTGCTTTAGCGGCCTGCGTCTCTTTGGCAGCTCTTATCACTTTCACACACTCGTTGCATTTTTCCGAAAGTTCTTTGTCATTAACAGTCGCTACATATCTTGTCATCTCTAGGTCACTGGGGAATTGCGTTACATGATTCACCATCCACTTCACCACTTTGATATGACCCTTTCGGAAGGCAGCCATCAAGCAGGAAACCTAATCATTATAGAATATATTTTACACATGTATTTTGTCTAAGATCGGATAAAAAAAATTACGTAGATCTCTCGTCAAACAAATTATCGTGTATACCTTACGATTATCTTGCGAGTCAATATCTGCACCTGCATGGTATAATAAATCTACGACATTTAGATGCCCGCCGTTTGCAGCTAACCATAGTGGACTGTTCCCTTTTTTATTTTTTACTTCGACTTGGGTCCCCCTGGAAAGAAATGACGAAATCTCCGTTACTGAGCTCGTTATTTCATAACGTTGGACATAACGTAGCGACAAATTACCTCGATAATAGAAGTTCTACGAAACGGCAGTGGCCTTTATCAGCGGCAATAGTAAGGGCAGTGTCACGAGATGATGGGACAGGCGTCGCGTTAACATCAGCACCTTTCGTAAGTAACACACGCCCAACTTCAACATATCCACCACTAGCGGCCTCCATCAATGGTGTTAAGCCAGTCTGTGTAAAAAAAAAAGATTATTTCGAAAAGTTATAGCAAAATTACATATATGAATATTAAATATGTTACCTTTGCTCGATGTTCAACGTTGGCTTTTCGATCGAGGAGGAGGCTAACAACCTCATGCCTCCCCTGAAAGCACGCGAGCGTTAACGCCGTATTGCGGTTTGTCTCAATTTGCGCGTTAATATCGCTGCCCATGTCCAAAAGTAGTTTAACTGCCGCTGCACATTAAAATGTCATATATATTTTTTTTAGTGTTTCAGTCATGATGAATTTGGAATTTTTTAGTGTCAAATATTAATTAATTTCAAACTCTGATTTCTTACCAGTATGGCCATTCATAGCGGCTAACATTAGAGGAGATATGCCTAGTTTGGAGCCAGTACGTGAATTAATTTCGGCACCATGGCTCAGTAGTAGCTTTATTATGTTCACATAACCGCCACTTGCAGCCAGGCTTAAGGGGGTGTAATCAGAAACGTTGCGATGTTCTTTGTTCGCGCCGCGATTGAGCAAAAGCTCGACTACTTCGTATCTGCCTCCACTACATGCGAGTGACAATGGCGTATCCTTGGTACGTTCCGATTGCGCTTCTATGTCAGCTCCGTGATTGAGTAGAATTTCAACTACCTTCTGATGGCCAGCCGTTGCGGCCAAAATAAGCGGCGTAAATCCCTTCTTATCCCTATGTTCTGTAAGAAAATTGCTACGTCAGCTTGCTTGCTCGATAAGTTTCTCCATATTTCATAATGCACGCGACAAATATTTCTTTTATATTGCATTAAATTAAATTATTAAATATATTAAACTCGACATATGAAATACAACGCGCATATATCAATAAAAACCATATGACGATACATATACAATGCGGCATTTCACCTACCTATATCTGCACCGCGACTTAGAAGAAGTTCCACAAGATCTTCATGCCCTCCCGCGCAAGCCAAAGTTAAAGCCGTGTCATGATTGCTGTCGGTTTCTGAATCAACATCCATACACGAGAACGGAGCGGGTGGAACTTGGTTGGACGCATACCCTCCTACCGTCGGGACACCTGTTGTACATTGATCAATAACTGAGTGGTGAGAACATTCTTAGCAATTTATTTCGAGTATCATCGTGCTGATTACAGCGAAAATCGCAGCTTCTTACAATTCTCACCTGTTGCTGGATCTAGCTGATAATTTTGCGCAGGAAAATTGGGAGCTTGTTGAGCATTGGCAGTTTGTTGTTGCTGGCAAGATTGTTGTTGAGACAGGAGAGGATATCTGGCTTTCTTGCCCTTGCCGGTGGTCGGTGCAGTGTACACTTGTTTCTTATCGGAGGTAGCTACGTTCGCGGTTGTCGTAGTAGCGGGTGCTTGAGTCTGGGTAGCAACTTGAACTTGATTAGTGCTGCAAGTTGTGGATTGCACGTAACTGCTCGACTGATGAGGAGGTATACTATCTACTATTCCCGTTGCGCCACTCACAGCTGGTAATGTTTGCGTAGGAAATGCTAGTAACGAGAAAGTTTAAAGGAAATAAAAAATCGTTCACTATTGAACGAGTCACTCGGTGACATTAGTCGCACTAAAGACACGTTTTGATAACTTACTTATTTGAGAGGATTGAAGCAGCAACTGAGGTTGGAAAGTATCGCTGGTAATATGCTGCATACATTCGCGAAAATGTATACTACCCTGGCGGAAGCCTTCTTCGAAGGCTCTCAGACGATTCTTCAGCGTCGGGTTTTGCAAGGACTGCGTACTTGTTAGTTGTAAGCCCGCTGATATGTCTGCCTCTATTTGAACGCCAGCGCTGGTTACTTGTAGTGACGGTAAGGCCGGTAAAGAAACCGAAGGTACTGACAGCACGGGAGTAAAAAACTCTTGGGATGCATGAGGACTTCCGCCTTGTTGAACTATTTGGGTGGTATGTAAATGTTGCTGCTGCTGCTGCTGCTGCTGTTGTTGTTCCTTATTATTCGATACGTCCAATCTTTTCAATTCAAGCTTCTCTTGATCTTCAGTTGCTATATAGAAATTAAATAAGATATTAATTTAATTTTACTTTTAATTCTGATTTTCTTTTCAGTTTTAAAAAGATAAGTACTTACTGTCAACCGTGTCGTCGAAGCTAATGGAACGAAAAATTTCAAACGCATCGTCGATAGGAATATCCGTGCCGTCCTCCAATTTCAATACTCTATCATTAGGATTGAAGGTTTTAGATTTCTGAGCGCCAGTAAAAAATGCGCAAGCGCTTTCTCTGTACTTTCGCGTTAACTCAGGATCCGTTTGCTCGGGAAGATTTTCTTGCGCTGTTTGCTGTTAAAAATATATGTTCTTTTAAGTTTAGTTGTCTTACAAAAATAACCGCAGCTAATTATTGAACCATATAAGTTACCTGGCTGTGCAAATGATGTGTGGGATGCAAGTGCGACATCAATTGAGTGGGCATGAGTATGCTACCCGTACTATTAGCAACTATGTTGGTTTGTTGCTGTGAATGAGTTTGTTGGTGGGATTGTTGCGGTTGCGATTGCGGCTGCTGCGATTGCTGTTGTATCTACATCGAAAAAAATTCATTGAAAAGAAAACGGTCTACACGCGTGTGTTAAATCCAATTATTGTTTCGCACGCTGTAAGATTTTTGAAATCGGAATAAGAAATAAAGATGATAGAAATCCACCTGCACTTGATCCAATTGAAGCTGCAGTTGCTGGTTGAGTTGCTGCAGCTGTTGAACCTGTTGTACTTGATAAGAAGGATGCTGACGTTGCTTCTGCTGATATTGTTGGTGAAGTCCAGCCATTATAGTCGCTTGTGTCTGCAACTTTGCCATCCCCATGCTGGACGTAGCTTTCCGCACGTTCTTTCCTTCTTTCTTGGACACAGGCTTAGCTTTTGGACGATCGCTTATAGCAGTATTTTGGCTAACGTCGCTGCTCGCGGTAATAGGCGATTGGGAAACGGCTATAACGGTTGGAGGGGTAGAAATGCTCGGCGGACTCGGCGTGGTTGTTGAAGAAGTAGCACTAATGAGTGACACAGTGGTGGTGGTCGTAACAGGCAACGGTGCAAGAGACAAAGGAGGCGAGGAAGGAAATGTATTTGTGGGGAACGTTTCCGTCGCGGTTGGAACCACGGAAAGCGTTTTCTGGAACTGTGCAGCTTGCATCCCCATTATCTTACCATCGAGGTAAGCACTGCACACCAATGCTGCGTCGTTAGCCCCTGGATACGTCAATGAACCGCCAGACATACCAGTTGTATTGCAAACTAAACCTTTTAAGCAAAATAATCACGTTGAAAATATTGATATAAACATCTAATTTTAAGGCAAATACACATTTCAGTGAAGTGAATAAAATACCATGAGGAGATGTTGACTGAGCTGGCAAATCAATATTCAGCATGCCCGGTAACAATGCTTCTGTCTCGCTAGGATCTTGTGGCTGTTGTTGTTGAGATTGATTTATAATTGAGTTTCGCGGACCAGGAAACAAATGTCCTGCACTTTTCATTTGTAGTTCTCGTTCTACCCTCTGAAAAATATTATTATGCAACTTTACAACAAAGCGCATAACGTACCATAGATTTAAAAAAAAAATGCACCAAATATTTAAATATTTTTTTGTGTTTTATGTGGGTATGTGAGGATTATAATTCTCAGATTAATAAGGTATGTAAATGCTGTCAATCAAGAATTCTTACAATGTTCTTTAAGAATATATCGAGAAACTTTAGAGAATTGAGAATATGACAAAAAACGTACTTGTAATTCCTCAAGTATTTGTTGCTTATGAATGATTTGCTCTTGTCTAGTTATAGTTTTCCGACTTTCACTGACATGTATCACTTGCGTTGACGCTGCTGGCGTCGGACTAAGACTAATATTAGGTTCTGACAAACTTGTAAAACCCCCACTGCCTTTATCGAGAATATTGGTATCGTCCTTGGTAGTAGTGGTTGATTCTCCTGCGGGCTGCGAACGAACTTGTTGCGCTTCGGCAGAAGTAAGGCTCATATCGGGCATCATAGTCACTGATCGATTCTTTCTCAACAATGACTTTTGCGTATTGTGTTTGGGTTGAAGATTTTGCGCTTGTTGTTGCTCGGCGGTTTGTTGTTGCTGCTGTTGTTGTTGTTGCGGATGTTGCTGTGGTTGCGTAGACGTCTGCTGGGAGTGAGGTACATGTTGTTGATGAATTATATGCTGCTGTTGCTGCTGCGGCTGTGGCTGCGGTTGTGGTTGCTGCTGCTGCTGCTGCTGTGGTGGTGGTGGTTGTTGTTGTTGTTGTTGTTGTTGTTGTGGCGGCGGCTGCTGTTGCTGCTGCTGTGGTAATAACATGGGCGCAGGTGCAGCACTATGAGGAGCACTCATCATAATGCTATGAGGATAGTCCAATAATAGTTGAACAACAGGAGTGTGACCCCCCTTTGCCGCTTCTATCAGCATAGTGGAGTTGTCCTATAAATTAATTTAAGTTTTATATCAATACCAATGTAATTAATGTCTTTAAAAAATTATACAGAAAACATTAAAATAGCATAGATAGACCCAGCATTTATGAATATTGCATAGAAATTTATATGTATGACGCGTCAGTGTGACGTGTCAGTCTTATTGATATTACGTTCATATCAATCTATTGTATCCAATTTGAGTATCTGTTTGTGTATACCTATTGCGTTTGTGTGTGTATCAATTTGCGCTTGTGTATGTACCCGTTTGTGTATAAATGTTATATAAGCAAATTGAAGCAAATCGAAAATGCTCGTAAAAATATAGATTTTTTATTTGATTATTTTGGGGATAGATATCTTACTTTTAGCTTATGAAATGGATTTGCAGATTGTGCAAGAAGCAGCTCAACCACAGCCAGATGACCACCAGCGCACGCCAACGAGAGCGGCGTGTGATCATTGTTTGTTGTTTGTCGATTGACATCAGCGCGCTTAGAGATGAGAAATTGAACCGTGCACAAATGGCCCGCTCTACAAGCCTTCATCAGTGGAGTTCTACCTCCTTCTGATTCATGTTCCTTAAATATAATGAATTGGTATAAATAACTCGCACAATGATAAAAAAATTTAAAGACACGAGATAATACATAAATAAAAATATATAAAAATAAAATGTATCTGCGGTGTGTTATAAATCATAAAAAAGGACGTACTAGATCAGCGCCAAATTGCAATAAAAGGTCAGCAACGTCAGTGTGACCGTTCTCGCATGCATATGTCAATGCCGTATCTCCCGTCTGCGTTTGAGCGTGCACATCCGCCGCAGATTCGAGTAAATATCGAACAAGATCTAAATGTCCCTCCTGAGCAGCCTCCATTAGAGGGGTGGATGCGCCCAGCTCGATATCCGCTCCCGCCTTGATTAAAAAATCGGCAACTTCCAAGAAACCTCCGCAACAAGCCAAGGTAAGCGCCGTTTCCTGAGTTTCCTCAGTTTGGGCATTGATGTTGGCACCTTTTTTAAAAAAATCACAATCGATATTACTCACGATCCACAATACTTGCGATTGTCGTTGATTGACAAATAATAAACGTTACGTACCCTGGCTCAAAAGTAAAGCAACCATTTCTTCATGACCCTCGCGCGCCGCTTCCATCAGTGGCGTATAACCTTCGTCGTTAACTTCCTCGATGTTCGCTCCACGTTCGATAAGAAGCATAGCTAAGTCCACATGACCTCCACAGGCAGCTAATGTTAATGGCGACTCGAAACTGTCCGTCGGCATGTTTACTTGGGCACCTGAATCTAAAAGTAAACGAGCGACTTCCACATGACCATCCATCGATGCTTCCATAAGGGCGGTATGCATCTCATCGGTTTTATGCTCCTGTAAAAATACGCGGAACCATCAATGTTAGTAAAATTATTAAGCATTATATGTATAACACATGTGTAAAAGTTATTAAATTACATAATTTTTAATTTCAGAATAGTTCCGTTAACGAATCTTAGACCCCTTGTCATCCATGTTTTCCCTTGCCACGTGTAATTCTTACCGAAAGGTATACTTCAAACTGCACTAAAACGCTTGGGCTAGGTCAATTTTGAGCTCCGAAGCCACGAGGCTTTTCCCTCTCCATTTACAGAGAGTGAGGGAGGTGGAAAGGAATTCATCCACTGGATGAAGTTAAGCAGGTACGTAACTTCATCCAGCGAAGAAATCCCTTTCTCCCCACTCTCTGTAAATGAAAAGAGAAAAGTGTCGTGGTTCCGGAGTTGACTAGGCCTGGATTGGGCGATATGTCGCCCACGTGGCGACATAAGTGTAAGAAAACACTCGATCAACCAATCAGCGCGTCACGGTGAATCGAAATGCTAACGATACAGCGTTAACCAATCAGGTTCACGAGGGCCTCGCTGTTGTGCGCCCATTAAAAACACAAAGCAGGTAGTTCTCGAATAATCAGGAGTGCCGTAGACAAAAAAGTTGCGTTCCTTTCGTTTCCGAAAGTATTCAAAAGAAAAAGAAAACAACTTTTGTATCCACTTTTGTGTTCAGTGCAGTTTGGAAGTATAATATGCGTTTCTTTTTCGTATGATCATTTTATTATCTTTATTATCATCTTTATTATCTCTATACATCAGAGGGAGATTAAGGGCCAACGTCGCATGTTATTACCTGATCCGCGCCAGCTTCTAGCAAAAAGCGGACCATTTCCAAATGTCCCTTATAGCAGGCCAAGGTCAATGCGGACTCTTTAAATTCATTGGAATGAGTATTGATGCCGGCCCCGTTGTCAAGCAAGATCTTGGCGACTTGAACATGCCCAGCACTCGCCGCTTCCATCAGAGGTGTATGACCGTTCTCATTGTGATCCTCAACATTGGCGCCGGCATTTAATAAGGCACACACAACCCCTTCGTGTCCACCGGCACATCCGTACATGAGAGGTGTGTTGCCTTCGATCAATACATAATACATTTGCAACAATAATCATCGACCAAAATAACGCCGCGTAATCTCGACAATAGTTACATATTGGCGAAAATAAATTTGATGCGTCGTTAGAGCTTACGAACATTGCGGTGTTAAAATAAACAAAACTGACGGATAATTTTACCTGATGTAGACTGAGCGTTTACATCGGCCCCATGAGCAATCAGCAAACTCACGATATCTACATGCCCTGCACTAGCAGCTTCCATCAAAGGGGTACAGTCCCCCTTGATGCCGCGATCTTCTACATTAGCGTTCATCGCCAAGAGTACCTGTTTCGTGGAAAAAACGCAATGACAGATAAATTTCATTGGTCTACAAAATTAATTTGAAATAAATTATCTTACGTTATAATTGTACAATTATAAATGCCAACTTCATGTTCATAATTAACATGATAGTTTGATAAACAAGAAAAAAAAGTTGAAGCATAGGAGATTGACGTTTTAAAGAATGTTTCCGCGTACACCGTTTTATGATATTTATCCAATCGTTAACATCAAAGTAACCAGAAATTAATAAATATCAGCGAATTGCAATTAATTTTCAAATATCATAGCCTACAATTACACAAGAATATACAGTTGAAGGTAAATAAATTTATCATAGAAACTCTTCCAACTGTAAACCTAAGTCAGAACTTTACTTTCAAGATAAACCAGCAACCGTGTACCATTAAACAAGAATTCTGATGTCTGAGTGACTGTAATTACAACGTAATATAAATAAATTTTAATTGCGTGAATATTATTCGACACATGCCAACACAGAAATCATTTCATTTTAACAAATTGTACTTTTACGAACATACATCACGTAAAAGCGTAACACCACTGAATAATAACGTTCAATATTATTTATTTTCGGATCTTCTCACGTAATGAGAATTACTGTACCAATAGTATTATTACAGTCATTCAAACTGAACCGTTAACATCGATTACAACACCTGTACAAATACGGTGAGCATATTACGCGTACACGGTAAAATATACATACTGAGAGTTAATAAAGTGACAAAGGAGGAGCGAGATAGCATTTAACACCCAAAGAACACATCGCAATCGAAATGATATCATTTTGACGTCATTTGACTAAATTTGCGTGATTTTTTAGTTAATACAACATCAAAATGTCATTTTGACTGCCAGGTATTCCTCGGACAAACACACACACACACACGCGTGCACAAAGACACTATACAGCACCTTTCAAAATAAAAGGGATTTTTTCTGACGAAAGAGCAATCTTTAGATACAAATTTATATGAGATCGAGTCTACGATTCCACGATCAAGCTCGATGCACACATACGCATGTAAACAAAAATTGCACGTTAAACGTGTGAACTGGAAATTTTTTATCCATGACACGCATAACAGTCAGACACCACGGTGCAACTTAACAAAAAATTTTGCAGTGTCATACACGGTGTCCCACATCAACATTGCAAATGGACGGTTCGGAACTCTACTACGGGAGGAAGGTATACGCGTGCGATTTTGATTCCAAACCTGAGCAAGTTCGTAGTAACCAGCTGAGCAAGCTAGTGACAGCAGGCTCTCTCCCTCCTCGGTGGTCTCGTGGACACTTCGGCCCTCCGTTAACAACTTCCGAACGGTGCCGACGTCTCCGTCGGTGCACGCCTCGACGAGAGAGCGCTTTTCGTTCGGCGTACGCGGATTGTCACTACGCATACGTGTTAGCGCTGCCGCAGCCTCATCCAACGCACAAGACACACTCGACGTTAATCGTCGCAGCACTTCGTGGTCGGGCAGGTGCTTCCCATCGCCCGACGACAGCTTCCCGATGCCGGCCGCTTCGAGCAACGCCTCGAGACGCGCCTGGGTCTCGGGGTCCACGGAACGTTCCGGATCGTCGGGGGTCAACAGGAATTTCGACGAGTCGGGATGATCTTCGTCCAGTTCAACCTGATCGATCGCGAAGCACTCCACCTGCAACGAGAAATATCCGTTGGTAAAACCAAATATATGCAACGATACAAAGAAGAAAAAAAAAGAAGAATACTGAGGAATTGGCTAAAGGGTTACGTCCACGATCTTGTACTTGATTAATCAGCATCGATCGCACGCCCGTCGTGATTGCACGTTTTACGCTTTATCTACGAATCCAATAAAGAAAACGAGATCAGAGGGAAGCGGAACGGTGATGCCTCGTCGAGGAGGGAGGGGGGGAGGAGGGCGACGAGGTCTCGGCTGTCGCGACCGGACGTGCCCGCGGTGGTCGCGTTATCGGCGCAGCCGCGAGACAATAAACGTAAATCGGGAACGCCGGGTGAAAGTATAATTGTGTGTCTTCTAGGCGAACGACGGCGGCGGCGAACGGCGGTGGTGGCGGTGGCAATTACGGCGATAAGTGACGTTACGAGCGCTTTAACGCTCGGCGATGCGCGCGGCCGTTCCCCCCGCGAAGGGGGAGCGGCCCCGCGCGATGACGGCGACGATGACGACGACCGACGGCGGCGGCGGCGGCGGCGCGCCGTCGACACTTCCACGACCTATGGCACCCCGCGTGCGATGCATGCGTCGTTCATCCGTCGCTCGCCTCTCACCCCGTCGCGCCGCGGAGCACGGGGATCGGCCTCGGGGCCGAGGCAGAGCGCGAGGAAAATCGGGGCAACGTACATTCGCGTCGGGGGCGCGCTCGCGCGACGCGGGGGGACGACGGCGACGGAGATGACGGCGATCGAGGTCGGTGGCGGGGGGGAGGGAGACGATTCTTTTTCTTCCACGTCGTCGACGTACGCACGCGGAGGTGGAGGCGCGACGAGCCGTCGCGGACGAGGAACACCGTGCGAAACGCGAGAACGCGCCGTGATCGGGTACGGAATAATATGGTGGCTCGGTGTGCCCGTACGCGCTGCGTTTCGCGTCGCTTCTTCAACGCGCGCATCGACCAGCGCGTCGACGCGCCGCGAAACTCGACGACGTAACGCACCGCGCCTTTACGTACAGCGGAGCCGATATTGCGTGCGAGAGCTCAGCGAGCGAGGTTGGCTCTCCGACACGGACGGGGCTAATCGGCGCCGCGAACTCGTGCGGACCTTCGGCGAGCGAGAACGCGGCGGACTCGCGGCTAGGCCGCCAGGTGGCGCGGCCGACGGCGGTCCGCGGTGCGACGAACGCGCGGCGCACACTCGCCCCGCGCATCCCACGTACCTACGTGTACGTACGCGCGTACGCACGCACACAGCCGCGCGCTCGCGCGTGGCGCGCGACGGTGTGCGTGCGTGGCGGCCGGAGGGAGGGGAGAAGGTGCACACGTGCGAGGCGCGCCTTACGTGTGACCGTGCGCGATTTCCTGCGGTTTACGCGCGCACGAACGGCACACATAATCCCCAATCGTACGTATACGTATGCGTATTATACGTGCGCGCGCGCGCACGCGCGTACTCGCGGCAGCGCACAAGCCTGGCGAGGCACTTTAACCAGCATTTGCGCGACACGGTCGGTCCCCCCTCCCCCCTCTCCCTCCCCCCACACACGGTCGCGGTCCTCTCTCGCGTTATACCCGACACACAACAAAACACGTACACATGCCAGTCATTCTTCTCTTCTTTCGCTCTTTCTCCCTTCATTCGCTCCCACCTCCTCGCCGCGCCGCTCGCGCGCGCGGGGCACGGGGATGGAGGAGGAAGGAGGATGGGAACGGCATTCGAGTCCGAGTGCACCTCGGTGGCCGCGATGCGCTCCCCGTGGACATCAGAATGAAGGTGGAAGTCGTCGAAGCAATGCGCGCACGCTTGCACTACGACGAGAGAAAGGAGCGGAGGGAGAGAGAAAGAGATAGAGAGTCTAAGAGGGCACAGGGGGAGGAGAGGGGAGGCGGAGGAATTGCGTGAGCGAGCCGCGAGAGAGATGAGGCGGCGAGAGAAAAGAAAAGCGAGCCGGACGTCGACGGCCGAACGTCGGTGTCGTCGGTGACGGCGGGGCTGACTGTCAGCGCATTACGTGGTATTCGACACGGATTATATAACCCTTTCCCGATGTGCGAATTCCCCGCTGACGTTCCTCCTTTCTTTCCCTCCCTCCCTGCCAGCCAGCCAGCCTGCCTGTCCCGACTCCCGCGTCCCTTCGTCCCTCAGCTCCGCGATGAGGTTCTCCTACGACGGGAGGAGGCCTTTGGCCATCTACGTGCACGCACCTTCCTCTAAAGCCGGCGTACTCTAGCGAAGCGGAGACCACCACCTGGTGGCTGATACGAAACCTAAACGTCGCGGGCAACGAACACCGGGATAACGCGATAAACTCGACGGTGGGTGGGGGGGTGGGGGGGAGGAAAGATGGATCGCGAGACGGAGGTGGGGAAGACACGTTTCGACGCCTTCGTGCGATCGCGAACCCTTAGGACGACCTCCGGCCAGGCCTCCGATTCAACTCAACTCCGCTCGAACTTGATCGACGCCGATTGTCGCTTAAAATTTCCGACTGTACGATTCGCCGTACACAGGTCCTCAATCTAATCTCTTTTTTCCAGAAAAAAATAAAAAGAATAAATCCATTCACGTTAATGAAATAGTTAACAGATATCGTTTAATATGTCCAATCACTGATTAATTTAATCGAGCTTATTCTTTTTTCGATCCTTCGTTGTTTACAGATTTGATTTGAAGTATTTATACTTTACCGTGCAAAAGGATGTGCGAAATCATGCAGGATTTACAGGTCCTTTACCGAATAGATATATGTGTTTATACATAGGGGTATATATACGTGTATCTGCTCCAAATGTAGAAAGCAAGAAGGACAATTGAGCAAATGGGCCTGTATAAATCGACGTAGTCGACTTTGCACAATACGTTTTTACACGGCGACATAAAGTACAACAATTATATGCGTATGTGCGTATGTACGTATAGACCTTGACAAGAGAGAGGAGGAACGAAACAAAGCCTAACTAAAACCGACGTTACAATATTAGACAAGAAAGAAATAGCTTCTGTGCGACAATGTCGATGTCGATGGAGTCCGTCTTGGGGGTTCGGGATAACGTCATTAATTACCTAATTAACTTTCGCACAATTTCCTACAATTTTGTAAAGATTTAGAAAATTCCAACGAATTTAAATCGGATACACTGTTCAAAAATAATCTTAAAGCTTGTTAAAAAATTACGTAAAAGAAAGGAGAAATTTGATCGAAGAGAATTAGAAATATTGTTAATAAAGCTACGAGATTTTAGAGATCTCTCTTACGCACCCGAGTTACGCTTGTCAAATTAATTCTTTCATTAAAGAATGTCCTTTAATAAAAGAATTAATTTAATAAGCGTAACCTTTTTAAAGACTAATCTTCTTATTTAAGAATATTCTAATTTGCTGCAAAATTAAGCGCTAATTAAATGCCTTAATTTCAGCTTGGCAAGAAATTAGAATAATTACGTTAAGCCGCTCTCCATAAAAAAAAATATAATAAATAAAAATACTCGTTCAATGGACCGTCAAGATATCGAGCCGTCGATTTGGACATCTCGACGTTATGTCAACGTTACGTTAATAAACGAATATTTTAATATCAAGTACATAGAGGAATTTAATTTTTTAACACGGAATCTTTAACTTGCAAGCTGGCTGGTATCTAAATACAAATTCCTATATACGAGTTGGAATAAATTTATTCGTCGGTACGTTAACGTTACGCTAATGAGATAAGAATATTTCGATCACGGATAACGTAAAAAAATCTAACGTTTTAGGACTCAGTCACAATGAGAAAGATAAGGAATAATATTTTTCTCATTGTGACTGAGCCTTTATACCGCGATATGACTTGCTGCTTGTAAATTGGAATAGCTACAGTTAAAAAAATTCTTTTCTTTCTTTTTAAAAAAGAGATTAGATTGGAGATTTGTGCGACACATCGTACAGTCAAAAATTCCAAAAAAGCATACTTTCGATATATGTATTTTAATGGATTTCTTAGAGCGCTCTAATTCTAGCGTGTTCAGTTCTACAGTTTATACATAGATACTTATTTTAGATACTTATTTTTTCATAGGAAAAACCAACTTAACGTTAAGTTAGCCTTATGTATCTAATTTTCTGCTGAACACTTTAAACGCCTAATTCTGGATTTCAGCACTAATTTAGTACTTAATTTCGCAATATGTTAGAATTTATCTAGCGCGGAGAGATTAAATTAATGGAGGAAAAGATTTACAGCCTAGAGAGATAGCACTGGGGAAAAAGCCGTAACTGAGAAATTGGGAACAAATAAATAACAACATTCGGTGGCTTTTATAGATCGCAATCCTTCCTAACTGTGAGGATGAAGAAACATTACATCAATTACGGCCCTTGATTAATCTTGGTGTTATCGGACATCAAGCACGATTGCAAAAGCGTTTGTAATCTGCGTCGAGTAAATTTCGATTAGCGCGACTAGCCGTTTTTAGGTTATACTTATTCGTAAGTGGCGAGAAAGGAGCAAAGTTAAGCGAGATTGAGCGTCATAATCGACAGTAGCCCGAGACATGCCAGGATTGCGCTTGGAATAAATAATTTTATCCAATGCTTCGTTTTTTCTTCATTCTAGGCTATCTTGCTCGCGACGCACAGAAAAGGAAACGGGAGGCTAGAGTTAGTACTCGTGCAACCGGACCTTAACTCCCAATCGCGTAGTACAAGTCAGTTAACACTTCCGGTTAATAATTTCCTATCCTGCTTTTGGGTCGTTTTATTTAACGTGGAAAGGAAAACCAATTTTTTTGGAGTCAACGCTAACTCATATCGACACGATTCGCTACTCGACCTCAGTTGATCAGCGCTAATTTCTCTAAATTATCCTTAACCATCCGCGCCACAGACAAGAATGTAACCCAGAAAGAGCGACGTTATAATCAACCAGTATAAATAGGATACCGTTAGTACAACTTTTCCTTGTGGCATATTCTTTGGTTTTTTTTTTAATCAAAGCGATTCAGGTTGTTCCTTCAAGCAACGACCTATAGCAATACCCAAAAAAATTCGACTATAGTTTCCCTGTAAATCCGCGAAGCTGTCATTCGACACAGAACAGCTGTGCAGCTAGAATTTTGTCTGCGAACCTAATGTTCATTTCTATCACATGCAGATCAACTTGAACCAAAAATTTCTACCGTGTAATTTGTCGTTTATAATCTAAACTTTCGTTCCACGTGTCGGATAACAAAGGATTAATTAGCCATGCCAACGGAAAACAGTTAAATAAGTTCCGCTTGATAGATTAGTCAACGTTCAGTCAGTCATCTTTATTTAACGCGGATTAACTTTAAAAGCGTCGTCTACAATGGCAGTGAGACGTAAGCAGTAAGTTATCGACTAATGGGATTTTTACAATTCAAGAATAATCGACTGTGGTTGGTCAATAGCTCACTGCTTACGTCTTACCGCATACTCCCGCTGCCATTGTAGACGACGCTTCAGCTTAACTTACTTCCTATCTTTTTTTTTTAGTTCTAAGAATTGGAAGAAACTGAATAATAGAAATAAACTGTAAGGACGACTTAGACTAAACGCCGATTATTTACAATTAGTCAAACGGAACTTGTTTAAACATTTCGTTAACAAATTAATCCTTTGCTGCCTAACACGTGGAAAGAGAGATTAGATTAGAGACGACAGATTGCACGGTTAAAAATTTTACAGCGAGGTTCTATCCTCAAAGTTAATCGGAGTTGAATCGAGGTCACCGCCCCCCCCCCCCCCCCCCCTCCAAGCTGGCCTTGCATCGCGTAGTAGCTCCTTTCCGTCAACTGTCAACTCGCGAACACCGAGACGACGACGAATATACCGGTCCAGGGGCATACGTCACTGGGCTCTCCTCGGAGCAGCTCAAACCCAATTCTCATGAGATCTCCGCGCACACATTCCGTCTTCCGCTTGAAACCCGCCGCGGACCCGAGATTCGAGATTCGAGATTCCCCGCGTGACGCAGGCGGAGGAATGCCTCGCAGTCCACTTCACGCGTGTCAATCCCCCCTCCGCCCCTCCCCCTCCCCTTTCCACCCATCGCCCTGCTTACGTACGCACGTTAGACGATTCACGATATCGAAAGGTTTTCCAGCAAAAATCTCGAATCGATCGAAGCGCGGTCATTTCTGAAAAGATTACAAAAAAAAAAAAAAATCAATTCACAATAGGCCTGTGTTTTCTTTACAGCTGAACTTCTCGCACGGTTCATCTTTCCTCTTTTTCTCTTCACGTTGGAGGGGAAAAAGAGAAAAGCTGAACCTATGCTCAGCGGGAAGCTCAGCTAAATAGAACAGACAAATAGTTCCAAAGAAAGGTCAAAGAACTGATTTTACAGAACGCCTCGAAAGGTCTCTCGATGCTATCTCGCGTCGCGCACTTCGCGTTCCTCTCCGCGCGACCCTCCGTTTCCTTTTATCTATTTCAAGTAGAGAACGCGCTGCCAGGTGATGGCAAGTCGTAAAAGTATTTGAAAAATTACATCTCGATCGTCCGCCTTCGACCACCACGGAGAACTACACTTCTCTTCAAAGGCATTTCGCGACGCGAAATATATCCCACGAATTATTTCGCGCAGCTCGAGATGCAGAGAGAGAGGCACAGATCAAGCAGGAAACGATACTTCGGCGATTCTCGAGCGCACCCGCTCGACGAGAGCCAGAGCCCCGTGTCTCGGTATGGCGACGGCGAGTCATAACCTCGTCGCTTTTCCCGTCCGCTCGACATGAACGTCCTCTTTCACGCGTACACACCAGATATATATGCCAATGACACGCGCGAGCATAAGCGCGCACACGTACACGGGAATCGCACGCGGGGTATACCTGTGTGTGCGCGCGGGTAACGGGCGAGTGTAGACGGGGGGAGGGAAAGGGGGAGGCATGTATATTTTACAGACCCCGCGCGCACACACACACACGCACGCACGCTCGCGTAGATCGTTACGATCGATCCGGTATAACGAGCGCGTGCACGCGTAATGTCGCCGACATCCTCGGCGCGACGGCGCGCGGTGCACGCGAAAATGCGCGTTAATAGAAATAGGAAATGCCACAGGAAGCGGCCAGCGTGGTGAAAGAAGGAGCAAAGCAACCGCGAGAGAGAGAGAAAGAGAGAGAGAGCTCGACGGCCACTAATTCGAGATTCAGCGCGTTCCTAGAACTGGCGAGCGCGCGATCCAACGGAGATAGCGGCGTATCCGCCCCGCGACAGCCACGACGACGAAGACACCGACGACGAGGAGGAGCCCGTGTGTTCCTACGTCGTCGTAAAAGCCAGGGAAAGGGGAAGAAAGACGGCGGACGGCCGCGCGGAGGATAAAATCGGCGGACAGCCGTGTTCCTTCTTTTCTTTCCTCTCTGTCTCTCTCTCTCCGTCGAGCAGGAACACGCTCGTTATACGGCGAAGACGATGCTCTCGCTCTCCGAGAAGGCATTTACACGTATGCGCGTACACACACGCGTACATTCTCTGTCTCTCTCCCCTCCCTTCTTTCTATCTCTCGCTCGCTCGCTCGCTCGCTCGTGTCTTCCTTTCTCATTCCATCTTGCCGTCCCCTACCTTCTCTCTCTCTCGCTCTTTCTCTCTCCTTTAACTCTCGCGTTCCGTTCCCGACACGCCGAACGTGCACACGGATAATCTTATCACGTTGCGCCTAGGCGAGTCCCTCTCTCGCACGCTCCATCTCTCTCTATCTCCCGTCGCCGTTTGGCGTTTTACCTCGGAGACGCTGTCCTCCTCGCTCTCCGACGAGTCTGTCATAAAGCGCGGCTGCAGCTCGGAGAAGGTCTCGGTCTCCGACTTCGTGGGGCTCGACGTCGACGACTGGGGAGTCGACGACGTCTTCCCGGTGTCGTGGTGGACGTTCGCCGACGAGGACACCGAGGACGACGATGATGTCGGTGGTGGTGGCGGCGGTGGTGCTGCTGCCACCGCTGCCACTGCCGCCGCCGCCGCCGACGCCGCTGTTGCCGCTACCGCGGATGCCGCCGTCGCCGCCGACGGCTTCTCGTGGCTCTTCTGGCTATCCGAGGTCGTTCCTTGTGCTACATTCTGCATCTTTAGCCCCCAGATAAATCATATATGACACACCAGTTTATCCCCGCTGGTAGAACCGTACCGCGGGGGACGAAGCACACACTCGTTAACACTCGATTAATTTCCCTTTTCCGCGACTGTGCGAACAATAAAAGCTCCTTCGGTCGAGAGCACGGTCGTCGTCATTCACGTAAGCTAACACCCGCCATTTTTCACTATGGCCGACGACGGCGAGAGAGTTCCCAATATCCACCTCTCGTGGCCTGCCTGCCTGCCTGCCAGGGCTGCCAGAATGTGTGCCGCAGAAACCGCCGCTAGAGCGAGCTGAGCTAGCCCAAAATCCGCACATTCCCTAGCAATGTAGCCCAATATCGCTTTTTTTTCGTATCTCATATAATATGATATAATATAATATCATATAATATGATAATAAACCATGCTGTCGCATCGAAGACTGTGTTTTTCTGTTTAGGACTTGCTCTTTCTCGCAATGTTTATTAGATTTCTTATGGGCGATAAGATCACTATGCTTTGCACGCAAATAACATTTGCATAGTTTACAGTATGCTTCCTGCTTGCCATTCAACACATCAATCTCATTGCTTTCTTCAAGCCAATCTATGGACACAGTAAAAATGAAAAGACGTCGAATTAGACCTCTCTTCGACGCATTCGACGTCTAATTCAACATCTATTCTATCAACTATTATTTCTCACTGGGCATATATAAACTTAAATCTCAAAGAATATAATAGAAGCATTAAACAGAAAAAAATAAAGTTAAAACAGTACAGATTTGATACTTACTCTTCAGTTCTGGTTCTATTAACCATTTCTTTTGGAAACGTTTCTTATATTTACCCCATTTACCCATCTTTACTATTGTAATATACAATATATATATCACATTTATTAAATTGCACACGATATAGATACCATAAGACAAATTTAAAACTACCCGCTCATAAAAGCTATCAATAACGATCAGACAAGAAGAGGACTGTGTAAAGATGTCAAATCGTGGCCTTGGTTTTGTGCAGACACAACGACAAGGCACGTCAGTGTGGCGCTTGGCGCTCGTCAATTTGTCGAAGCGTCACACCGACGTGCCATTTCGTCGTGTTCGTGCAAAGCTGAGACCTAGCGTCTCTGTCGTGCAATGTCCAAGTGCGTTCCTTGTCTGTGCGGCGCAAGCGCAAGCGTAGAATGCAGCCATAGATTTGCAAACCAGTGTTGCAAATCTCATAGTGCCAAACTATCGGTGTTTCCACAAATTCAAACCCAGATGAATTGAGTATTTTCGCTCAAGACACGGTGTACTGTAAGATATAATTGTAAGATTACATAAAAATTATATTTTACACCGTGGCTTAAAAAATAGCAAAATGCGGAAATCCTCGTTTGAAAAATTTATACCGCACAAGAGTCCTCTAGATAGCCCAATTTGCGTTAAATAGCCCAATCTGGCAGCCCTGCTGCCTGCCTGCCTGCCAGAGCCGCGGATCTCGCGCACATCCGTCGGCGCCGAACGCTAGGCGATTCCGACGTTCGACGTGGCGCAGCGTCGTCGTCGCCGCCACGTGTGGCGCGTAATTTCAATTGCCTCGCGCGTGCGTCACATTACAAGTATCTCGCAGCCTCCCGTGACGGATTTACCTCGACAATGGTCGAATAAAACTAGAAGAACGATTAAACCTTTGTTTATTTGTCTGGCAGATGAGGAAAAACAATGGGTGGTTATTGCCTCGAGGTCAGAGTTATCCAGCAATTTGGAGGCAGGATATAGTTGAAAATGATGAAAATAATAATCCTCTTTTTTCTTAAAGAAGCGAATTGTTCCCAGCATATTTTTTTAAACTGTGTGAAATAATTTTTAGTCTGAATAATTAGAAACGGATGATTAATTTGTCCTGAGTTTTTACTTGTTACCTGTAACATTGATCTTGAACCAGAAAGCAGGTGAAGGTAACGGAATCGTTACAAGGGATGTGAGGCTGCAATGGCATCAGAATTTTGAAGTACTCTCGCCCGCGGAATCGAATTTTCATCTTTATGTTTTCCTTGGAAAGTATATTTACTTTTTTTTTAATTTTTTTTAGAAAAGTGTCTCTGTGTGACCGTGCCAGCATGTGTAAAAGAAAAAGAGCTAAAACCATGATCTAATCGTTATGTAGTAAACATTATGTCCAAGATGTATCAATCACATAATAAATATATTTCAAATGCTATTTGTAAAGGCGTTTTTACATACGTAACACTAATTATCATAAATAAATCTTATCGGAAATTCTGTTAAAAAAAAAAACATGATAGAAGCTACATTTTGATCTCGTCAAATGTATCATTATCACTGTACTATTTGCACATTTCGTTTACTTCTATTATAAGAATAGCTCGATATCTATTTCCATCGCAGAACATGGAATATTTAATTCGAACTTCGAGAGTACATCGGGATGTAGGACTCCCATCTTTCCTATCACTTTACCGTGACAGACAATTTCGGCGCATCGCTGAGGGAAAAATGTCGGGTCTGCAAAATAGGAACAATAAAATTCTTTCATATCGGCCGATTTCGATTTCATTTTTATATTCTACGATTATTTGATCGAACGAATATATATTTTAGGAACCATGTATCTTACCGTCAGCCGCGCGCAGATAATATCCATCTTCGTCTTTATTAGCGCTCCAAGGTATCTCCAATAATAATAACACTCTGTCCACTAGGCCGTGAATTATCTCGAAACCAGCCGATTTATTAGCATATACCGCGCATAAACGGCGATTGTTGCGCGCACCGACTTCCGCCGTGTCGTCTCGCAATACAACGTCGGAAACTTCGAACAGCTTGTGAGGCAGAGGCATTTTTTTATTCGCAGATATCGTCTTGAGTAATCCCGGTAAAAGCGTAGTACGCGCGACCTGCAACAATTCATATTTATTAAAATATTTTACATTTCAGTGTTTAAACGACTGCAATCCAAAATATCTTAGTTCGTTCAGATAGTCTTTACAGCACGAACTTTCGTATTTTTTATGTTTTCCTATTCTTAACCATCTGAATTTCTACAAATTTAACTTCTCTTTCTGCACTGTTCTCTCGCAAGTAGCAAATGTAAAGTAGTTTGCATTAATTACGTGCGTAACGATATTTATTCTTCATGCCACGTCAGTCGCATGTCAATCGAATGAGTGGGAACTGAAGGAGTTAAGAATAGAACTGCTCGATTCTGATTATACGTTTCCGACGATTTTAATGAGTCCGTGAAGGCTCTCGATGTGTCACTCGTTTTACCTGAAATTCCAAAGTTTTTGGATTGGATATGTGAACTGCCGGTACATCCTCCAGCTTGTGTCTCAATTTGTCTGCTACATCCTCACGCGAACACTGTTAAATAATTAAATACAAATCAAAACACTTATCTTATATATCAAAGATAAGTGTGTTTTCAAGCTTGAAAAGATTTTTTCGAAACGCACCAAAGAGAAGGTCAGCGCTTCGGTGAATCCCGCTTGGGCCAATTCCACTCGTATCTGGTCGGTAAGCTTGTTGAGTGGAAACTGTAATTCACACACGTACGTAAGTATATCAATATATAAAATCGTATTTCGGTATTTAATCGCCGAATATTTACCTCTGCTGCGATTGTCGACATATGTGGTATCGTCTTCTCTATTTCGTTATACCCATAGGCGATGGCGACGTCCTCATAAATATCACAAGGATGTATCACATCGTGTCTCGTCGGTGGTATTTCCACCATTAACGTATCCTTGCCTTTCACCTTGGATTTTAAAGACATCTTTGACAATAACTCCGCCACTTGATCCGGTGTTTGCCTGCACGAAGATACCACGAGCATGTTTTTAAACGACTACCTTGTCATCTGTAATCGTTACTACACGCGTGACGGAAAAGATTTGATTACATACTTGATCCCAATGTAGCTAATTGCTTTATTATGGCTGATCTCTTCCGTTCGATATTTTAATTCTGGATAGTAGAAAGTCTGTTTATCGGGATACACTACTTCCACAATTTCGGCTGTACATTTCGTCTTGCAATACTGACTGAAAGCGCAGACTATAGTGTCCACCACTATCCTTGCCTGCAGGTTATTCATGATAACTTGTAATAATTTGTGATAAAGCATACATATTATTTTATATATATTAGTACTATTAATTATTTGCATCTTATACTTTTCAATCATTAGAGTTTTAGAATATTACTTGTAAATAAAAATACATAAATTAGGACTATACTATGCGTGTACCTTTGTGAGATCAGTTGCTGTGCACTCAATGAAAATATTTTTTGTATCGAGCGTGATCTTTGAATGATCGCCATTGATGATAGGAGGGAGAGATAAAACGACACCATTACTGTCATATACCACCGGGTAAACAGGACTGTCTTTTATGATAGGTAAATATTGTTTGAGCTGCGCGTGTGTCTGTAAACATTAGACGTACGATTACAAATAGGGATTACAAAGAATTTCCTCTGTTACACGTAGAATTATTTACAGAATTAACAAACGGTAAGAGAAGTACACTTACTGCATACAATTCCATGATTTCTTCTCCTGTATATTCTTTATCTTGATTAAGCGGTTTGAAACGTATCTCCGATGGTGGTCTGGCATCATACAGGAATGGGCCTTTAACTGTGTCCAAGTCATGAGTGCCAATAGAGACTAGACTGCGTTTTCTTCCTATATTCTGATGCAGCTTATCTTGAAGATCGATAAAGCTGTTGTAAGACTCCTGTGTTAAGGTAACGTCCCTCAAAATTGCAGCAACTATGTGTCCCCTTACTTTCAAGCACTGAAACACAAGGAGATAAATTATTTAATGCCAAATAAGATATATATTTTTCATAAACACTATATGCAGTACCTCTGGACTCATCACAATCTTTTCCATTCCCGTTTTCGGTTTTATTGCCTTGTAACGTGGAATAGATATCCTATTTAGAAGAAAAAAAATGAATAAATTTTATATGTTGGATTTTGAATATGTGGAAATAAAATTCGTTTTACCTAAACTATAAAAAACATGTGATATTTACTTGTTTAAGAATATGAGCAGTCCAGTACTTAGGCTCTCCAAGCACAAGAGATCATATCTGTTAGCAGGTATATCAATCTTGTAGATAATTTCTTCGGAGGCATCTACACCTTGGTCGGAGCCTTGTTCTTTCGCTATCATCTGTTTCTCCGTTGTCTATTCGCAAAAGATCAAGTAATTCGTTACAATTATCGTGAAGTTTAATGTATGTACATGAACTATTAGTTGAGAATTCAATGCTTACCACTTCGTCTAGCTCCAAACCAAACTTGAAGCATAACGTTTGGAACTCGTCGTCGGCTGGAACAAAGTTTCAAAGTCAGAAAGAAAAGCTTAAGAGTCACATATACGTAAGTATATTCATGTAATAGTTTATGTATATATGATACATAAACCAAGTTTACCAGTAAAAAATATATATAACTTACAATACGTTTTGCCCAACGCTTTGAACAGCGAGTCACGTTTTACTCCAATAGTCGGCATTTTTATATCACAGCAGTCTCAGCGTGATCAAGTACACTCTCGATATTCTTAGCGTTTCTTTTCCCTCACGGAAATGTCAGGTTTCTCGTTAATTCATCTGTAATAATTAGTTACAATCAATTTCTAGGTTAGGTTAGGTCTAATGTTATCAGAACAGATTTTCCTCAGATTAATCTACTCCGAAGTCAATTAACTTTCTCTCGGCTTGACTTATGTCCATTTCCGCGAATATAGAATCACTTTAATCTCGGTTTAACTTACTTTTCATCTTTTTCCAGTTCTAAGAATTAGAAAAGAGAAAATGAAAAGTTAAGCCGAGATTGAAGTTAATTTACAAGTTAATTTACATTGATAAAAATGGACATCAGTAATCCCATTTACGATCAACTCGCAATCGCTTGCATAAGAAATTGCCACGTGCTGCAAAGGCAAAGTGGCGTGTCGTTTTACCTGTTCGTCAGCCGGCACAGGTTCACATCAAGAAAACGCGAAGAAGCACGTAAAACTTTTGCGAGGGAGGACGATATCGAGGACGCGAGACAAGAGGAATAATATCCGTTGATATCGCTGAATTTATTCGTTATTATTCGCGTCTATTCTCTAATTAAACCATGTGTTCATCTCGCGTGTCTCGCAGCAAATGTAACGAAAACCGGAAGTGCGGTTTCGTCATTGCAGGTTAATTTGCGCGGAAGCTGCTGCGCGTTAGAACTCGTCCACGCGGACGAATTTTTGCAAATTTAAATGAAATGAAACTTGTAAAGATATCACAATTTATTACATAAAAGAAATCAACGGATATAACCAACGCAAGTTGAAAGAAATATATAGAGTTCGTGCGTACTTATATATATTATTTATTTCACATTTTATTAACAACTGCTTACGTTTTGTATCGTGATATATATATAAAAAAATTAATTAGAATATACACCTGTCCTAAACGTCGTACATGAAAGAAAGGAAAAGAACGCCCTGCGTACAAAGGTATCAAAAGCTATTACATTTATCGCATCGAGTTTACAATTAATACAGTTTTATCTCCGTCGACATACGAACAGCATTGACGTTTGTTCGGAAATAATGAGCATTGTACGTCTGACAAAAGCGCAAATAATATTCGGACTCGAAATATACGTCTAATTTCTATTCATACTTATGTAGATACCTTACTTGAAGTATAATATTGTACATAATCTTGAAAAATGTCTAGGAGTCAAATATATATTAATATATATTAATATACATCAATATATATATGTATATATGTACGTATGCGTATGGATTATACAGTTTACCTAGATACTAGACAGATGTCAAAGAAACATTCTCCCGCGATACGCGTTGTTACAAAACTCCCATTATTATAAATTAGTTGAAATGTCACTTGTACTTCCAGTGTGATCAACCGTTGCGCCGAACAGTTGTGCGGAGACAATGGAAAATCTTTATAGATCCTCGACAGTCGCTCAATTGATCAACGTGCTGATCATTCTGGAATACGAATCACAAGCAAAGGAGATTAGAGCCACTTATGCAGAGATGCGGAGAGACACGAGAGAAAAATAAACTCACCCGTATAAGTAGTAAAAAAACGACAGAAGATAAAATGCCAGTTTAATCCATCCCTCTCTGTGGTACATGGACAAATCATAGGCGTTCATTATGCTCGTAGGGTCGTAGAGGCCCGATTCTGTCATCAGGGGCCTGTTCATGTATCGCCACACATGATAGGCTATCAGTGGGACGTTGAGGAACAGCGAGAAATATTGCTCAGCGAACAGAAATAAAATACTGCTCACGGCGTGCAGTATGTACTCTGGTAGAACGAGCTGAAATTGAGATGTGCGGTGATTAGACAATCGTCAACTACGGGTAATGTCTCAGTGAGCAAAATGTTAGCAGTACTCTTAACAGATTCTAGCAGAATACCGTGGTATCAACTACAAACTGTGGTTTCCCAGTTTCACAAGTGTCGGTTAACTTTAACGTCCCCTTTTAGAAAGAGACGAAAAATGAGTTAATCTAAGATTGAAAGTTAACCGACACTTGTGAAACTGGGCCTTTAAATCCGCCAACCGGCAATCTGAGATCAGATTGCCGGTAAAAACTGAGAGAACAATCATTGTAAACATTGCAGAATTTGCCCAGTTTTTTGGTCAATCTACAATTGCGTTCTGTTAATAGATTCTGTTATATTTCTGCCGGCGTTCCGCCGGCAAAGTTTGCAGCAGACGCTCTCCGCAAAATTCGTCTTCAACGAGTTTGGCTAACCGAGATTATTCGATACCCGATACACATGTCTTACCGGATTTAAATTGTTGCACTGATCGATCGGATTCTTGTATCCAGTCTTTAACTCGTCGAACGTGATCACCTGAAAAGTCCAATGTTAAAAGTTATTAATCGCATGACAACGTGTTTTAAGGTTATAATCGCTGTTGGGTCGGCGCGCCCTGCGGACCCACATCGCCGTGAACGTCTCACGCGGGACACGTACGTGAAATATCGCGAAGAATATCAGAAACGCGTCGCTGATCAACGCCACGATGTACGAAAAAGCGGCCAGGTTGAACGCCATCCTGCATGTATGACAAGAGCCACCGACGAATCGCGACCCGAGTCCGCTATCAAGTCCGTGATCACGTGATAAGCTCGTATTATCTGATACGAAAATAAAAGTGACTTTTTATTCGCGTCCCGTTACCGTCGATCAATCACTTGAATCGACGTTATGAATTGCAAATTAGATTTCATAATACTGTTTTTTTTTTCTTTTTTTAGACCTACCCAGACAGTCAATTTCTCTGCCGGAAGCAAAATCTTGCCGGTGTCCATGTTACGTTATATGTTAATGGTTAACAGATATATAAACAAAGTCCTAACGAGATCGTTTGACCAAATTAAATTTTACCAACAGATTCTATTTCAATTTGTGAAACATGATCCTAATGCAGACGTCAATTGATGTCGATTTGTTGCAAAATTCTGCTCGATTCTGCTGGCAAACTGTTATGATTGCTAACATTTCGTTTCCTGGAATCATTCCAAGAACAGCAGGATCTTTTAACATGCTTACAAACTCTCTTTTTCAATGGGGGATATATAACTGATTCCTGAGAGAAAACGTTTGAAGTATTTTATTGCTTTCGAAGGCAATATATAAAGCGTATATGCATCCAGTCGTGCGAAGGATACGGGGGAACAATAATTATCTTTCTTAAAAATCTACCTCTCGATCGCTGTACAAGGTTTTGATACGCAGCAGGTTGTATGCGTTTCTATGAGAATAATTTTCAAACGGTCCTAGTGATATCCGAGTTGTAAGTATGATTAAGCAGATGCTGGGACTCCACTCTGGCCCTCGTTCCCTCGTGATCGTCCCACCTGGAGTTATAATTCGAGAGCACTTCCCTCTTGGGCCTCAACATGTGCCTGATGTTACCGTAATTCACGTCCATCTCCTTGAAGGCGTTCAACAGGAATATGGCGATTATAATTACGAGAAAGCCGCAGGAGGAACCTAAAATATTTTCCGCGCTCATCTTCGTCCATTCCTCGAACAAAATCGCGGACGCTATTATCACCAGAGTTGTGAAGAAGACGTAGTAAATTGGCGTCACGATCGACGTGTCGAACAGATCGAGCGATTTATTCAGATAATTCATCTGTATCATGATGCAGAGGATAACGCTGAATATGAAGACCCATGTTAGCCAATTGGCGAAGGCGTTCTCACCGCCAGAGATGGTCTCCTTCAGCGCCAAGCCCAGACCCTTGCAGCTCATGACGGTCAACGAGCCGACGGACGAGCACAGACAAATGTACACCAGAATATTTTGCTTGCCGTACGCCGGGCCGAAGTGAAAGACGATCGACAAGGTGGACATTATTACGATTAAGACGTACAACATGTAGCCCGGTTCTCTTATCTTGACAATCAGCTCGCTCAAACTGCTGACCTCTTCCTCCTTTGGGGAATGTAATACTATTATTGTGGAGCCTAAGATACATAACAAGCAACCCATCTAAAACAAAAAAAAGGCAAATTGCAGCATTATCGTCGCAGAATATATACTGTAAGTTACTTTCGACGTTTAATATTTTCACCTGTGAATATTTTTTACCTTTCCTAATAGATTCAGTTTTTCGTTAAGATATCTAGAGGCTAATACTGCTGATACTAGAACACTTAAGGCTCCCAATGGTGTTACGAGCGACGCCGGGGCGAATGCGTACGCAACAAAGTTCGCCGCTTCCCCTATGCCCACTGCAACATTTATTTCGAATGTTTTTACGTAAGTGTAAGAAATTGACTGACGCCCGGAGCCTTTTTGAGATTCATACGTACTGGATAAAAGGCCAGCCCACCATATCCATTCTTTCAAATAGCCGAAACCACCGGACGACGCGCGCAGTCCTCCATACTTTTGCAGCTGGATTAAAGCCTTCTTTTTTATGATAAAACTGGCACCTAAAAATTAGGAGAAATAATTAAATTCCTTCTCATATTTGCTAAAGTTTCTTCTTCCTAATATTTAGCTCTTTTTTTGCAGAAGCAAGATAAATAATACTGTTAATTGGATGAAGTATATTTTGATATAAAATTCTGAATGAATCAACTTGTCCACGTCACTAACCTATAAAACCGCTGGAGCTAATTGCTAGTCCTAAACCTATGTAAAAATTTGTCGCATCGTAATGTACATCGTTGTTCGTCATTTCTGTGACAGAACTCATGACTCACTCCACCAAGCAGATATTGATTCCAATGATTTCCATTCAATTATACGTTTCCATTTTAGCCGCTTATATTTGGCAGATTATCGAAATGACTATAAAAATATTCACATGACGGTATCAATTGATAAAATATTTCTTACACATCTCTTGACGCAGCGTGACACAACCGTCACACTACTCTTCCCCAAAGAAGATTATCTTTGCTCTTCCACTCTTCCCTACCACTGCCGACCACAATTTCTGTCTTCGCCAGAACTGGCAAAAGTCGATCGATTAATCGATGTTCGATTAATGCTTAAAAACTCGAAATTTTTTTTGTTCAATCTTGTTAGATTTTAATTAATCAGTATTCAATACAGAGTAGTGCAAATGACCGAATTTGTTGATTTTCAATTACTAAGAAATCAATTTGTTCTTTAAACCAGAGTCTAAAGAAAAATGTAAGATCAATACAATTTGCATTAATGTATAAGAATGAGGAAATTCAGAAGTTTATCGCAATGTTCCAGCATTAAATGTTTTTAGAATTGAGAAAAAGACAATTAAATATTACAAAATTTAAATATTATAAATATTATGAAACAGCCAATGTATTTGGTATTAATTATGAACATATTTAATGCCGTAATCTGCTTGCGTAACGAAAATTGAAATACATGAAGTAAAATATTGTTACAGATCAGAGAAACGATATGAAAATATTTATTACACAAAGATCCCGCCGTCGTGAGTAAATAAATATATTTATATATTACACTTTCACACTTACAGTACACAGTCGTTGGAAAATATATGCGAGTATACATGTGTATGTTCACTAATGTGTCTACACGAATGTCTTTACAGCAAATTATCTTATAATAAAGTACACATAAAGAGATTACCTTCGCTGTATTTAAGTATAAGATTTTTCACTATGAAATTATTCTTTTCCTGTAAACCGATCGTTATTACATCATTATTAACATAACAAATAATTTTCGGTGGTGACAAAACTATAATGCTTTGCTGTAATTTCGTAAAAGAATATACTTCGTTTCACAGGAGAGAATAATCTCGATTTATGTCTGATGACAAAATAGAAGAACAGTTCAAGTTCAAGTGGGTAATGTTTAAATTTCACGCGTCGATCAACGTAACTGAACATGGATAGGCATGGATATTAATATTTTTTCCGCTTTGAGAGAGGAATTCGTTCGATCGTGATGGACAAAAATCGAGATTATTTTCTTACGGGAAAGTATAAGATATTTATAAATTTCCGCTTTAATCTCCTTTCGCAATACACCGCTGTCGTAATTATCATTAAATTATATCGCACGATCATGCGATGCAATTTATCTTATAATTACATAGCTAATATAGTACTAAACGTAAAGATACAGAGCAATGTGGAATAAGCGTGTCCCTGTCGTACTGATAAGTGGTAAGTGCGCATCGAGGAGAGTGATGACTATAATATATCACCATATACTCCGATATGTGATATAACTATATATCGTGTCGTATTATCGTAAATGTTCAAACAAGGAACAAGTTATTAATTACATCAAGTAGAATCGTCGTACCATTATCGACACGTGTGTATCTCAACTGTACGTACACAGTAGTAGCTGGCGACATGTTTAACATGCAATATAATAAATCAGAAGCACATGTTGCACAAACACAGCATTGCGCGTTGCGCTCGTTACTTCCCGGTTTTTGTTATTGTTCTTTTTTTTTATCTTTTTCTTCCTTTACACATGGGAGAATCTGACATATTCGGCGAGTGTTCGATTTCTTGTGTCTTTGGCACGCAAAGATGACTCTTAGAAAATGGACTACCATGTATAGGGATCATTTTTGCGCTGGAATTTAAATTTCCGGCAAAAAATAATTATTATTAATTAATATTTTATTACGAGATTTAATTAATAGATTTCATAAACTAGTATTATCACGAAAATTTATTGAATTAATAAATAATTAATAAATTTGATAAACTAGTATTAATACGAAAATATATTAAATTCTCGACTTTATTAGTCAATAATAATTAAGAAGTAAAACAATTTTTCTCTGCCTCCTACTTTATTAATTAGTCTCAAATATTATTATAATATTCGTTCGAGAAACTCGATGAGCCAATTCTTAAAGTGTAAAATATTAAAACATCTTAATTAAAATAATTAGTCGTTTTATAATAAGCGTCGGAATCATTTTCACGCGCCAATGGCACAAGAAACTCTGTGCCGCAGCGAAATTAACAATTATTATCACGAATATTCATCAAGAAATTACGAATTCTGATTAATCGGGAATTCGGTCTTTACACAAAGCCCGATCTTCGCTCTTTCTCTATTCCTTTTTTTTTAAATCAACATTTCATATATAACGAGAGTATATAATAGTAATAAAAAAAAGAGAAAGAAATCAGCGACATGTGACTAAGTGCACATATAACAGATGGTCCTCACTGTGAAGTGACACGCTATAAGAATGATTTCTCATACAAACGTGTGCGCGTGTATGTGTATAGAAAAATAATCTTGCATGTAAGAGGCTTTATTTTCCTATTAAAATTAAAGCCTTAGTAAGAGGTGTGTAGAATTAATTCTCTTAAACAAGAAAATATTAATCGTCAAAATTATTGTCTTGAAAAAAATATATAAATATTTTTAAATATTTTAAAAGTATATTTTTAAATAGTTTAAAAATATAAATATATCTTATATAATTTACCTTGTCATGAGTATTTCTGTTTATTTTTTTATTGAACAAAGTAATTGGAAAAATCTTTCTTTAAGAGAATAATTTTACTTCTTATTAAAAAAAAAACATCTCAAATATTTTGTTTTAAATAATCGCTTATTCGCGCGTTATGTATTATAGTTGTTATATACTGCACAAAAATCGGTGAGAAAAGCACATATAGACATACACGTGCGCACGCGCGCACAAAATTGATAATAAAAACTCATATAATAAACATTTTATCGTAATCATTATTACATACAATAACGAACAAGAACGAATGGAATTGCACTAAATATTTTTATCTAGGCTAGCTATAGGAGAATCTATGCTGATCGATAATCAATTAATTTCGCATGGTTATATTATATCGAAGTCATACGTAATCTTAATGATTTAAATCTCGATAAAAATTAACAATATCAATAATAAAACGCAGGTCAAATAATAAAAATTTAATTAATAACAAAATAGCATCGATTAAATTACGAATATAATTTCTTTTCTTTATCATAGCATTTCTTTTAAAGTGATCCTTCCAAAATAATTGCCACAGATATATAATGTTACATAAAATGTAACTTGAAACAGCTGAAATTTGAAAAAGAATTAATGCACTTTTTTTATTTTATTTAATAATTCGAGTTTAATTTTTTTGCAGGAAATAAAAAATCACGATGTAAAACCATTTAATGGTAATTATGCAAAATTGCCAAAAAAAAGATAAATTTTTAATTTCCATTAACTATTATAAAAAAAATTTTCTAAACAATCTCCAAAAATGTTTATAAAACAAGTAAAAAGATAAGTTTTGGTTGCAGAGAAATTGAGATCAAATTAATGCATTAGTTCCGTAGTCTTTTCTTTTCTAAAAAGATAGAAATTTAGATAACAATTAAATTTAAACCAGCATAATCTATCTCTATTACTCTTACATGAGTTATCCTCGATTATATACAGTACTAAAAAAAGAAACGCATTAATTTAATGATAGATATAATCGTATATCACCGTTAAAGAGAAGAAGATTCAAATTATTCATAGCTCTTGTGATAGAAAAATAAGACAACTTTCGTTCGAGTATATTACAAATATATAAATATATATACGTGTGTATGTGTATGTGTGTACGTATGTATGCATGTAAGTCCTCCTGAGGATTTATAAAGTGGAATCGATGAGACCCCGTCTATATATAAAAAAAAGAAAATCTTGCTTCCACTAAAACTGGAATTGTTTTCATCGCTCTTTGTTATTCCGTAAAAATAGAAAAAAAGAGACGATTTCAAATTGCTATTGCAACGATTTCCTAAAAAGGGTAACTGGACCTCCCCTCTCTCGAGACGGTCCTCAAAAGTCGAGTAAACTCTGGCAGAAAGTTCGGTAATTTTTAATATGTAATTCATCTAATTAATAAAATTGATGTTAATATTAATAATTGACGTAAGGATTATATTATTCCGTGGAGATTAATTTCCTTATATAATAATTAATTAAACATCAAATTTCATTAATTAAACATAAGCACGAGGTTCTCTTCGAGTTTCTTTTCGTGCGTTTCTAACACAGGAAGAATTGCCGATTCTTTTGAAAGAAAAATTTTAAAACAAGACGTATAAAGGGTACCGTCGTCGAGCTGAGACAGCGGTTTCGTTCTCCTTTCCATCTTCGGAATATAGAAATTCTATAAATATAACGTCCTTCAAAAGGAACGCGATTTCTTTTTTAGCACATGTATCTACAATATATGTATAAGCATATAATGTAATAATGTGTCGCTCTTATTATCATCGCAGAGTGTAACCTTATCGATTAGGTCAAGCGCGATCAGCATTCTTTTCGAATGTATTATCCATTACATGTATATGTGATATCGTATCATCAATAGACAGTATACGAAATCTGCATATAATTAAATATGTTAATTAATATATTTCTCCTCGTGCTCACATGTGCCCCGCGGATGTTTATAAAACATTGACCGCGTGTTAAGCTAAATTTTAACAAATTCCGTAAAAAAAAAAAATATATACATACATATATATATATATATATATATATATATATCGTAAATTTCACTATCTCACCCATTCACCTCTTCCTTAAATCGGAGAGAGGCAGTAGGTCAATTCAAGAGATCAATCGAGAAAATTGGTTAATTTGGAAATTAGCAATTATATTCATTTAATTCGATTTACGTAAACGATATGAATTACGTCATGTCTGGCGTTTTTCCAGCTCATGTAGCTATTTAGCCGAGTACCGAATTATCGCTCAATTTCAACTGTCGAGAACTGATGCCTAATGGGGCTAATAATTGTTATTCAGATTTAAAATTGTACAATTTTTACAATTTTTTATCACGTGATATTCTAATTAATGTGAAAAATACTCGAGAAAAGGTTTAGGTCCGCACGCCTGCGTGTACCATGTATATTCCCCGACCTTCACGGATTGAAGGAGTTCTATACTTACCCTCGATCAATATTAATTAGAGGAGATAGAATAGGAGATTGATTTTTGACATGTAAAAATACATGTTTCCCAAAGGAGAAAGGAGAGCAGAGCTTGAGAGGAAAAAAGAAAAGAAAGGAGTTGGCGTCCTATTATTTATTCTTCGAGGTGACGGTGTCTTTCTCGCCTCCACTGGACCAATGTTTCTCTTGCTCGCGCAGCTCAAATTCCCATCGCAGTTCTAGCTCGCGCATATCGTTCGCTAGTCCAGCCTCGTACGTATCTTCCTGCACTCACATCAATCAATCAATTAATTGATAAATCAATCATTCGTACTTCACAATCACGCTAAATTTTAACTTTTATCATACTATAATATTTATATAAATTATATTTGTTCATACAAATAAAAAAACGTTATGAAATTGACCTAAAATCTTCAATAAAAATATAAATTTTCTTGCGCTCTTGTCACACAAAAATATGACTGATAAACTTGTAGAAATTAATTAAATTACAAAGTAAACTGGCATAGAGTGACCTACTTCTTCAGTTTTGTAATCCGTATTATACTCTTGATTTGAGAGCCAATCGTTAGGGGATTGCTGAATCCAAGGAATGGTGGTAGTGCCGGTACCACCACCGTACGGGTTGCTCCAGTTTCGTACATCTCTTTCCCTTTCTCTGATGCCCGCTTCGATCATTCGCAATTCCTGCGTCAGTCGCTCGCCCGCCGTGACGAAAGTAGTAGCTCCTTGCGTAGCCAACTGAACATGCGCATGTAGAATGTGAATTGAATATTTTCTTGCATTTCACAGAATTCAAAACGTGACACATTACCTTTAAGTCATTGATTTTCTTCTCCAGATGTCTAAGTTGCTGCTTCACCTTCTGCGACTCCAAAATCAAACTGAAATATATAATGTATAAGATATAACATATAATATGCATAATGTATATACTTATTATATCCTTTTATTTTTTATCATTAACAAAAATGAAAATTATAAATAAAAGAATAGGAATATATGTATATACATATATATTACTTACTCTTTTGACATACACTCCGATCTCGAGAATTGTGACAGTGATTCTGGCGCAATAATATTGCGGCCAAGAGCGACGTAATTATCGCCAATGAAACCACTATCACCGTCACCATTACCGAGGTTCGTTGACGTCACCGATTGTATTCCATTCACGCCAACCGCTGCGTATGCTGCAACAATAATTAATACCAATTTAATAACTATATCATATGTGTTTTATCTATAAAAAAAATTCTATAAAAAATACAAATATTTGAAGAGAGAAATTACATCCAAAATCCACTTATATCTTGTATAGAAAAAATTATTCATAGATAAATGAAATTTCTAGAATATAATATAGAGTCATATATATGCAATGATTTAGATATATATATTATTTCTGTTGACATATGCTTATCGATAAAAATAATACTTCGCACTCACGTTGATTGCCATAGTACCAGGAGGTTACAGAGTTTGGAGTTCTGAATGCAGTAGACAGCGCGGGAATAGGAGTAGGTTCAATCCCCTCGTTGTAAAGATGTTGCAGAGCTCCGTTGTAGGGAGATCTAGTATTATTTTATTATTATTACATTATAGAATAAAATTAATAAAATTATAATTATAAAAAGTTATTAAGATTATACATATTATTATTAGATCGATAGAATATATTATTTATTATCACCTTATCAGTGTTTTCGATAGTCTTGAGATAGGTCCCTGTTTGCTAACCGGCGGCAAGGTCGCGGGAGATACGTCTAACGGGGTCATAAAGGGACCGTCATCATCAAGAAGATGCGAAGCTGACGAGGGCGGTGGCGGAGATGGATCCGTCCCAGATGAACAGCGAAAGTTATTCGCTGCGGTCCATATCGAATAATTGTTGGGTGTAGTCAATAAGTCACTCTCTTGCTGAAGATCATAATTCTAAGGAAAAATATATAATACATGTACAAAATATTTTATTTTAATCTGTGCAAAACATCCAAATGTAAAGAAAAATAATATGATGACAGGACATGTATTTTACCGTTTTTATTTGTGGCGATATTAATTGTTGCTGCTGCTGCTGCTGCTTGCCGACGATCATTTCTAGCTGATTCAGAATCTCCATTCTGCGTTGCAACAACATCGCCAACATAGTTTTTGCCACGGCCGTTCGCTGTTGCAAAGTTATTTTCATTGTTATTATTATATTATTATTATATTAAAATTATATTAAAACTACCATTACAATCAACTGCCAATTACATTAATAATGAATATTATTAAAATTATATAATTAATAATAGAGTGTTGTAGTTATCAATATTGAAATTAATATAGCCTATTCATGATATATATAAACTTGGTTTTACATTTTTAGATTTCTTTCATTCCAGCTTAAAAATTTATTATTGTGTCTTTTAAACCTGCTCTTTAATTTTTGAATATACAGAACGAGCAAAGAAATTTTTTTTACTCTAATAAATCTATGTTTCTATTACTATTTACATTAATTTATCTTATGAAATTTTAAATTTTGGCAAATTATTGATTGTAAGAAAGTAAGCAGTTTTCTCTCTAACTTTTTTGTAATTTATCGTTACTTGATTTGCCGGTACAATTTGTGGAGTGTCCCACATCCCCAGATTCGTTGCGGTTGTCAACGAAGGTCCGTAGTCGACAGTGGGAACGGGTCCCGGTGGCATTATGTAATGCCCGGAACAATGGACACCAGGAGGCCCTCCACTGTCCATTATAGTTCCTCCCTTTACAGAGCACAGACTGAGGTGTGGTAAGTTTTGCGGGGGTGTAAGCGGCAGCATATAGGTTGATGTCAATGAGTCAATCAAGTTATTTTCCAAGTTGGCCGGAACGGGCGTTGAATGTTGCACTACCGCTGTAACAATTAAGATAAAATCATATAATAAAGATAATTGTTCTATTTAAGTACATTTAAATAAAGGGTGCTTTACTTGGGCATTTAAAACATCTTTTATTACTATTAAGAATATAAACAAATTCTCAAATCAAAGTTGTTGCAAAAGAAATATCTTTATAGTCAGTATATTATTTTATCGTTTATCATATAAATATTCACTTACTATTATCTCTATCGTGTGCTTTGGCGGAATAAGTCGTCAAATCACCGTTTTGCTTGTTGAAAATTTTGTTATTCTTCTCGCCCTTCGATTCTGACTGATTTGAATTCGCCCTGACACTCAACTTACGATTCTTCGATCTGTACCTATGCAAAAAAAAAGATTGAACTAACAAAGGCCTTATTTTAAAAAATATATATAATGTAACCAAACCATTGTATGTAAACAAACCGTTGTAGCAACGAAATAGTTAAATATAGTTTGATACTTGTAAAAAAATTAATTACTCGAAATCATTACCATTATTTCCAAAATATAATACAACTGATAATAAAAATTGCTATTTTTTATAATCCATAGATAAATAAATAGATATATAAAATAAAACTATATAAAATGAACTCACTTGTCGAGCTCGCTGTCGCTGTGAGCAAAGGTACAATTGTTGGATCGTGGACAAGTGCCGCGCAGAGCTAGGTCTCTGCACATGCTGACTTTGTATTTACCGGTCGCCGAACCCGGACACGAGGGGGATCCGCCACCTCCGCTATCCTGCGCCGCCGATTTCCGATTGCTGCCACACGTCCCACCACTTCCATGCTGTCGAACAAAGTCCACCAAAGTAGCTACCACTATTCTTACGGCTTCTAGGGCCGCCCGACATTCGGCCAAGCTCGGTGGTTCTGTCTCTAAAAATAATAAAAATTATTATAAAAGTATGCAAGTAAAAAATAATAATTAATAAAAATACATTCAAGATTCTAAGTGTTCAAGGAGCTTTAACAGTTAATAAATTTAAAGAATTATAAAACGTTTACATAGACATTCATACACAACAGCGCTTACCTGGACTGGGATCAATGGCAGCTAACAGTTCCAACTGAGGCCTGAGACCGCTCAGTTGTCCAGGATCGGGAGTACGTTGCAACGCTATTACGAGCTCTTGAACACTCTGAGCGAACGACTGTGGTGTTTGCAATTTATCAATGATACTTTGCATATGAGACTTGTGAGCGGTATCGCCATAGAGCAGTGCTGACCATTGGTCAGGAGCGATACGTAAACCCGCCTCCGTGGCTATCTGCACAATCTGTGCGTCATGCTCCCGTCTTAGAGCCTCATAAGTGCGAAACTCCTCCTTCAATTGCATCAGTGACGAGTCACCCTCACGCTTTGATACCTAATATGACGTAATAGAAAATGATGATAATAAATGTATAGCAAAATATTTTCTCTACAGCATTTGATTGAGAGCGTTTGAATACGCTTCACGAGCCACTATATATTTACCTTAAAACAGCTTGCCCGATATAGAAGTTGCACCACGTGTCCAATACTGGTCTTACTAGCTTGAGGAAAATGTGGTTCCAGACGCTGCACCACGAACATCACCAACACTTTACGCGATAGAGCAGAACCATCCTCCAGAGCCAATAATACAAGCTTAAGAACCTCTTCTTGCATCGCTAAAAACAGTAATGAAAAGAATACACAAAGACAATTATAGAAATAAAAATCCCAAGAAAAATTTTAGCAAATAAAATATAAAATATCTTATATTTTATTGATAATTATCGATCTCTTTAAGGCTTTATCTCGATTCTTCCATATGCAAAATAGAAAAAAATATATAAAGGAAAATTAATTTAAAAAACAAATGCAATTCACAAATAGATTATCGGAGCTGTAAGAGAAATAATGCCATATTATGAAGTTCTTTTTCTCCGTCTATTGTTTCCTTTATCCATTGTAAGGCACGGCCTATTCAAATGCATGATTCATCTTGTATAAATAAAACTTACCTGGTCCAAGGAATTGACAGCCACGAGCACGCACGGCCGCCCAAAGATTAGCGCTGAGTTGCTGAGGGTTCTGATGCTGCAGTATGAGCTCCGTGACGGTGCGCTCACCGAGACTACGAGCGGCACGCAGCGCGCGTGCCCTACCTTCTGGTTCTACTAGTTGACAGCCTAATAACGTCACTAGTTTCCGTTGCATGGGCCGTGACACCAATCCCCCGCCCCCGCTCCCGATACCTATATGTCAAATATATTTTATAAATATACAATGTAAACATCGCAATAATCCATACATGCATATATATATTTTTAAATACTATATAATTTGTATAAATAAAATAAAATAATTTTAGCAAACTCTACTACAATATATACAAAATATTGTATGCAATATAATACAATATTACATCACTTAATTCTTTGCATTATCATTTCTTACGTGGACTTTAGTCCAAACTGTGTTATCTTTCTCAACGTTCTATATTTAATATTTATGGCACATACCCGCAGAGTTAGTAATCTGACATGGTTTCAGATAAAGGGCGAGCTCTTCAATACAGCTCTTAGCCCTCAGATAGTTAGCATGTTGGTCGACCGGTAGAAGTTTCTGGTAATTCTGCTGCTGGTTAGATGCAGATGCTGATGAGGCAACGGTGGGAATTGGATTGCCCAGCAGTTGTAACAATGCTTCATTTACAGGTAGTTTCTCGATGTCGGTGTTGATAATGCTCTGCGAGAAAAAAAGGAAGAAAGTAAATAAATAGCAAAGGCACATATTTATATATACGCTTCACATACATGCACACATATAAAAACACAGAAATATATGTATTTTTTTATACGTATATCATCAATGTATATTTCTGTGACATATTATTATCATATTCAAATACCTATTGTTACCTGATCAAAAGGGCACTGCTTGCGGTGTAGATTAGCCAAGCAAGCACGACATATGGTGTGGCCACAACCAAGCGATATGGGACCTCGCACGGCCACATCAAAGTCATGGCAGCAAATTGGACATGACAGGAATTCAGTCCACTGTGGTGCCTGTATCGGCATTCTACGTACAGTAGAAAAAAACACAAAATTAGATACAAATCAAAACGAAAAGAAGACCGTAGTTATTTAAATCTATTTTTTATTAATCAAGTATATCTACAGAATTTAAAAAGATATTGTAATATTCATGTCCTTATGACTTTTTTAATAATGTAATTCCACTGCAAATATTTCAAGCAGACTAATTTCATTAATGATTTATTTGATAGAATAAATGGAAAGTCTACTCATCCAAGCATAAATTTTTAATTTGTTAAAAATGTTATAACTAATAATTATATATGTATATAATTAACAATAAAAAGATAAAGAGATATACAACACGCATATTACTTTTAATTGGTTCCTTGTAAAATATATCTTAATTCTTTCTTTCCTAATTATAAAGTTTATTGAGCGAGGAAAATACAAAATTTTAGATAAACTGTACATAAGGTAGAAATTACGGAGTAATCTACAGAAAACGCAGAAACTGCAGAAAACTTTGGAAAACGCATTCCAAAGGCATAAAAAATTACGTATAAAATGCAGAAGAAGGTGGAAAATGTAAGGATACGGAAAACGGAATTGAAGAAAGGCAAGCCCCAGCCCGCAGCAGCATCCTGCTTCGCATAACCATATTTCACCGAGGTCCATGGATAAGGAGATCGACGGACACAAGATCGTGACACGGTGAGATCGTCGTGTCGATCGTCGATCACAGTCATTGTTGCGACATTGTACGAAATAGGAGATTACGGAGATGTCAGACGTGGGGAAACTCGGCCAGGACATGCCCGTACTGCGACGTGCCTGACGCGACCGTGTCAGGCCGAAATTCAGGATCCGGGGATACCCGACGACGACGGATCGATCGTGGAAAGGAGAGGAAAAAAAAATATGAAATCACCGCACCAGGATTCACCACCCACCTCGTTATAACCCTCGCAAAACATCACATCGATCACACTTTTTGCGCATCACGCCTCTCGCGCAGTTTTGCGCGATTCGCACGACGACGGTCTCCTATTATACTATAGAATGACTATAGGCGACTATACATATAGATTACGCGTGTATACGACCGCGGCGACGACGATGACGGTCGACGTCACGCAAAGACTCTCCCCGACCCGATTCCTCTCTCCCGTCGCTCGCGCTCGCAATTGCGAGCAAATCGATTCTCGCTCGCGGCTCGAGAGTCGAGAGTCGATCGACTCCGATTACTCCGAATCCGTCGATGGCGGAACGCGGGGAAGGGGGAACTGGCGGACGCGGACAAACGGATTGTTTCTCGCGACTCGCGACGCGGAGCGGACTGCGGAGGGATGCGGTCAACGCGGACAGCGGACGAACTGTCACCGCGTCTTGTCCCCGGGGGAAGGAATTAGAGACATCGGAGAAAACGACGACAGGCAGAGAACCATGGAGGAGGGAAGTTACAAACGTCGCTCTTGCCATCTCGCCAGCGTATTTCCGGGCATCAACCTCGACGACGACGTCGTCGACCTGCCGACGGACACCCCGTTCATCACCAGGCTGGACGTCTTCTGCTTGGTCTGTTCTATAACCATGCACATCGTGGACATGTGTTTCGATTACAACATTGCCATCCGATACTACCTGGGCGGCAAGGTGACGTACTTCGCTTGGACAATGTGCCTCATACTCATTCCCTCCCTGATCAACGTCGTCATCAGCATGAGGATGCAGCATCAGGATAAAGAGGTGAGTTAGCACGTTTGTGGCACTCGTCCCTCCGTCTAATCGGGTTGTAAATTAACCGTGACGTTTCGAGTGACGTATGTTCCTTGGTACACAGATGAGCTCTGGCGTGGACGCGTCGAGTGATTACAAGACGACGCGTTTGCTGATCAAGAACGGGCTGTATTCCACGATCGCCGTTCTCCTGCAACTGGCGCCGGTTATACATTACTGGGAGACCTTGAAGTGTGCGCTAAAAGCACGTAAGTGCGAGAAATCTGGGGACCGCGTCGGCCAGAGGAGATATTATCGGAGGATGCTCAAGGAGGATGAAGATGTCGCCTTGCTACGAGTATTTGAGTGTTTCCTGGAAGCCGCGCCGCAGCAAGTCCTTCAGCTAACTCTGATGCTGACGCATTACCATAATGAGATTAATCTTGAATGTACCTATATTATTTGGAGTATATTTCGCTTCTAGTCTTTAATATTTTGTATAGCCACAAGAGATTTATATTGGCAATATTTGATAGAAAAGAATTACCAAAGGTCCAGTTATTGCTTCCAGTTTGTCGCAAATTATAGTCTTCTACAATTCGACAATCTCAGAATTTTTGCTTTTACATTAAACAATCTGTATAAATGTTTTTGTGATGGGTACTGTTACACGATGCATTTATTTTTATATTGCTTTTCAGTTGCACATCAAGTAGGTAGTATTGTCAGCTCACTTGCAAGTATGGGTTGGGCAATGGCCAGCTACCATCGTAGCATTCGATTAGCTCAACAAAATAAGTCGCATATTGACCTTATGGGAACTGTGTTACAATTTCTGTGGCACTTTTGCATCACAGGTATATATTCAACAATTAACAGCTAAAATAAGAATGAATATTTTGAAAAAAAAAAATTGATTATCTCACTGATTGCAGTGGCAAGAATCTTATCTCTCGGTGTTGTTGCAAGCATCTGGCCTCTCTATACCGCAATCTGTTGCCTAATACATTGGATATCCATGACAATATGGATTTTGATCGACTCCCGTGGGATATTAGAGTTCTGTCGGATTTACAGTCACCCACCGCACATGCTGCCAACGTTTAAAGAATATGTTTATTCTGTACTGTTTGCCACAGTTATTGGGATAGTTCACATTTTCATATATCTAAATGCCGTAGATAGCAACACATTTTGGAAACATCTATGTTTCTACGTGCTCTGCTTTGCGGAAAATGTTACCGCAAATCTGTTGTGGCGATATACGTCTCCACCTGAAGTTCAAGAGGCTTGGTACTTTAATGTATTCTTTAGTATTTGTATCGTCTCCTTTTTTATAGGAATTACGGCAATGATAGTGTATTACACCACATTCCACCCCTCAAAAAAGCAACAAGCTTCAAATTCAATTCAAGTCAATCGAGTCATGTGATTGTGGATATCTATTTCTTATTTAAAGATTAAAATACTCGATCCTCCCTATATTACAGTTTATAAGGCATTTTTTGATACATTATCTTGAAAGAAGTCGAAGAGAATCTCAATATTAAAATTTTTTTAGTATATATATATATATATCTATATAGCTCAAGTTCTCTTACTAAAGACTTTGTATACGACATATATATCTATTCAACTCTCTTTCTGCGTACTGCAATTTATAAAAATTTAGCAAAATGAAGTAATTCATATGTTGTACATATGAATATGGTTTTCTATAATTCTACAAGATTTTTCCCCAGACTGTTAGTCATTCATAATATAAGCAAGACCATATTTTGATTACATTTGTAACATAGTTTCAAAATATCTCATAGACTGCGCAGATGTAGACATATACCTATGACTGTCGTGATTAATAGAAGCCAACTAGATATTACTTTTTATATTGCAACTTTGATAAAAATCGTTTTTTACTCTTAATAATATCTCTCAGGGATATGTATGAGTATATATAAACTGCTAAAATATTATATACAATTTTCAATGTATATAAGATGAGAGAGATTAGATATAAGTTATGTGATATTAATGTATATTAAAGACTGTACGTACTTTTACAACGAAAGAATAAATTTTCTGCATACTTAAAATAAATAAATATTTTTGTAATTATTTCAATATATTCAAAAAAGATAAATTTTTTTTTAAATATGGAAACTGTATTGATAAAGATTTCATTATGCTTATGCGTAACTTTGAAAAATAACAAGAAAAATAGTCTCTTTTATAACATATCATACGTTCATATTTATAAGTGTTGGAATTTATATCTTTCCTCGCACTTTTCACAATAAATTTTTGTCATCCTGATGTCCATGTCCATTTTGCAATTTTAAAAAATTTTGTACACATTTTTAAATGTGTTAAAATAAATACAATAAAATAAAATACGATGTGACTTTCTAATACATTATTTACTAATATTTATTAATTATATGGTAAAACAATTTAAAAAATATATATCTTGTCATTGATCTAAATTAGATCAAATTGATTTTCAATTTATTTCTGCTCCTTTTCCCTTTTATTCTGTTCATCTTTTAAATCTGTCAAAAATGCATCATATTATTTTGTATTCCTTCATCTTCTCAAATAATTACATATATATTGATTTTAAAATATATTTTCATGTACATAACAAAAACATGATTTCAGTCATAAAATTAAATCATGAAATAAAAGAATACTATGATACAATGAGTATTCTACAATACGCACTGTACTGTAGAATATAATAAAATAAATATATGTAAAACAAAATTATATGCACATATACAGTTGTGTTGAATAATACAAAGATACAGGAATAATTAGTGTTTATTCAGAATCTATTACTAAATTGATTTGTAAAAGTATCATGAAAACAGCGAAAACTTTTAAAGCTCGTAGCTTGCTATAAATTATCTAACTAAATATTGCATTATATAATATTCAAAGCTTTGCTCTTTCACTTTTTTTAATTGAGTAAATATTAAAGTCAAACGCAGCACGAGTGGAATAAATTAATAACCATAATAAAAGGAATGAACCTCGATTTTGCAATACACACTTCCGTATCCTTCAGACATCAGTCAACCGGATTTTGCACTACTATTAATATAAATTCCTTGTCGGGCGCGACCATGATCTCATGCTTTTTGCTACGAATGCGCAGGAATGTTAAATCATTGGTCGGATCCAGGTCGCGCACGACGGAGCGAGCCTTGTCCGACAATTGACTTATCAAACCCGCGTACTGAACCGTCGTTGTGTTGTCTAACGTCGATTTTATCGGAATGCCTGAAATCGAAAACGTAAAACTCGATGAAATGTCCTTCACGATCTCCAATACGACCTGCTCGTGTACGATTCTCGTGTAATACCTTCCGCGTTTACCACTATTGTTCCAACTACTCCCTTGTGAGACTGAATCCGTTTCATAGTTTCCTCGACTTCCTGCGCCTGGGAAAAAAATGTAACGCGTTCCATGAGCAATCGTCCGATCGCGCGAAATTCAGCGAATTACCGTACGTACCATTTTTTAGCGGTTTTGAAAGGTGGCGCGATCGCAATTCGCAATGTAAAAATTTGGGTCTGTTTTCTGTATTGGGTGACAAAACGTGTCAACCGTGCTGGCGTGCTGCAGATCGCGAATTTGTACCTTGCACTTTTTCTTCGTGGCCCGCTTTTCAGAAAGGAATGCCGCTCTATTATGCGCGGTCACGCGTTAAGGCATATATCTGATAAATATGTTAAATGTACAACGTTTCCTTGCGCACAGAAGACAGAATTCGGCAATGCAGGCCGTTTATACTCCCTCCGACATGTTTTTTGCCGTAGTGAAGCAAGCTCCGAGCGTGATGTCACCAGCGGTCACCACCCGCTACGGTCGGTAAGGCAGATTTCTAACCTCAAAGTGCTGAGGTTAGATTTTCTAACCTAAAATCACTGACACGATCGCTATACTTCGTCGTTCTACTGAATTAACGATACTTTTAATAAAACTCATTATAAATAAATACAATTGCTTCAGATTACACCGGAAGGGTTAACGGTAGGAATCCTGGTAAAAAAATCTCTTATATTTTCTCTCAGAAATTTTCCAAAAATTTCACATATGTTAGATTTATGAAAGATTTTGAAAAAATTTAGAAATAGATGAGAATTTTTGGAATAATTCAGCATCTGCATGCACAAAAATTGCTAATAAATTGCGTGGATTTTTTTAAATTTATTCAAATTTTTATAAAAATGGCGAAAAAAAATTTGAATTCAACATTATTAATTATTAATTAATTTGTATAAAAAAGTGTAAAATTTCTGAGTCTTAAAAATTTCTTACAAAAATTCTAAGATGTTTTTCCATTAGGGAAACATTGGGTTTTATTTAGAAACAATTAAATACAAATTCAGAGGTATACATACTAGAGTTCATGCTTATCCATAATAATGACGTATGAAATTGAATGATAATTACATTCACAGTTGAAAACTTGAAACGAGAAATGAGTTGCGATTGGTAATTGCAAGTCTCTTGACGTTTCTCAAGTATCTAACAAGATCCGTCAAATGTTATAACGCACTCTCTTCACGCTTTCAACAACCCTTCGTTAGCGCAGCTGAACGACGAGGTCCGTGCCGGGGTATTTCGGTAAATTGAGATTGTACTGCGACTCCAGCTTCTCAGGGACAAACCTACCGCCCAGATAGTGAAATCTCCCATCGAACTTCGACGCGCACATCTTCGGGGCCGTGAGAGATATCAACATCTGCGGCTTTATGCCGCCGTCCGCGGGCGGCCCCTCCTCGACGTTCCAGCCCGACGGGATGTCCACGCTGCAAATGGGAACGCTCGTGCTCTTCAGCAGGTCGACGATACGGACGAACGGCTCTCTCACCGGCGGCCTGAAACTGAATCCCATAAGGGCGTCCACGACGATCGCGTATTCCTGGAGAACTTCGGAATCGGTTGCCCTCTCTATTCGCTGATTCTCCAATATCGGGATACCGTTCTCGACGCACTGATGCAGCAGCCTCTCGTAGAGCTCGTTATTCGTCCGTTTCGGATAGTAAATCTCCGGCGAGTATCCGAAGTGCTTCAGGTGCCTGGCGCAGACCAGGCCGTCGCCGCCGTTGTTGCCGGGCCCGCAGCACACCAGCACCCTGCTGCTCGGGTCGCCGGGGCCCCCCGATAGTGGGTAGGATTTCGCGATCGCGACAGCACAGCTCTGCCCGGCTAGCTCCATCAGTTGGTCGACGCTGAACTTGTACTTGTCGAACAGGTCCTTGTCGATGTTGATTGCTTCCGATTGATTTAAATACCTCGGCATCCTGCCGTAGCCCCTTCTCGCGAGCGGGATGAACGATTTGTTATCTACCGGCCGCTCGATCCACTTGACGCTCCGCGATCTCAGAGTGCGAGATACGAGTTGCAGCATCTATCGACGAGCTCGACCCTCGACCTGCTGCATTAAAATCGCTTGATTTCAGAGTTTATGCACGCGACCAGGCGACCTGTTACCTTTTTCCTGCTGAAAGTCCGTGTCATCGTGTTATCAACAACAACAATCCACAGAGCGGAGAGCGGAGACCGCGCATCATCTGGCGGAGATCTTTTGAAACCTCGCTGGACTGGCAAAACGTAAACAAACGGTCAGCTGGATGTGGCACATACGCGCGTGCGAGAAATTTGTAAATCCTGCGAAGAATGTCGATGAATGACAGTCGGTTGTACACGGTGAACGACATATTTAACAGAATGTCTAAGGAGTTCGTGACCGTCGATGGTAACGTGAGGAAGACGGTAACGACGGTAACCCCTTATAAAGTGGCGACCCTCATTCTGATTAAGGAATATTGTAATGATACCACAAAAGGTACACTTCACATTTTTATAACATATATTTTATATTTTACATATTTCATGTGTTATAACATGAACAAACTATTTTATCATATTACAAAGTATCATATTATATCATACTTTATCACATATTCGTATCACAATACATGAAATATATCAAGTATTATAAAATATAATACTTGAAATCGGTGAGGAGGCCACTATTCTTCAGATTTACCCAACTTACTTATCAGCTGGTACTTGTTACATTAATCCATTTGTGTTCCTTCGAAAAAGTCTAATCTCTGATGTTTTGTAGTGATCAAGGACAGACGTAACTTCTGTTTAGCGTCGTTAAAATTAATTCAGGTAATTATCTTGTAACGCCAAGAAAAGAGGAATACTTTATTGACAGATATTTACGATAATTATTTCAGTCGGCGGACATGGAGCTGGCCGCCCTGCTGAATATGCTGTACGAGCCATATGATCTGCATCGGTTTGCGGATCAATTGGAAATAAATCTGGATGCCATACACGAGAAGGGGATCGATGAACTGTTAGATCTGTTTGATAATCTTCGCCGATTAATGGAATCCAAGGAGCATGCGCTAGCTTCACCGGTGTTAAGCAGAAACTCTGTTCTCGGATTGTACGTTCGTAGAATGCTTATCTTCTTTGAGAAATTGGCGTTCGATCAAGTGGTCGCTCTCTACAACGATATGGAGAAATATGTCGTGAAGAAAGTCAATATGGAAAACACCGACATCTCTACAATGTCTAAACCGGAAGATATTGGTCCGGATAAGTAGGTTTCCGTAAAATATAATATTGTTATGTAAAAATTATATATTTTAGAGAATATTTTGCCAATTAATGTCGACGCTTCTTACAGTAAGGCGAAAACGATTTGGGGTGGAAGACAGGCGGAGTTACTCGTGGCGCAGCAGGCGCATGCCTTACAAACCGACGACCACAAAGCACTGTCGCCGGAGGAGTTGCAGGCTCTTGTGCATGACCTCTTAAAGTCTAATCCTTACAACGCGGATGCGGTAAGCACGGGCGCAATGTAGAATCAATACAAATGTGAGATAAACATTTTTCTCGCGAATACGAATTAGCGCAATAGCTGAACGAAGCTGTCTTTGCTCTAGCATTACCTGAGTTACCTGAATTGCATCCGCGTGAACGACTTCTGCGGGGCGGTAGACAGTCTCTACCACTGTTTCGATAGACTGGCACCTCTGGAGAATCGATCCACTCCCGAGGATCGATCTCGTACCTTCCGATATGCGGCACTCAACTTGGCCGTTTTACACACACAGTTTAATCACAAGTAACCAATTTTATCTATTTATTTCTCCTTAAGTCTAACTTTCTTTGTCTATCAATCTAGTTAACGAACAAAATTTAGTTTGTAAGTTATTGTATAGCGTTACATTTGTTTTAATTAAATAAAATAATTCTTTCGGCTTTCTTCGAAAGGGAAGTAGCACAGTACGCTTTGAAGGAAGCTATTAAATTGGCTCAGGAAGCTGGAGACAATGTATGCTTGCAGCTCGCACATTCTTGGATGTCCTACTTGCTCAGCAAAGAAAATAAGTAAGCCAATACAGAAATGACATTAAAAAAGATGTTAACGTTACAGTTCCTTTATTTAATTTCATTGTATATATGCGTTTATTTATTTTTATTTAGAGGACCTCTGATAGAACGCTCAGTCGGCAAAGCGAGTCTGCTCGGAATTACACATACGACAGGCTTAAGCCTTATTTCGCACGCGCACAGTTATGCCTTAGAAGCCAGGAATCCTCCTCAAGTGTTCGACGTGCGTAATAAAGAATAATTAATCTGATATATACAAATTTATACAGAAAATGATATTGCAATTATATTTCTGTTGCAGATATTAATGAAGTCAGACATGCTAAATTGTCAGCATTCGATGTCCGACTTGATGTCTGTCACTTTCGCGGAGAAATCGGCGTTATGGGCATACTACGGAAAAACGGAGATGGCCTCCCTATGCGCCCAGCTGCTACTTCTCCACAATACGGGTGATAAGAAGCAGCACATGTTCAACGGACCGTCCACGTGCCAGGCGATCGTCACCGTCGCCAATATGTTGATCGAGTTTGGCGAATATACCCTCGCCGACGTTGTGCTGGCGCACGCCAAGGAAAGATTTCCCAACAGTCCTTGCAACAAGGTGCGTTCTCTTACATATGAAATAGACGTTATGAAAAATTCGTAAAGACGGCCTTTTTGTTCGGGAAAAGACTGAATTTCCGAATTTTTAAGTGTTTGGAAGGATTTCCTTTTTTTCCATCCGTGATTCAGTTTATTGCATCGTAGATCTGGATGTTGAGCGAACAATTGCACATGTTCACGCAACTGCTGCGACAAGAGAGGTGGAGCGAGGCGGAAGCTGTAGCCAGAAATATCTTCAGCTTAGATCAGTTGGAATCCAAACTCAAGTACGAAGAATTTATTTTACAAACGAGCCGAAAAGTAAACTGGAAACTTTCGTACAATTTAATGAAATTTCCAGATTGGCGGAGGTTTGCCTGGCAAAGGGAGATTTCCCGAAAGCATCGGAGCACATCAGCGCCATCGAGGAGTATCCGGACGTGACGGCGCCGTATGTGATACGCGCCGCACTTCTTTCTAGTCAGATAACATGCGCCTCGTCTTCGCCGGACAACGGAACCGCGGTCGTCACTAATTGCATAATGCGCCTCTGTTCGGCCTTGGAATTGGCTGCGCAGAATCACTTGTCGTACTACAAGGCGCTCGTCAAGATGCACCTCGCCAACATACAAGTGAGTTTTCTTTTTATTAGAGGTTTATATAATTCGATTGAAATACATCTTTTCAATTTTTCCAGTTGTTAATGGGTCTGCCTGTGTTGGCCCTGAACCTGGTGGAGGACGCTATTCCCACGGTCTTGGGTCACGGTGGTTGTTACGATCAAGGCAAGGCGTTCATGCTGTACGGCAAGTGTCTGATAGCCTCAGCGCCCGAGAGTCCTTTCGAGGCCCGGAAAGAGGTGATCCTAAGCGGGATAAAGACCCTGTCGAAGGCACAGGCGCTCTTCACCAAGGTCAACGCCATCGCCAAAGTCAAGAGCGTCATGCACCTGCGATCTGTATTTTACAACGAGATCGATCTCCTGCCCGAGAGAAATCAGTGCGCTTTCGAGTTCCGTCAAATGGACGAGCAATATTTAACGTCTCCTACCGATCCATTTTTGTATTAAAATTCGCGAGGTTTTTTTGTATAAAAATATGTAAAAGGAAAGATGAAAAGATGATATGGAGTTTTTTTTGTATGTAAATATTTAGTTTAAGCTGGTCGCTGGTGATTCTGATCGAAATACGCTCGCTCAAAATTTTTTTGCATCAATCTTTTAACGCAAAGAACACAGGAGCACATCAAAATGAGCGTATTTTTATCAAAATAAAAAAATGAGGGATCTAGACTAAACTTTTACCACCGTTTACTCCACCGGCCATCCTTTTGTATTTGAAACCACAATTTGCAATAGTTAATTTATCTCGTTTACAATAATTATGTTTAACTTTAATTATGTTACTTTTGATATAAATAAAATAAGAAAAATAAAATTGAAGTATTTTACAGAACAATGAAGTACTTTATTCTATTTTTCTCTTCTTTCCTTTCCTTCCAAAAAATCTTGTGGATCCCATATTAAAAATTCTTTATAAACTCAATAATTGAAAATGTTTTATGTTGATAAATCAAGAATCGAAAAATTCTTTACGTTGATAAACTCAATAATTGAAAATTCTTTATGTTGATAAATCAAGAATTGAACATTCTCGTCGAGTGTTGTGAATTCAGATTTCGTGCTAAAATTTTTTAATTTTAGACAGCCAATAAGCGCATCTCTTGCGGAGCGCACAGTATATCTACCTGAAATATCAGCCGCGGGTAATAGTATCCCATCGGTGGCTCCGGGAAACGAATAACGGGCCGAAGTCCGGAGTTCTCACGGAGATGCGTATTCCGTGGTCGCGTCGTACTTAACAAAGCGGGTGATGTTGAAGGAGATCGGCTACGCGAGCAAATCGACGTAAACGGGGTCGCCGCACGATATGGATTTATCGTAACAGATGACGAGGTGCAGGCGCGTCGGACTCTCTGGCGACGTACCCTAAATCGCGTTGATGGCGAGGATAATCGCCTATACGAGGAAATGGCGATAAAGTAAACAGCTGTGCTTGAAGCTGAAATGCATACGTGGTACGTTCTCTCGGGATTACTAATAAATTCGAATAAGACGCGTTTAATGCTGCTGCGCGAATTTGTTCCCGTATTTTACATTGGCATTTTTAATAAAAATATCCAAGATACACGCTTGCTGATTATCAAATCGTCGTTTCCCCCACAAGTGTTGACAAGTAATTCAAGTGATTTTTTTAAATAATAGAAAAGGAGTAAGTAATTTTGCCAACTTAGGGCTGGTTGTTCCAACCTGTTGGTAAACTACCTAATCGTTAAATCATATATATGTCTTTGTTTATCCTTTACATTGGACGAAGATAAACATGTGATTTAACTATCAGGCAGCTTACCAATAGGTTGGAACAACCGGCCCTTAATAAAGTAATTTTACTGGTTCTCAGAGCCAGCGTGTATCTTGTCTCCTAATTTTGTAGTCTGGCTTCGCTGATCATGGTAGATAACGAGCAGAAAAAGAATTAAATGTATCTCTCTTCTCGGCAGGTTCCGGTTACTGTAGCACAAAATGTAACGCTTAAGTTGTGTCGCTAATTAAAAGCACCACGGTAGCATGCAAGATGGAGAAAGTTATACCAATGAGTTGGTTGAACCAAATACTGCTAGTTTTTAGTGTGGCAGCTGCAATATTGTCCTTGGTTGTGCAAGGGTGGACAGGTCTCACGTCTCTGCCGATCTACATTTCCATCTCTTGGGCCGTATTAGTCACGATTATATCCGTATGGCTGAGTTGCTGCTTGCTACGTCTCACGCTGAAAGCCAACAGTCCGATCGCTCTAGGATTTATGAACAAATGGATACGTGAAAGACTGGTAGGCCAACTAGGTCGGGATTCTTCCGTAGACGAGGACGGAAGTACAGAGATCACTCGCAAAAGTGACGATGAAAACCAAAAAAGCTCGAATTCTGCACAAAAAGGTAGTGTTAAGCGCAATGATGGCGCGATGTCGTCCGACAACTGTAAGAACGAGATCCCCTTGACGAGAAGAAAAAAGCTAAACGTCGCGGAAATGACGCGAGAGATCAATGCAAAGTGTATAGAAATTTGGTATAAGAATATCAGTAACGAAAAGTCATTCCCCGATGAGGCGCAGGATTTGTTGAACAAGTTCTTGACCAGACTTGTCTGGAAAGCCAGTAAGATAGATAAGATAAAGCTTATTAATAAGTTGGCAAATGTGTTGCTGTTACACTTAAAGGAATATCGCAGGTAGGGATATATATCTATCGAGAAATATTTTTGTAATCCCGGCAAAATTACCCTACTTATTTGTATCTGTTCCACAGAGCGTTACGCAGAGTCGAGAAAGGTGCTACAGCTAGCGTGGAGGAGGCGTACAAATATTTACACCCTGGTTCTCGCAGTGCGTCAACATTGGAGCACATGTTACATCGTTTAGTTACTGTTCTTGCACAAGAGTTTTTACAGTGGGAATTAACTAGCTCGTTACCGTGCAAACTTTTGTTATCTATTTTATCAAAGAGACTCTTAATAACGATAGACACAATAAGCTGCCCAGACTGGTTGCTCGAGAACTTGTTAAGATTATTGGAAGCACCACCAAACGAAGTTGCTACTCCAGTTAAACAGAATATCAATGTAAATTCCAATAGTGACAATGTCACACGCGATAATTACGCGATAACGATAATATATTAATAAATCGTTCTTTCAGGGTATTATAACTGTTGCTCTAAGCGACGGTATCACGTCCGCGACAGCGGCTGTGATCCCGCAGCAATTGCCAAAATCTGTATCCAAGTCTAGTCCAACTGCAGCTACTACGAGTGAAGACGAGAGTGCAGTTTTAACGGCAGCTCCAGAAAGGCCGACTCTGTGCCTGGAGGGTCTCTCCACGGAGCACAGAGGCCTGTGGGGAGACAGTATAACGGACGCGGATCTGGAATTGGAAGAAGACAAGATATCACCGGTGTATGAAGAGCCAACGGATTTCGCGACGACTATCGCTAGGCTCAGAAATCTGTTGCAACAGAAATCTACGGCGACCACACCACTGTTAGTAAAGACGACGTTTAGCCTCGCAAGTGTCTTTATCATTACATGGCCCTGTAAATTTCAGACATGCTGAAGAAAAATCCTACGTAATATATGAAGGCAGCCAATTTACAAATTTATCGATTCCCTGGACTGAGTTTCACACCGCGACGGACGGCTCGCAGCAACTGTACTACTGCATACAATTTGACGATGTCGAGCAACGTGGAATGGATCTATTCGAAACAACCACCGCTACGGTCAAAAGACAATATGCCGATTTTGTTCAGTTGCACCTCAGTTTGGAAGAAGTAAGGCTTGCAAAACATTGAACAAATTCGTACAAAAATAAAGAAGTGATTCACGTTTAGTAATTACGCTTGCCAAATTCTAGATGCCATCGTTAGCGAGCGTTATGTCGGAATTGGTATTACCCGAGGGTGGCCGGATCGAACTGGAGACATATCTGAAAACGTTGTGTACGCGATTGGCGAATGAATGTCCGCCGCAGCTGCGTCACTTTCTTCGACCTAGTAGCAGTGCGGGCAAGAAAGCCGACGCGATAGCGCCTCGTTTAGATCGATTTCTGGCCAAAACCGTGACCGGTGTCTTCAATACGTTGAAAACCGTTGTACCAGGCTTCGAACTGGACCAAGAAGAAGAGGCTACCCCTCTACCTACTCTAATGCCCTTGTCTGACATACCCTGGAGATTTGTCGAGGATATAAAGTCGGTAATGGAACCTGTATATCGTAACACATACATTTTTAGAAAAGAAGTATAACTGAGAATTTTAATACATGTCTCTGAATATCCTCGAAAAATCAAAATTATTAGAATATATTCGACGAGCGGTAACGTGTATTAAATCTAATACAAATTTTACACTTTTCAGTTGTTTTACCTTTTGCACGTTACATTTTCCTAATATGAAAAATTTGATCCCTAAAGTTTGAATTTGCAACTTACTTGGTTCGATTTATCTCTTCCAAAAATCTCTTCCAATAATTTTTTGTATAACATATATAAAATTTATATTTTGAAATATCTTTCTAGAAAAGTCTAGCTTCTGAACTCCAGCAATTGATCGCAGAAAGGACAGAGTATTGTACAGTAGACACAGCTTACGAAGCAGTTGACTCGATGGAAGCAAGTGGCGATTCGGAGTTACTGGATTGCTGGTGGGAGACCATTAATACTTCGTACGATGGTAACTATAATACTGCTTTTTGTTGCATAAAGTATAAAATTTATATATCTTGTAACAATAAAAGAATGAATATTATGTTTTCCAGACGAAGTGGACGAGTTAGATTCCAATTTAACGCTGACGTGTACGACGATAGACCTGATTTGTGAGCTTTTAGCAGGCATCGCTAGTAACAACACGTTACAGCAAGAAGCTGTCGTTAGATGGACTAAGTTGCTAATTGGAAACATTTCAGAGCCAATCCTGCAGGTGAGAGTTACGTTTCGAGGAATATTGTAATTATTTTTCACAAACTATTTAGTTAACTTTGAAATTATTTACAGAAAATAATTCTTCGGTTATTCGACTCTCTGAGCGGTTCTTCGTTAATTTGGGATGCGTCACGTGATGTCACGAATCAGAATGGCACGCAGTTGAGAGACAAGTTGCTACGTATATTGGAGGAGAAGATATCGTACGATGTAAAATTGATATTCGGCGAGGACGACGTACACAAGGCTCTGAACTATCTGTTGAGTTCATGCGAAATCAAAAAGATTAACTTAGATTTAAACATGCAAATGTTGGACGCACTAGTATCGGAACTGTTGATTTCCTGTAAAACGAATCATGACCCGAATTAACTTCTCTATTTTTTATTCAGTTCTTTAGATCGATTTCTTAGAAGATCGCTCGATGATTTAGCAAGACCTCGCACACTATCTTATTCTCTTGACGACGTTGTGTGTGTCTGGGGGAGTCATTTAGATACTTATCATCAAAATACTTCTGTATAAAGGACAAATTGATATGTGCCATACGATAGAACATATATGTTGATCATTTACGTTCTCGTGGAAAAACCCGGCGGATTTTTTAAAACAAAGACTGTACCTGATTATATATTTACAATAAGATATGCCAAGTATTTTTTCCATTAGAGAATAATGGCTCCTTTCGATTGACTTGGCTTTGAAAAACGAGTCACTCTCGGGGGAAGGCACTATACGCATTTCTGGACTTACTATAGCATTTATATTTAATAACTAAGTTTTGTACAAAGGAATTGCGTGTGTGTTCCCACAAAACGTACGGTGCATGTTATATAGTGTATACAAAACTACAGCCCTGCTATCCACCTTCCAAAGATTGCGAGGAGTTTTACGCGTACATAACGCATATACAGAATATAGATACACACGAGCGCTTAGATATTTAATTACATTTATTTATATAAAATAATAAGATTAAACGTACATCACGATCTTAGTTTTTCTTGATTGTTTCACTCGCAGCCTTCTGTTTTTCTAGCTGTGCTCTGAAATTAATTACAGCACTGTGAGTTCTATGTACAACATTTTGCAGTCTCGTCCAGATTTCAAAGGGTTATAATCTGTTTTGCGTACCGCACTTAAAACGTTCTTTGTTTAAAATATATAAAATTCTACGTCGTCTCCTGCGCGCGTATATGGAATTTTTGTTCAATAAATTGATTTATGGCAAAGCAAATACCTCAACTGTTGATTGAAGTCGTCCTCGACGTCGTCGTCGTCCCAGTTGTCCTCCCAAACGCTGATATCGTCGCCATCCTCGTCTTTCGCGGTCCAATCTGGTCAATAGAATCAATTTAAAGTCCGAAATCCGATTTTGGGGTTCTCGATCGCTGATGAATCGGCGATTTTGAGGTTACGTCGCGCAAACGTCACTGGGTTAAGAAACACATACCTTCCGCGGGAAACTCCTCGAACTCGTCGTCTTCCTCGAGAAGTCCGAGATCGACTTTCGCTTTGTCGTTTTTGCTGTCGGTCATATCTGCAAGCTTCTTACAACGAGCGACTTTCGGAAAACTTTGAGGTTATAGCAGGTTACAGGTCACATGCAAGATCGAACCGCTCTGAAACTCTGAAGTTCATTCAGCGTCGAAATGACAATAAACGTCTGTTCGTTGGTTGCACTTCTTGCACTCAATCTTCGCTTCCTCTCTGTCTCTCTTTCTTAAATTGTACATCTATCTCGTTTTAAGTGCAAACATTTTTGCACTTTCTCAAGCAACAATAAATTTATTTCTTGCTTTATTTCTTCGTATGTATATAGCTGTGTAATTTCTTGCATTTAAAATGCGATAGATATGTGATTGGAAATTAAACAATTAAAGAGAAAGAGAGAAAAAATGACAAATCCTGCTACAGAAAATAAATTTATTACTTCGTCGATAACAAAACCGCCTTGCTCTTTCGATTCGCTCCAGCGTGTTTCCGATTGTCGGTGCATGGCGTTTCCAGAAGATGCCGTATCTGACTGCGCGAGGTAACGTTACCGTCAGAGCCAGGATTGTGGCAAATTTCATTTTTCATCATCGAATGAGTCGCGAACTGTTGTTGTTTTTAAAATGCACATTGCACAACGATTTCAGGCAAGTCCATCTACCTCCTGCGAAAGGCTCGTTAATATTTCGATAATGGAGCATCGGAGTGACGTCTGCGTCCCGCCTTTCGTCCAAAAGAGTTTTAAGGAATTTAGGTATCCCGATATTAAGGCATCCCGTTGTGTTGAGGTTTACAGAAAGTCACCGTCCGAAGCAAAATCCGTTCCGGTACACAAAGAAAAGGGACAAAGGCGTCGAGAAGAGTCACTTGTTGAGTTTTTGTAAAGTTTGTTAAGAATCTTTTGTCGAGTGTCTCTCGTTAAGTAGTATCTCTTTTCCCCTAGGTTCTCCCTTCATCGGCAAATTCAACGACAGAGAGGCGACAAGGTAATTTCTCTTGGATTACATTAATCGACGACTCGTTTACGAAAGCGAGATACAAGCTGAGATAAAATTCGGATCGTAAAATCTCGGTCATTAAGTCTGGTTTCTTATTGTTGAATTTTCAGAGTTGTCATACCAAATATAACCGAAATATCAGGTTCCCTGGTGTTGATTAAGATAATTCATTGATAAGAGACTTCTCGCGCACGGTTTTAAGAGACATTCCACATTTGTCAGCAGCCCCTGCAGGTATGCAGACACGGAGACGACTGGCGACGCGACGTGACGTATACAGGGTGCTCCAGGATCGCCGGATATTCTTTCAACCGCAGTTTCCTCGAGCAACGAGCTCGGAGATCATATTTCTTCGGTAAAAAACGGTGAGAAGAATTCAGTGCATTTTTCCAACCTTTAATACACCATATATTCCGTAACTGAGCTTCAAATTAAAATTCTGTCAGAGCAGGAGCGTTAGATCGCCCACCAACGAGTCACACTCCTCTCGCCTGCTGTTTATCTTGAAGCTTGGTTCATCAAAGGTTCCTCATTCGCTGAAAAGCTAATCGTTGGAAAACCGTAGATGCGTCAGGACCAACGAAACGAGCTGGAGTCCAAAGTCGACTGAGGAATCTGCAGCGAGGACGGTGTGCTGGAACACCCGGTACATCGGCGCTGGGAGGGACTCACCTGTTTCACAACCTGCGTGACGTGCACGCTCGGGTGCGTCACGTGACCTGGACTACGGCTCCGCTGTAGTAGGTGTAGCGTAGCGTCAGCGCGCTACCAGAGCAAGCGCACCATGGCGACCGCGGTAGTAGCCGTAGCGCCTCTGTGAGGGACGGCGACTGGTTGCGCAAGGGGAGTGACCGCGGCGGAAAGTGCGCGTATATACGCGAGCGGACAAAACGCAGTGACAAAACCGCGCCCACGATTCGGACGGTGGTGCTCCAGATGGGGGAGAGACCTCGCTCCGCGACCGACGATCGACGACGGCGTCGCGTACGAGAGGCTTTAGCGGATTCGCAATTTTAATGAAAGATCGATCGATCGATCGGCGTCGTCGGCAATGATCTACGGGGGGACTAGCGCTGATCTACGTCAAGCCCGAGCGCTATATTAATATCAATGTGATCTCGACGAGATTGAGGAAAAAAGAGGAAAGACGGGAGGAGCGAGGTGGTGCGTCACGGCATAACGCGGCGAAAACGGTTGCGCTCGCGAGAGATTTTGAAGCGCGACGTGAAAACGAGAGGAATCGCCAAGCGGAGCGCGGAGTAACGGCTGCGTTACGCGCACGGTCCGCCGACGCTGCCGCTGCCGCTGCCGCCGCGGTCCCTCGCGCGTGAACGAGCGGAGGGTTAACGCTCGAATTCGAACCGCGCGACGTACCCCGCGTCTTCGGTTAGCCATCGGTAAGTGTCCCCGAAGGTGGTCATCATCGCGTCCCTCGCCCCGCGGCCAACCGCGTCGCGTCGCCTCGCTTCGATTCACACAACACACACGTGCGTGAAGGGCGCGATGTTGACGAGCGGTTTGCCGCGGCGTATGCAACCGTGAACGGTGGTGAATGGTCAGGATGCGATGAGAATTCAAACGAGCGGCCGACGTTGCCGGATCGACGCGATCGAGAATCGTTACAGAGCCTCCTCCGAGGAATTTGAATTCAACAGGCAGTGCCTTTCGAGTTGAAAACTTGTAAAGAAAGATTTATTATTATTTTTCGAACTTCTCTTTATGAAAGATGCGAATTTCGATCAAAGACTTATTTATCTTTGCTTTATGAGCAATCGAAAACAAAAAAGATTCCGTGAATTAAGCTTCAGAGATAAACCTGATGATAAGAGATCGTGTTCCTTATTTAATTTTTAGTTACAAAGTTTCGGAAGGTTTAACAAAATATCCAATATTAAAAATGAAGAAATTAGAAAGCGAGAGCGAGTCGAATTTTCGCTGAAAAGAAATCGACTTCAAAATTATTGGACTACATTTAAAAATTTGATTTAGTATCTTTTTGTAATATTCTCAGGACGTTTTTCCGTTACAATAAAATGACAGCGCTACAAATAGCTCATTAATTTTTACTTCAGTACTTTCGGTGGCTCTCTCTTTAAAACTCATCACGTCCTGATGTCGCGATTGTTTTCGAGAAACGTTTCAGTAGTTAAAATTCTCCAATTGTTCTCCAGAGACGATCCACCGGATGGTCATAGTGCATTCGACGAGGAGCGATAAACGGTGTTTCGATACGGACAATTGTCTGTCGAAGCTCGCTGCCCGGTGAAAGTATCAGATGTTCCGCGGGACGAAGAGGAAAGACGGTTCTGACTCACATGCGGATCGGATCGACGAATGACGCGTCCGTGGATCGGCGATAAGCGGATGATTCTCGCGAAGTGACGGCCTCATCAACGCGAGTGCATCTCCGTTTGCGTAATGCTCAGCTAGTATACGCGCTCGTCGCGAAGGCCGTGAGACCGTATCGAGAAATCGCGGTGGAAACAACGGTGGGCCTGCAAAAATGTCAATTACGCTAATCTTCTATTCTTTTTGAACGTTAAGTCTCGAGAGTGTCGTTATCGTTTCAGATTCATTTAATAATAAATTGCGGACCACGGTGGGTGGAATTTGTCTCCAGTGAGTTCAGTGTTTCATATAGATATAGAATTGTCCGACGGCGAAAACATGTGCCGAAGAATGCAACGGTTGTGCGTCTCCCTGTTGTTCCTGGCCGTCCTGGTCGGAGCCCGGTCGGACAACAGGTACGACCAAACGTCGATCTACTACACGGAACCGACGACGCTAATGAACGCCAGCGGGGTGACTGACAATTGGAACAACGCCGGCGGTCTTCACGAGCTGCACGGCGGCCGCATTGTCCGAGGTCAGAGACTGCTGTCGAGATCGAAGAGCCCTTACTTGCTGCGGGAGGATTTGTTCGTCGAGAAGGACGGCGAACTCGTTATAGAATCCGGCGTGGAGATTCGCTTCGGCCCGATGGTCGGCATCACCGTTCGCGGTATCATAACTGCCGAGGTAATAATCCGTAAAAATCGCGATAGAGACTCTGAAAAGCGGGAGGGCACGCCGCCCCGGAGAAAGTCAGGCTTTGTTCTCGAGGCGAGAACAAAGGCGATCATCCGTCAAGTTCCTTAAGCCGCGTCGCCGATGTCAAAACGTGTCTCTCGTGACCACTCGTGACACAAGTAGCGTGGTACAATATTTATTTATCGGGTGACAGCGAGATGTTGGACATTCGTCACTGGGATAACACTCTTCCCGAAATGGTCTGCACTTAAGTAAATTTTCGAGATATACCTTTGGGAAAACGTTGTAGAAAGGAAACGATCGAACAACAGTTCGCCCAAGGTAGCCGCGTCTTGTTTGGACGACTCGCTGATGCATCTTATCGTACATTGTTATGCTTGGCTCCAGGTGAATTCTGATAAACATCGTGCGAATAGTCTCGTTCGCCGTAAAGATCAGTACCGTCGCACGTCGCGGTGCGCGAGCAGTAGATTTTCCAACCGTTACTTTTGTTTGCTAATGGTGCTCCGCTGAGGTGCACGGGGTCTCGAGACACGTACGTTTTCGCACAGCGGGTCATTCTCGGGCGTACGTCTTGGAGTTCTATTAAATTACGCGACTCCTAATCGTCGAGACTAATTGTAAATTTGAAGACTGAGCGTAAAGCTAAATTTTGGTCCATTCTCTGCACATGTATGTACATTTGTATTTCGTTTGTCATTACTTATTTCGCATATTTATGTCAGTATTGAATATTTGACAAGAAAGAATCCGAAAGTGTAAGAAAGAGAGTTGCTACAGATACTCCACGACTTTTATTAGATATGCGCAGGGTATACCAACGCGAGCGTGGATAATTGCGAACAGGATTCTTACAGCTGCGAGGAATATCGATGGGCGTGTGTACGTGTAACGTTGAATGGACATGAGTCATCGCGGCGTGTAACTGCACGTGTTACTACATGCGCGCGTGAGAGAGAAGGAAACTTAAAAGCAAATTGCTTTCTCGGTAAACCGCGCGGATTGCGATTCCAGCGAAATTTCGACATTATGCGTAAGAAGTTCAAGTTGAAATCTCACGGGAGGGTGTTATTATCGGCAATAAAACGCCGATCCAGAACCCACCGGAGACTCGGTTATATCGTCATTTTGTCATTTACGTTGAGAATCGATAGCGCCGTTGATAGCGTTAACTGATAATGAGATTGGAGTCATACCAACTTCGTTATCAGCGAAGTTTCATAATCACTTGGGAGCGAATAGCGCGGAGTGTATAGAAGAACGTGATTCATAATTATACGTCTCCTGTCGTAACATTTTTACAGAACGATTTCAACACGAGATTTGATATGCTTTACTTCTTTAATTTTGATTTTCTTTATTACATAAATTATATATGATAATCGCTCATTAAAATTGTTAATTATTTGTTTAATTGTTAATTAAGTATGATAATCTATCGAATAACATAAATTAAGTGAGTTACATTATAAACTATTAGAAAAGAGTGTATTATTGCAAGAGTACATTATTGCGTATAGTAATCTCGCACGTTATTTTAAATACTCGAGATGGAATCTCGAGTAAAATGAATCCCCTCGCGTATTCGTGGTAATCTTACACTCTCGCTCGCCCGGTTTTAACTCATTCATCCGGTGTGATTATAATCGTCATAACTGTCGAATGTCTCTACTTTGGTTGGGTGCACGTTACGGACTACTTGTCGATGTTTGCCAACGATTTATCGCCCGTTTTTTCCTGCGAGTCGAGTCATCCGTGAAATTTCCGGTAAATAAACTTTTACGATTAAACTAAATTACCTCAGAGGTAATTGTTGTTAAGAAACCAACAGTAATGTCGCGAGATTCATTAGACGTCATCAAGTGACGAAGCGACGTTTAATAATTGATACAAACGGTACGTTTTTCTATTTCCTATTAAATGTTCCACTATATTAAATCATCCGCTATCTCGCGAAATCTGTCGCAGTTATTTGATAAAACCTGTCCAATTTCTAGAAAGATGAAGAAGCCATTTGATAACATAAAGAACGCTACTTCTTTTTAGTCTTTAATTGTCTTACCGAGAAGGATAGTGATAGTAATATCAGTTATTTTGCAGTGTGGGCTTTCGTTTAATAATAACAAAGCTAGAAGTAATTTTGTGAAATAAAGAGCGCGTCGCGCTTTACTCCAGTCCGGTAAATGTAATCGCGAAAGAATGCAAAGCGACAGGAAAAGGGATCCTTTCCCGCGCGGAGCGGAGGACACCGGTTGACCGGAAACGCCACGGACACGCGAGCATCGTTGCTTTTATTGTTGCTTTTATTATTGGTGTGGACGTATCGGCGAAATAGCGCTCGCTACCTACGCGTTAATGCTTCTAATAAGTGTTATTAGGTGTTATCTTGTTGCTATTTTAATTGCGAGTTGCGTCGTGCGTAGCAATTTTAAAGGGGGCACGCGCACTCAATCGTTCTACAGATACAACTCGCAATTCAGAAAATATTTTAAACAATTAAAAGGTTGAATTTTTCTGAGATATTAGACACGCGATATTTAAGCAACTTAATATAGTCATGGAAGAAAAACCTTGAAACGGGTGAGTCATCAGAGTTTCCGAAAATAATATGAAATAAATTATCTCGTTAATGGGAGAAAGGGAGCTAAAATGTCATGTGTGTGTGGTTTCAGTTTTCAAGAAATTTGCTTAATATACTCGCAGAGAGAAATAAGAGAAATAAGAGAGGACCAGTGTGTGATTAATTCATTAACGAGCAAGCATTTCCCACTAATGACCTGTCGTTCACACCACCTGGGGAAGCCGTTGAAGATTGCTGAGCGTTATCGCTAATAGAGAAAACATTTTGAAACGTTTAAAGCCGAGCGAACAGTTGTTCTAATCTCTGTAAGTGGACACTCGCCCGTGCCGTTTCCGCCCGCGCCGGTATCGGGCCGTCGAGGGGTCTCGCAGAAAGCCGCTAATCGGATAATTAAGAACGGGATGCGAACAACGCGTGCACCGTATACGGGGCTGAGTGATTCAGCAGCGGCAACCGCCTCTAATGCTCTAAGCGATGCGTTTCAGGTCACGCGTCAACCGGCGGTTCTTGCCCCCGCGCGATTGACCCACGACCCTCGGTAATCCTCTTATAGACTCGAGACGTAGTGCCAAGACCTTCGGCACGATCGCTCTTGGCACGGATCAAGCGGCGCGGCTGAAATTTTTCGGCCTTTTTAACGGGAGCGCCTCACGCTGCAAGGAAACGTAGAAGCTAAATCGAGCGAAAGTAATTAGCAGTCCGGCGGGAGATCAAGCAACCCGTAATCTCCGTATATTATTGAATTATATAGGATTTCCTTCCTTCTGTTCCTAGTACATTTAATATAGCGATATAATCGGATAAATTAGGAATGGAAAGTATGCAGTCTTTTATTTATTTATTTATTTTTTGTTTGTTACGATTAATGATTCTTCTTGCGGGAATGTCTCTCTTTTAGCGCGACTCTAATTGACAAATACAAAGACAAATAAGATTTTGTGTTTGACATTTCCTAATGATTGTTAATTCTGTTGAAAGGGTGAAACTCACGCTCCGATCCTACTGACCGCGGCGGAAGTGGAAACGCAGGTCTCGGCTTTTCGAACATCACCTACGATACGCCTCGTTGACGGACCGAGTCCGCTAGCGGGAAGGCTGCAACTCTTTCATCGAGGTGGCTGGCGTTCCGTCTGCACGAACTCGCGAAAGTACGTGGCCAACGAACGTAATCGACAACAGACAACAATGGGGGGGATACCGGCGCAGATATTTCATGCGAATCTCATTGCAGTTGGACTCGCGCGGATCTGGAGACGGCGTGCCGACAGCTCGGTTATCAGGGCGGGCAGTGGTGGTCGTGGATCGATAGACAATGGCCCTCCAAGCCGCGTCTTCTTTACGAGGAACCAGGCTGCCGCGGCACCGAGCCCTCGCTGACGACCTGCGAACGTTGGCCGGATAGAGAATTGGGCGCCGGTGTTTGCGGTGAGTGTTCGCAGATTTCTCTGCGAGAAACTTTCTGCGAACTCTATGAGCCTTTCGAAGTATCGAAAGAAAAATCTTATTGTAAAAATCACGATATATATATAATTTGTGCATTATTTTTAATTATTGAATGAAGTAAATTTTTGTTGCACGTATTGTGAGTCAATGGCGGCGTCCGATTCTAATCTGCCGATCCAACATCTTACAGATTATCATCCGGACCTGGGCATTTCTTGCCTGCCTCGCCACGATGGTGCGACCAAGGCGATCAAGCATTGGCGGGGAATACGATTCGAGGACGCGGTGTACTATAAACCGCTCATTCAACAGAACACGCTTTACGTGCGTCGGTCGCGGTCCATTCTGCGAAATACGGTGATCGAGTGAGTAGTAATCTCTTCTTCAAAGAGGATTACTGATCGATTGTTCCTAATGTAAAACTATTTCAATCCTTGAAATAGATATGCTGGCACGGGGAGGGAGTACAATATAACATCGGCGATTCATGTGGAGGGCGTGCCACCGATAATGGAGTCGATTTCTGTTCTCCATTCTGCTCTCACGGGTATCAACGTCACCACGTCGGACGCACCGGTCGTAATAAACAATTGTACCGTGCAATATAACAGAGGTAAGATGCATTCCTATCGATCTTCTTCCCGTCTGCTCCAATAATTTATTTAAAACTATTGCGTCGAATAATATGTTTTAATTTACTATGGTTTTATTTTAGGATACGGGATTTACGTAAATAGCTCGTCCGGCATGGCGCATATCAATAACTGCACGGTGTTCGAGAACGGTGCGGACGGAATAAAGTACGTGCACGCGGATGAGCGACCGGACGAAAAGCTGGATCGTAACGACGTGTACGATCTATGCACTTTCCCCACAACGGCCAGTCAGACCTTCCCCGTCACTATATCTATGGAGCAGAATAAATACGCGCCCAACGTAAAACGATGTCCACAAGTGAGTTGACGGATGTTTGTCGCTGGCGAAAGTAATGTTACGAAATTTTAACGATAACGCAAGAACCATTTATTAACGAGTGGCAATAATATTATTCAGCATATCTTCACGAGGCCAGGCCACGTCCTGACGGTGCATTTTCTGCAAATGAAAACCGACAGGAACGACAGCGCCGTCATAGAGGTGCGCGACGGTTTAAGCGGAGCGGACAGACTCCTGGCGAGCGTCAAAGTCAGAAATGGAACTTTACCGCAGAGCGTGACTTCAACGCGGCAAAATGTTTATGTGAAATTCACAGCTGACCCCCGAACGAACACGATCGTGTTCCTGCGAGTGTCGTCGGGCTACAGTAAGTCTAGCAAAAATGCACAACGTGGATCTTTCTCTTAAGTTATGAGATGACGAAAGATATTTAACGTTCCATTTTTTTTTCTTTTTACAGAGAAAACGTATGATCTCAACGTGACCGGCAGTACAATAACAGGCAACAGTGGCCGTGGTATCGTCGTGGAGAAACTAAGATCCTCCTTACATATTCACGAGACCTCGGTGTCGAATAACGATCACGTGGCGGGCGTGCACGTGCTGAATGGCGCGATGGATGTTAACATCACCGATAGTCGTATCTCGTTCAACCAAGGGGATGGCGTTAACATCACTGTCACGGGCGGCAATCGCAACGTGTCGCGCAGCAGCATATCGTCCAACAGCGGTTACGGTTTCGCGGTGTGGTTAAACGATAGCCTCGCCACTGAATACGTACACTTTAATCAGTCAACTGTGATCGAGTACTCGCAGATATTTCGCAACAAGGACATCGGCGTTCTGGTAAGCGCGAACATATATCGATTTTAATCGATTGCACATCATTACATTGCAATTATATAGCTGATTATTATAATATTGCTATGTACAATACACGAATAAAATTCGGCATCTTTTTCGGTCGATAGATCGGTAATTCAACCGGCAACTCGTACGTGAACGTAACTGGCAACTGGTTCAATACCAGCCTCGAAACGGCATTGCAAGTGGAATCCAGTTGGAGGAAGGACAATGGAATAATGAGAGTACAAATCGGGCACAACTGGTTCATAAAGAATGCGAAATTAGGAATCAAACTGAGCCCGGCGCTCAATCTCGATGCTGTTATAGAATACAATCATTTCAGAGAACAAGCGATCGGCGCGATTCTGATAAAAAATCCGCTTTACGAGGAGTTTAACATTTTACCCGCGGAGGTTGTGATACGACATAACGAATTTTACAACAATCGAGGTCCCTTCGTAGTCAGCATTGGTCTATCGCCTTACAATGACGCGCAAAAGTTGCTGTTCACGAGAAACTTTTTGCGAGAGAATCGTGTCCGGGAGCTCTTTGACAATGGCGACATGCTGAATGTCAAACTGATACCACGCTCCAGGGTAGCCGCCGTCATCGTCGTGTCTTCGAGCAACGTTGAAGTTTACCGCAACATTTTATACAATCCCGAATCGCCTTACGAGATCGGCTCTCATCTGGAGGATCAGAGTAAAGTTATCAATTGTACGTACAACTGGCTAGGATCTGGGGAAGAAAAGAGGATATTCGATCGATTATTCCACAGGTACACCTCATTACTTGTAACATTTTTTCTAATTGTCGCGATAGTAACAACGAAATATAATTTATAATTTTCGTTGTTCAGGAAAGACCGATACAATCTTGCCAAAATCGAGTATTTGCCTTACTTGCTGCACAGCAGCAATCCCGGCGCGAATACCATCATTCCGAATCCGACGTTCGTGCCGCAGTTTGTCACGCCCGGCACGAATCTAGTGGGGGGTGAGGTGGATGGCCAGGAGGAATTAAAAGCCGGAGAGTACATTGTCGAGCGTGATATCAATGTGAGACCGGGCGGCAAGCTAATATTACAACCGGGCGTTACGTTACGCTTCCCACCGGCCGTGGGAATGATGATTGCCGGCAAATTCGACGCGCGTGGCAAAAAGCCCAGCGACATCTTATTCACTCTCAAAGAAGAGCTCGCTGCGTTACCAAATAACGACACCTTCATGGATGAGGATACGGTTCAGGTCGACGAGACGGAAACCGTGCCAGTGAGGCTTCTCGGTGGGAAAACGAATCTCGAAGGGAGACTGCAGGTAACTCAATTCTTTTTCAATTTTCTTTCTAAGCGTTTGCGTTTATAAAGCCGACTTATTAGTTTTATTATAAAAAAACAAGATTTACTAGTTTTAAAAAAATTGATGAACTATTAATAAACGTTCAAACAAAATAGAAAAAATCTACATAATTACAGTTTACATAATTTTTAATGATACTTTTATTCTGAAAGGTAAAAATTGGAAATAAATGGGGCACTGTGTGTAACTATGGATGGACGATTCTGGATGCAGCGCTCGTTTGCCATCAATTGGGCTTTATCCTTGACTTCGAGAATTGGCTTATGGAGCGATCGCATATTCCGAACGCGGGAATCAACGAGGATATACTTCTCAGCAATGTGCGCTGTACCGAATACGACAACGATATAACTAAGTGTCGGGCGGAAAGGGAGCAGGATTTCGAAAACTCGTGCACTCACGCGAACGACGTTGGTGTCAGGTGTTTGGAGGCGGCATGGGCGGGTCTCAGATTGGGGCCACTGGCTCAGAGAAGCGACCTGCAGTACGTGACAATCGAAAAGGCAGGCTTGCTGGATTACAAAACGAATTCGTTTAAGCCAGGTAATTTCGAGATTTTCGTTAATAATCGATGGGTTGAGTATCACGTTACGAATAACTGTTGTATTCTATAACAGCTTTGCAAATCGATTTTGCCCGGCATTCGTTGGACGGTGTCAAGGTCCTTAACAATCTGCAAGACGGCTTGGGAGTTCTGTATTCGGACATATATTCGGCGGACGCGATAAATACCGTGACAAACAGCGACTTCTCTCTAAACGGCGGGAGCGGCATCAGCTTCAAGCAACTGGGCATGCGAATCGTCAACTCGCGAATCGAGAGCAACAAGGTCGCGGGAATAAGGCACAATCCCGCTCTCTCGGCCGTTCAGCAGAGAGAATTCGCGGGATGGTTCCTGCGCGCCCCAGACAGCACGATCGACTCGCCGTACAATCCGGTAATCTTGCCGGAAACGAACGAGAACATTGAGGTCGCTAACGGAGAGACCAAGTACATTATAACGACTAAAGTAACCGGCACACCTGTCCGTCGCACCATCGACATTAAAGTAAATTGTTTTTTTCTCGCAAGATGCATCTTGTTGCCGCGATCAAGCTAACTTTATCCAAATTACAGTGTACACCAGGCTACGTCATCGGTATCCAATTGCTGAACCCGATAGAGAATCGAAGTACGGAACAGATTATACTGCACGACTCGCAAAGTTTCGACAAGAATCAAACGATTTGGCACGTAAAGCGGGACCTGAGCGTTTTCCCCGTCTCATCCAGTTCCTTCGTGGTAATTCTGGAGTACGACAGCGGTGAAAATGCCTTCGGTGGAGCAGTTATAGTTGTCACGTCGCTCTTGGCTCCAATACAGGTACATACATTTCAAGTGTGAATATTACATTTACAGAGATATAACATTGATTTTATATTAAATGTTACGGTTACGCGTTTGCAGAATATTCACAACAAAATAGTCAGCGGCCCAATTCCCTCGCTAATTGTCACAAAGACGAGGATCAAGAGCAACCAGAAAGGTATCCTCGCGTCCTACTACAATCGATACCTGAATGAAATCGGAGAGCATTTTCTGCGGAAAGCTAACGAGACTATTCAGCTAGTCGGATGCGAGATATCGCACAATCACGAGGAGGCTATTTACGTTTATTCGCCTTATTGGAACATCTACCAATCCAATCTGTCTGAGATCTCGATACACGTGAATAACACCTTGATCACGGATAACGGTAAAGGGATACATCAGTTCAGCCGCGACGCGAGGCACTCCAACAACCTCTTCCACTGGATAATGCAGGACAGCACGATTGAGAGAAATCGCGGCGGTGGATTCGAGGTGTTGTTACCGGACGTCTGGCAGTATAACGAGAACTTTACGCACTCTTTATACTTCGGCAACAATACCTGGCGTAATAACGAACAGTTCGGCTTCGTGGTGGATGGACACTTCGCGCATCTCAATATATCCCACAATCGTTTCGACAGCAATCGATGCAAGACCGGTCTGATATCCGTCCGCGGAATGGAGAAGAGGATGAGAATAGATAACAACCGTATCGAGGGCAATAGCGGCGCCTACATGGTCGAGTTTCGAGCGGACAGCCAGTCCGAGATCCTCGGCGACGTTTACGCGCGCTTCTACTTTAATGAGATCAAGCGAAACGTGTACGATCTCGTCAGCATGGGACCACGCCGAACGTTCGACGATCCCAGCTACGTCGTCGGCTTTCACGGCATACAGAAAGTACGAGTCAACAGAAATCTCTTCGGCGAGAACTCGTTGGATTACGAATTACTGGCGGGTATCAGGACAGCCAAGATCAACAACGAGGTGGATGTAATGGAGAATTGGTGGGGTAGCGCAAACGACACTTCTATCAGGTAATTTTACATAAACAATTCACGTTTTCTGCAGACTGCGTTTGACGCTGAAACTTGAACTTGTTGTTCCTTCGCAGATGGAGAATCTTTGATTTCGACGATTGGAACGATCACGCCGTGGCCAACTATCGGCCGTACTTGATAAGCGACTCGTTCGACGCGTCTATCTCCGCGTCGTGGCATATAAATCGGGAGGTTGACCTGGACAATCTGGGCGGTCGCATAGTGGACAGTCTATCGCTGCACGCGAGATCCGAGCCCTACGTCATACGTTCCGACATCACGGTCATGCCGGAAGCTACCTTACACATCTATCCCGACGTCGTGATGGAGTTCGCTCCCAACGTTGGCATTTTGGTTCTGGGAACGCTGAAAGCCGTCGGCGTGCCCGGTCACGAGATCATAATGAGACCGATGAGACGAGTCGACGCGAGCGCGAACTCTACGCGCGAACTCTTTTTCAAGTCGACACCGAGGACTTCCGCCAATCTCATGGCAATGCCGGATGAGACGATCCGTCTATGCAAGAATGGACATTGCTCCGCATTGTACAACGAAGGTAGACCGAAAGATAAAAAACTCATTCCAAGAGAAACCCGTCGTTTATTAGTATATTTTTTATTTTCATATCTTTCATAGCTTTTTTGTATAATTTTTTTATATTACGTATTATCATATTGCTTTTATATATTACTTATAACAATAATAATTTTCTTTATTAATTTTGTATATTACTTTTATATTCAGCTACGTTTTTTCTTTCTTGTAACAGGATTCCTGGAGTACTTCAACAGGACGACTCTTCAGTGGATTCCCTTGTGCGATGATCGCTTCACCGAGCGCAACGCTCAAGTGGCGTGCCGACAACTTGGCTACGACACTCTCAACGTCTACGTGTCGTACGATCGTAGATACGAGCATCATCCTGGATCGTTAACGCGCGTCTGGTCCTGGCCCGAACCACTGCAGGTGCGATTAATTTCGCCTCGGTTTTAAGTCGTTTCGGAAAGTCAACGAATTCTCTATATAAACCTTTTAAACGTTTTACAGTGTTCCGGGAAAGAACAGAATCTCGAAGACTGCCAGATCAGATTGAACGGTCAGTTGTTCGGTCATCGTCACGAGTGCCCGTGGGACGGGCAGTTCGTTTTCCTGCATTGCGGCAAGCGAAACCTGGACGACGCGTACGATTATTGGGGCGGGATACGCATCGCGAACAGCGAGTTCGAGCATCATCTGTACGAGCATCGCATCCACGACGTCGTAACTCACGAGACGGTCAGACGCGTTGAATCGGTTCTGCGATTCATCAATATAACCGGCGCCGGAATTTTACACTACGAGAAATCGTCCGCTATACAGTCGATCATGAAGTCTCCGGCGGTGGTGCACGTAAACATAGAACGCGGCGCTTATCACGGCATCAATGCCGTATCTCCGACGCACACGGTATGCGGAACACATTTGTATGCGGGAGAAAACGCAAAGCGGAATAATTATCGTTTTGTTCTAAACCTACGTGTTTATGTATATTACAGGTGGAATTATTATTCAACACTATTAACAACGTCCTCGGCAACGGCGTGAATATATTGTCCTTGACGGGAGAAGGCCGCGAGGCGGACGAGAGCTCGTTCACTCCTATTAAGGACCTCAATATACCTTATCATTTATTCAGCATGGTTGATATATGCGACACCACAAAAGAAATCACGATCGAGGAGCGCGTGATCGTGTACTACAAATATGACAATTATCCTGTGAATTGCGTGAAAATCTTCCGCAGTCCTTATAGAACCAAACCTTTCGGATTTAGGTACGTCAAGAGCTTTCCTTTTTCGCGAGAACGGCATTCGAATGGGGGTTGCAAATTAAAAGGCAAATATTCTGATTTTGCAGACTCTTGCAATTTAATCTTTACAACTCTACCGGCAAGCCAGGCCGTGCCGATGCTATAACTCTGTACGACGGAGACATTTACAATATCACCACCAAGGAGATTGCCCATCTGGAAGTTAACACTCCTGACGAGAAGAAATTGTTCAGAACGCAGAATCCCAGTATTAGCATTCGATTGTTCGCTAACGGCGCCAGTAGCGTGCACGGATTTATCGCGGAAATCGTGACTCTCCCGATATCCGCCATTGGTTTCAGTAAGTGATGTCAAACTAACGTTTTATCGGCGAAAGAGAATAATCTTCTCGTTGTACGTCTCGTTTCGAATCACGTATTCCTCTCGTCACTCGTTCACTTTTGTAATTGGCAGATCGCGACGTGCAGCACAACGTTTCCTACTCTGTGATATCAAACTGCCGCGAAGGGGCCGTAAAGTATGCAAGCGCCGGCGAGGTGAATGCCATAATGACGCTCGAGCGTAATCAGTTTAAGAATAATTGCGAGAAGCTGTACGGTAACTTCACCACCTGTAAATCCGCGGTGTGGCTCGACGTCCAAAATACTCAGTCGCTCTATTTCAGAGTAAGTACAGGGTGGTACGGCCTAACTGTTTTTCATGACGTTTTCTCAAAATCATGATCAGATTTTTAATCATTTAAAATTCACGTTCCAGAACAACTTGGTGCAGCGGAATCAAGGCGGTCTTTCTATCCGTGCCGATTCGAGAGGCTCGGCAACGTCTCTCAAGGGATGGATTCACAACAATCTCTTCACGGAGAACTTCAACAAGCCCGCATTGTAAGTACAGCGTTGTAACTCGTTTGTAAAACCGAATGGTGACACCGCGGAACTTTTCAGATACATCGAGGGTCGACAGAGCAGCCCCTACCAAGAGGTGACTATATTCAGGAATTACTTCACCAAGAACAACGCTCCCTACGACAATAACATTATCTTGAAGCAAGTGGTCAGCAACATGACGCTCAATTATTTACACGGAAACCTCGGCATGCATTTATTGGAGATCTCGGGATTCGAGAAGGTCCGCTTACCCATCTATCAAAGCACATCTCACAACGGCTTTTACAAGTGAGTCGCTTGTTCTTATATTCTTTTCATGCCTTCCTGCTTCATAATTCTTTATCGCTACGCGCGCAAGCTATTTATAGAAGATTATCCAAGGAGGTAATTAAATATTTATAACTTTTTTTTATAGAAACTACGCAGTCGATCGTGAAGGCCGTAGCACTATCATTGCCGGTACGCCCGGCCAGCAATACGTCGACAATGTGTTCTTTAATCCCGATAATGATTACGAAATGCTCACAATAAACAGATCTCAGTAAGTCAAAAACGAACTTGATCCAAATATAGAACACAAGATTACTTAAAGACTATTTAACATTCATAAACGAATCGCCCATTTAGACAATTAGAAATGTGGAGATCTCACGTGGACGCGCGGCACAATTGGTGGGGCTACAACGAAACTTTGGCGGTGGCCGGACGGATCAGAGATCGCGGAGACTCACCTGAACTGTTGCAGGTGGATTACCAACCCTTCCACATGAACAATAAGTCGGTATTAAGCGGCAAGTGTCCACCTGCCTGGGATCTCGTCGGCGACACGTGTTACATATTGATCGGCGCACCGATGGACTTCTACAGCGCGCGAGACTTTTGCAGAGTGAGTTATCCCATCCAGATGTATGATATTTAATCTCTTAATGTCTTTAGTCTGTTACGCTCCTCCCATTTTGTACTGTCTGTTAAATTGTCTCTCTTTCATCACAGTCGGCAAACGCGTCGATGCCGTTTATCATGGGGGATTATCTGGGACTCTGGAAATTCTTGCGTAAGCAACAGGAACGATTTGATTATTCGGAGCGTGTGTGGGTGCAACAATTGGACCGCGTGGATCAGTGCACAACGTTCACGTATCAGACGATCGAGATCGATCATTGCGCGCAGCCTAGTGAGTTCATCTGCGAGATCGGTACGTATGGAATACCATAAGAAAAGATAACGAGGTAAAGAGAAATATATAAAGGAGAGAATAGTGAAAGATTATTCTCCGATTTTTCACAGATCCCAGAGTTAACATCGATCCTCTGTCGTGGAGGAAAGATATCGTTGCGGTGGGTGTTTTGGGAGCTGTCGGTGTCGCGCTCGCGTTGCTGACCGCGGCTATCGCGTTATGGGCGTCCAAGTCGAAGAAACGTAAGCTCGAGAGACTGGAGCGACGTAACTCCATCAGGCAGTCCCTACATTCCCTGCGATCGGTCGGCTCCACGTCCGGCTTTACGGAGCTTGCTTATCGGCGAAAACCTATCGCGGTAAGTATGGATTGCGAGCAAATAACTGCAAATGTTTTTAGAATTGACATGTAATAAAAATTAAAACTACTAAAGTTTTAAGCATAAAAGTTAATTAAAGATTTCAATGTAAGTGATTTATCTTTTAAGAAGTTAAGGAAATTAATGGAGGGTTCTGAATAATATTCTTTTTCACGTGTTTCAGACCAAACATTCCACGGATACGCTGAATTCAAATTACAAGCGCATGTTAAACGGCGGTAGCCTGGACTCGATGGACAAGTCGCAATTGAACTCCTCGATAGAGGACAATCAGAGTTACGACGTGTACGAGGCTCACAATCCGCGATACTCGCCGAGCACGAGCGACTTCAAGAGCACGGCGCAGAAGTACGGCGCGGCGCAGAGCGTCGACAATCCGGTCTTCGACCTGGCGTATCGCAATGAGGGCTTCCGCAATCATTCCACTTTCGCGGCGAGGAACGGCAACCTTGTCGCCGCTGCCGCCCCTGCCGCTCCTAACTGGCCGTCTCAACCGAACGTGCAATCGACCTCGGTCGACGAGAGTCCCACGGTGTATCCCAACAACGAGACCTCGTATTTCAACAATGCGTCCACGCTGCCGTTGCACTCCAGCCTCGCGCTCACCGACTCGATGAGCGAGTTGAAACGCGACATCGAGACATCGGCCGCCTACGATCCCGTGGATTACGACTCGAGGCGCACCTACGACACGGCGACGCTGACGCCGAGCCAGGCGTCCGAGCCCGTTCCGGAATACGCGGCGGACTTTCAGCCGCCGGTACCGCCGCATCCTTATCACTACGAGGCCGAGAGCAGACCCAGGAGCGAGGCGCTGCTGGAGACCAACTTCGACACCGGCGAGGAGAAGCCGCTGCGCTCGAAGAGCGAGGCCTTGCTCGAGACCAATCTGGACGCGTTCCTAGTCAACGAGCCTACGGAACTCACGCAGCTGTCGACGACCGCGCGAAGCAAGAGTCAGCCGTTGGAAACGGCGATGTAACTTCTCCGAATGTTGGCGACTCTTAGACCAGCCGTTGTTCACAATCGGGCACAACTGAAGCGTGTGCCAAAACGTCTTCTAGCGACGAGCACTGCCAGCTACCGCACAATAAGAGATTTTCAATCGTTCGTAACAATATGCTGCCGATTTAAACGACTCGTGCCATTTCCAATGATCGCGAACTGGATATTGGAATACACGTGCCCAGTGAGTCCCGATTGAAGTGCTCGGAACAGAGTAAAGACGCCGACAACACGATGACTCGTTGACCGTAGAAACTGACGAAGAGTTTCGTCACGTCAATGAAAAACTCTGCGTTAAAATACAATCTGATAGATAACGTTGCGATAATTATTTATAACATGTCGCATTATCAGATAATCAGCAATATGCTTGGACGAATCCGCGCCTGGGATGAATGCATACAGACGAGTTCTGTGTAAGATTTTCGATAGGAATAGTATCGTGTTCAATATGTACAATGTCAGGAACTTAACGTTTTCAGAATTCGACGTTGTTAGATTTTTTTATATTAAGACGTTGATAGTTCGGCATACATATATGGTTGAAATGGACCGAATGCTTTCTTCACACGACGTCGTAGAGATCTCAACATTTAATTCGGTCGATCTTTCGTTAACGACTCTCGGAAGTTGACGCGTACTTGTTGCGTCACACATTCGTAGGTGTTCCAAAGAGGATGACTGTTTGTTACAACGACGCGTTACTTAATCCCAATTACGTCCGCAAGCGGTATCTAATACCGCTAATTTAATAGACTGTTAATAACGACACCGTCGTTGGTCGAGTGACGCGAGCGTGAATCTCCAACTCGCCGGAGACAAAGCTCGTAGGTAATCTGTAAGGATAAGTCGAATTTTTAAGACTTTTCACGGTACAATGAATATTTACGAATTTCATCAAAATTTAGATGTTAAAAATTTTTTCGATATAGATACGTTGACAAAAGGTTTTATATAGGAGATATATATAATGTTACGAATGTTGTCCGACGATGAATATTTAGCGTCAGAAATCGGACGGAAGGATGTATATTAATTTTAACGATATAAGTGCAAGAGGAATTAATTGACTAATTTGTTGTTGACCTTATTGCGATAAAGCTGTGAGAACAAAGGCAGACCTCATAATTAGCAATGTACACTCTCGTTGCTGTTCGAGGTGTACGTCGAATCGATCAAAGTTTCTTAAAATTTAAGAATACAGAGAAAAACGAACAAGATTTCTTTTTTTTTTAATCCGATATCTCGTACTAGCGACATCAAGAAGTTGGAGTTACCAGATGTGGCGAATCTGTTGCAGATGCACGATGATTACACTGCCAAGCGTGTCCAACGTCGTATAGTAATTCTCACGAGTATTAATAGACTAATAGATCAATTTTCTTGAGGATGTCCACATTACGAAGCTGAGCTGTAAATAAGTACGCGCTATTTATCGAATACTACTCGTGCTCAACGCGGAGATACGAATTTCGTGGGGATATATCCCCGAAGAAATTTGTACTCGCCCCGTAGGAGCGTACGTTCTTTCCCTTAAGATAGACTTACCGTTTCCATTAAGCAAGGTGATCTCACCAATCTTGTTTTTACCGAAAAAAAAAACAATGTTTTTATATACCTGCCTTTAGCAAAGTATCCGTCCATACACGTAGGCTTAGCGCGAGCGATAATCGCCTTTTTACGAGGCGCGCGATAAATAAGTAAAAATTCTAAGTAAAAATTTTCGCTATGTTAAAGATCGCCTAAGGAGTTCACAGGATTCTTGTGAGAGGAATATATATGTATGTGTGTGTGTGTGCATGACACGTACCTATTAGCAGAACGCGAAGTAGCACTCGCAACATCCGCAATATATATTCAAATATTTGCAGCGTAACTCTCATTAAAATTCTAATGAGCTTTAATTGTCGTGTTGCGAGCTCTCTCATAGGTACTTGCGCGAATGGAACTTGGATGTCACAAGGCTGCCTTACATGTACATGTTGCAGAAATTAAATAAATAAACTAAGCGAATCCAAACTGACGAGAATCACGACGCCGAATAATCTTTTTCAGTTGCAAACTCTCTATCGCTTTCAGGAGACGACCGTTGATCTCGAAAATAGGTGATCACGCTAGGAATATATGGGATAAGTGTCTCCGGCAAAAGGAACAACGTAAGCGCTTCAAAACAATATCGAATATATTAATATTAATATCGTCAAGATAACATAATTAAATATCAGGTTTACTATTCGTCGCAGCCGTTTTTTCTCGGACCGCTGAAACGAACATTGGCATTGGGAGATTCTTTCTACGTCTGACAACACGATCGACGAAGAAATTCCGCGGGTGCCACACTCGATGTGGCACCGACGCGATTTTACGTATCAGCGAAACGGCTCCACTCCGACTTTCCGCCGCGCCCTTGGGACGCGGCGCACATTTCTTCGGCTGGTAGACATAACATAATCTTATAACGTTACAGATATGTAATTCATAGGTGTGCGCTTGTGGGTGTATATATATATGTATATGTATATATATACACAATTCTTTCTATTATATCTATATATAAGAGGAGGCTCATCTCGAGATCGCCCAGTCAGGTACCTCCGTTGCTTACGGATGCATTTGGATAGCGGTATACGCGTTACTTACAAAGACGCGTATGTGCAACGAGTAAGAGATAACTTGATTGTAATTATCAGCATCAACGCGCGGTGCAAGCAATCAAATGAGCACCGGGCATTGTGCGCCCGGTTTCATTAGCGATAGACAAGTTACTCGCGAAGGAGACTATTGTCTACAGTTTCCTTTCCTATCATATATATATAACGTATATATCTCGGTATTAACTATTTCTAGTAATAATATAACAATATATCAACGTAGAGAGGAAAATTAAGTGTTCGCTCAGCAAAGTCGACGTCGGTCAAGCCAGACGACTCGACTCGAGTCGTTCCTCAGCACCGGAGGCGCACCTGCCTTGATCTCTATTGCACGAATTACCATGAGGCGATTATCAACTATTGCACCAGTCGTGCGTGATCACACGTACGGTAACGACGGCACGGCGAGCGAGCACCCGGAGGGGACAAGAAGCCGCATCCGAGTCCCGGAGGTCGCGTGCCTAAGTCGCGCTCGTCAGGATCGGAGCATTGAAGCGCGACAAAGTCGCGAGATTGCCGTTAAGAGACTAAAGAGGAGCGAAGAAGGACCACGCGCCAGGACGAATCGTTCGCGCGTGATTTCGTTTCACTTTCGTTGCGTTTGAGCGAAGCGGAATGGACCGCACGGATAAAAACGTCGCAGCGAGCAGGAGCGAAGGACATATCGCCAGCCGATCTGGCAAAGAAGTTATAGAGAATGATATTGGAAGTTTATATATAGTTCGTTTCTTTATCATTATTATCATTTTCACCATGAAACAAATTGCATGCTACGATATTATTCGTCTCGATATAGCGTACTTCTGAGTAAACACTTCAATAGGAAGCGAATTGTAAGCTAAAGAAGCTATAGAAAATTACAGAAAATATTTCTTTTCTTCATCATAGAACAAATTGTACGTTACAATTTTATTTGTCTCGATATGAAGATAATGTATTTCTAAACAAACGCTTCAAGATGAAACAAATTGTATTTCACAGTGAGACCTTTTTACAATGAAATACAATTTGTCTCATATTGAAGCGTTTGCTTAGAAATACATTATCTCTGTATCGAGACGAATAAAATTGTAACATACAATTTGTTCCGCGACGAAAATGATAACGGTCTCATTGTGAAATATTCTCGCTTCGTCCCTTCTCAAGATAAATGTTTTCCTTTTTTTTTATTATTATTATCTGCAATATCTGCCTCGTCTCGTTTTTATCCGTGTGACCCGACAAATCTGACGATTTGAATTCGAAGGAAACTTTTGGCACGCAAGTCGATACACGTGCGCCTTAATTAAACCTCGGCAATTAATATCGCGACTTTCCGCGAGGGCGGGGGAAGAAAGTAATCGAATTCCACCGGCCCCGGCGAAGTCAATTTGCCCGGACTCGTCGTCCGCGAGTCCGGAATAATCGTGTAGTTGAGCTAATACAGGCCGGCAATCTGTCGCAGCCGTATCTTTAACGAGTTTGTAAATTCGGCGAACGACATTACGATATTTCACTTACGTCTACATACTCCTACGCATTTGTCGTATCGTAAAAGTGTAAACTGTACGCTAATGTGCTGATCGTTGATTAATATATGTCGATATACCTCTAAGATCGATAGTGATGACGCGGATTAACGAACGGGACACGTGAAATTTGCTCTCTGGAGCGGGAAACGAAAGACTAACGGAAGACTTTTGTAATATTTGCTGTTTTAACGTGAGAAACGAGCGCCGTCGTCGTTCGACAGCGTTACGCATATTGAAAGACAATGAGAACGCGCGATTCGGAAAGAAGAAAACGAGAAGAAGGCGCGACGCGAATTGAACAATTCATGGTCGAACGACGAGACAAACGACTGATAAAACATATATATAATATTTGTATATATATATATATATATATTAAATTCTCATCTTCAAACTTTAAAAATTAAATTAAGTAATATTCGTAAAACAAGTCGTACGTAAAATTTGAAAGAGAAAACTAACGACTAACGAGACGTAGTTCCAAGCTCGATTCTAGATACCGTCCGCGGTATTCGATAGAAATCGGGACGCGTTTTGGACGATGATTGCTGACGCTAGTACGCGGCGCGGGCTACATCCTCAAACATTGTCCAATTGGTATATATAATTATTATTTACAATCTATTTAATGCGTAATTTGTATATATAATATATAAACCCGAGACGCGTGCGAGTCGGTTGCTCAAAATATATATCTATTCCCGCGAGCTCTTTCAGCTCGACGCGGACAAAAGTACGCGAGGATCAAAGTCCAATTGCCGTCATCGCAACGGGAATGATAAGAATGTAACATGGTAAAAGAAATAAAACGAAAAATAGGGAGAATAAAAGGAGGAAAACGCGATACGCGGTTCGTCTCATCCCCAGAGGAGGGGAAATCGGAACAAACGACGAGAGAGAAATGACGCCGCTGTGCATCGCGCCACAACGGCTCCTATCTATCTCTAGACTAGAAAGAAACGCGTCGCTCTCGCGGCCGGCGCGTCGAAAATTTACGTGGGGAGGATTTCTTTCGGGTAAACGCGTAGAGGGGGAAATTACGCTTTTGCATTTGCACTTTGCCGTGTATGTCTAGGTCTACGTACGTGGTTCGTACGAAAAATTCTCGCGTGAAAAATATCGCTAAGCCTAGTCGACGATGACGACGACGAGGACGGGGACCGTTCTCTCAAGGATTCGCGTGGGTGTCCCTGAAACAACGGTCTTTTCTCGCGCGACCCCCGTTTTAGTCGGTCCTAAGCGTCGAGACCGCTCGTCTCGCCGACTCGAGGGGAATCGCGCGTCTACGAGGCAAGGAACCGGGACGGGCAAGAGGGTCCAGCCGAGGAGATCAAACCATGAAAACTTCAACGAAGGGATTGCACTCGGTCTGCGGTGGAGGCAGCGCGGCCATGCGTTTATCCAGCTCCACTCGTGGTAGATATGCTTCGATACGCGCGTCGGGTCCCGTGGCCGTGGACGTTGGCAGCGTCGTTGCCCCGGGTGCTAATTGCAGACATTCAGCTGGCGCCAACTGAGATCACACAATTTATCTAGTTTTAACTAGGAACGAAAAACCGTGTTCGCAAACAAATTGGTCATTAACAAAAAAGCTAATACAAGCTGAACACGCGGTGTCTCGTCTTGACAAGTAGAGCAGTTTAAAGTTTCAATCTTTATTTTGAAGAAGCTTTTAGTAATCAGTTTTAATTTGTAGACGCTGGATAATTTACGCCTTTTCATTAGAATTAATTTATAAAAATAAGTAGATGATAAGTTATAAGAGATATACGGTCGCTCTTGATTTTGAGAAGACAAGGCTTTACTCACCAAAGCAGCTTGCTGAGGAATCTGCGCGATACCGCCGACGCTCGCGGGGGTGTAATAATTGGTCGGGCTGACCGGCGGCGAGGGATAAGGCCAGTAGAAGATGGGCGGCGGATACGGCGTCGCAAATTGCGGCGGGCCGCGGGGCAACATCGCGGCCGCAGGCGGAAATATCGCCACGGTCGGTGGTGGCAACATCGTGCCCCCTAAGGAAGAAAGAAAGAGAACGACATTCAACGTTCGATCGAAATGATCCGCTCGATCGGCTTAGTTAGAGCAACGCGAGTGAAAGGAAAAACGCGGTCGTGCTCGTAAGATTTTTTGCGATTCGCGAACCCCTCTGCTGACCCCTGATCGTCTGACTCGAGGTCAGCCTTTCGCGAATCGTAATATCGCGTAAGTCTCGAACTTGGCGTATCATTGACAGAAAAAAAAAGGGGACTCGCAGTACCCACGATCGTCCGTTATGTATGTACAAACGTAAAGAAGAGTGCCCACTATGTAACCACTCCACAATTACAACGAGTGACATCGTGCAGATCCGCAGAGATGTTTTCTAGAAGCACACAAAGCGTTCTCAATTTAGTAATGCGCCAGTATACAGTCGACCATGTTCGACAGCGTGTCTCTCGCACTATGAAAGTGAATTAGTGAGATAGTTTGTATACATATTTTTAATGAAACAACCACTAAGATCTTCTAACTTCGCACGCTGCACGATTTCACTTTCAATCAGACTGGTCTTGCACGGTTTGAGCAAACGGTTTCGCCGGACCGGTTTCTGGACTCACCCGCCACCTAAAAATTCAAAAGCAATCCTTTTCGCTATTTTTTAAAGGTATAAAAGTAGACTCTGAGATCGTTGCCAAGAAATAATCATCCCGTGCCGCGATTACTGTGCTCAGAACGTGCAAGAACGCAGTCATCCAAAGGAATAATGACTTGGACTTGGCCTACCTGGAAGCACAGAAGTTAGTATTTGTAGGTCCCGCTACCATAACAGCAATCGACACTGCACCATTGTAACACGATAATATAATGTATCCTTTTTTATATATATAATATGTAATGCAGCACCAACTTGCGATTTCGCCCCTCTGCCAAATCACCAGATACACGCACTCTCTCACTCTCTTTTTCTCTCCCCTTCTACCCTTCCTTTCTTTCTCTCTTTCGCTCTTTTCTCTCTTTCTCTCTCTCTCGTTTCCTTCTCTCTCTCTCTCTTGCCCAACGAAAAAGCCTTTTTGCGTGCGCCTTTTTGTGACGAAAGTACAGCCCACTTGCGTGTCACTTCAAGAAACGTTGCTTTAAAAAATTCTGAAAAATGAATAGTAAATCATGCAGATTAACTTGAAATTATTCCGTCGAGTAAACATGGTTTGAGCAAAGACGTGACATGGACGGCAGGCCGTACATTTCGCACAATTCAACGTGAATTCGTATCGCATCGGGCAATTTGCGGAGATACAGGGAGGAAACGTGTAACACGATGAGAGGAATATAAGTAGATTCGCTAGATTAGTCTCTAACAGGCCGCTGGGATGATCGGCATAGGCAAAAAGCAACGGTTCGTAAGTATTGACCACATTGAAGAGTAACTTTTGAGTAGCGACTTGAGTAAATCGAGAATTTTAGTATCTCGAAAGAGCGGGTAATCACGAGATGGGAGAGGAGAGACACTTAGAGATCTGTCTTCCGTTTGGAGATAGAAAGTGGAAGACTCACGTACAAAAATGACAAAGAAAAGAGAAGGAGAGAGAGAGAGAGAATTTTACGCAAGAGAAAGAAAGACAGAACAAAAAAAAAACAAGGCGAATGAGCGAGAGAAAGAGAGCTAAGAGTTACGACACAGAAATCTCCAATTTGATCTGTAGATACCAAAGATACCTGTGAGCCCAATGAAAAAAAAAATGTATAGAACGTAACAAGATACCGCGCGGTGGTTGCAATCTTCAGCGGGTCTCGCGAATCCGGGCGCTGTCTAGTGTCTATTTCTACCAATGTAAATTAACTTCAATCTCAGTTTAACTTATACTTTTTATCTTTTTCTCAATTCTTGGAACTGGAAAAAACTGGATATAAGTTAAATCGGGATTGAAGTTAAACTACATTGGTAGAAATGGCGTTTAAGGAGGAAACGCGTTCTCCTTTAAAAACCCGATCGCTTAAAGTTATACGCGTCGCCTCGCCTCGCGGTGCGGCGAGCGAGACGGCGCAACGGGACCGACGTTGCGAAGAGTGCAACCACCGGTGCGACGGTACATAATATAATCAGGGTAAGAGTCCACCAACCCGGCAAGCAAAAAGATATATATATCCACAAGGCACATTTATTAAACATGATCGTTCTCACCGTCGATATAAAATCATCGATATACAGAGTGTGTACAGAAGATAAAAAAAAAGAGAGTTACACCGCGTGTATACGTGTATGTATGTATGTGTGCGTATGCATGGATAAACACGTGTTATACCGCGTGCGCGTGTCCTACGTCTTTCGGGGGAGGGAACGGGGGGAAAAAAGAGAAAAAATGAAAGAGATCTTGAGGAAGATATCGGCGGGAAGATGAAGAAATGGGAATGATTGTCGTTAACGCTAGGACACCTTCACGCTCTCGACATACACTTGTGCCAGAACAACTCCGAGATGCATTCCCCTACGGAAACGATGCGAAAGGCGACCGGTTGGCGCGACCGTCCTCGATGAACGATCGCCGGTTTCCGTTTCACATCATCCCACCGTATCTCGCTATCTCTATAATATCAATTAATGCTACACAACCGGGGGGGAGAGTCGGAAGACACGTAATCCTGATATTAAAAAAAAAAATGACAAAAAGATGCACGACCCCACGGTTTCTTAATCCCAGGACGCCCTTCGGAACGGCATAATAATTTACAGTTGCGTCTTCACGATTGAAGATTTCTATATTCTTTGACGGTGTGTGTCTCTCTCTCTCGTTTCATCTTAGCCCCGTGGCCAAAATTCACATCCGCGGTATCTCGCCGGTCATCTCGCCTTTAGCGTCCCGAGATTAAAACGAACGATCGTTTTTACCGTGCAATTGTGCTCGACGTCCGTTCCTTCTTTCTTTTCCTTTTCTCTTTTTCACAGAACGGCCCTCAATTATCCTCAGGTAAATTATCTTCTGGAACAGTTACGTTATTAATACCGAGAACCGGATCGAGAATGTTTAATGTAATAACAGGTACTTTACCGCAGCGGCCGCTATGACAAGATAGAACGTAAGATTACAAGACATCAAGACGCACACTTTTGCTACCGTTGATTCTGTACGTTAGTGCTACCGCGTCGCGAGATAATCGCAGGATCGCTCATCGAAAAAAAGACAGATAAAACGGAAAACTTGTTACGAGGCGGTTCGGGAGAAAGGAGCGTGAGAGGCCGATTTCTTTTTCTGTCGGATAAAAAACGCGACGCCCGGAGAGACAGTTACCCGCCGTAATGTATGTAACCGCGCGCGCGAGGGGAAGAAAAAAAGAAGGAAAAAAAAGAAAGAAAAAGATCGGATCCGTTACGCGATCGCTCGCGGAACGCGACCGGAGGAAAATTATAATATCCCTCCACGAAACCACACGACATGCAAGCCAGAATCGTTTTCGCATATCCTCGCGGACATATAACAGGGCTAATTATGACCGTCCTGTGTTTGTGTTTACAGCTATATATGTCCCCCTACTATTCTAATAACACATATATATGTATATAAAAAAAAAACCGTGGCAAGAGGAAGAAGTGAAATTACCAATAAACAACACTTTGCGATCCGCGCGACAGATCTCGAGGATCGGCTTCGCCGGAGGACCGCGGCTCTTCGTTTTTCTCGCGTTTTTGTTGCGAACAGTGGAAGCCCGTTTATTGGCGTGGCAGTGCGTGAGGTATCTCTCCGAGGTCCATCCCTCGCGAGAATAAAGTCGGCGAGCTGCGTATCCTCCCGGCGAAGCCGATGCTCGATTCCCTGATACACCAAATCTATATCCATCCGTCTCAATGTGTGTGATCTCACCAACTACACTATCACAAAAGGTATTAGGCCGTAAGCCCAGCTTTGAAAGAGTAAATACCGCCGACACCACAGTTAAATCACAAGCCGCGAGAGCGTATACAGAGACGTTTTTTTTTTTTTTTTTTTAATTAATTCCGCTTTCTTCGCTCCCCGTTATCGTATACTCTCCAAAACCAAAGTCCGATTATTATTAATGCACATACTCGGTATACTAAGGTATTATCCGTCACACACGATGGAATTAGTGCTGGATCACATTCGTGTATGTGTGTACGTGGGCGTGATTATTAACGATATTATTGTACTAAATGCAGTGAACGCCATGTGTACGAAGGTGTGTGTGTGTGTATATATGCGCGCGATTTTCCCCAAATATAAAATAACAGGGCAAAACGGGTTTTATGTGCTTTGTTGTAGGGTCTGATTCACATATATTAACTTTCTAGTTATCAAAGCTTGTATGTTACAATCCTTTGAGAAAAAGAGATAGACGGAAAAGAGATAGATCCGCGACGAGGCCAACTACGAGCGAACTGTGTGATTCGTTCGCGAATAATATAATTAGTGACGAAATTTTATTTACACACAGATTGTAACATACATGCGCATAATAGATGCCACGTATTAAAGAATCTACCATACGTCCGAGAATTAGAACTTTAGAACATGTAACATTGGATGGAATGTCCATTTTATATTACTTAGTACTAATAAAATATTTCTAGCAAAATATATAAATCATTCTCATAAAAATATATGTATATACGCATACATATATGTATATAAGTGTGTATATATATATATATAAATGGATATTTCTGATAGTACCCACTTGTAGGCTTCTCTCAGAGACAATAAGCATTCTCGTTGGACAGTTTTTCACAGATACCAGTTAAATATCAGACATTAAAGTCATAAGTATCCAAAATTGCTTAAATAACATCATCATTGAAATACAAGATAGCACGAGCGACGTATTATTACGAAATCATATATTACATTAACAAAATTTTACAATGATTATTCTCATGGAAGGAAGAACTCACACAGACTTTAACATTTGATACGTTGAAATGCCTGTGATAAAAAATGTCCAGAGAATATTAATGTTCAAATAATTCCTGGCTTTCGGTAAAACCCAGAACTAATCTGCGTATACACTATGATAATTCTGAAACGCTCTGTATGTATATGTATATAAAAAGGAGCGCGTATGGATCATAGAATTTTGAGAGCTAGACAAATTACTTCGTGTTCACATTGCATTAGATAAGGCACTTGGTTACGCTCACGTGGAAGAGCGTTTTCTTCAATAGGTACTCCATGAACACGTAACTACGAACGAACGTATGCGCACGCCAAAAATGGAATTTTATATACCACTATCAGTACAGCTAACATGCTTACCGAAATTAGCTTTGCTGCCTAAATGCATTAGGATAAGAAAAGTAAACCGACTTGCGAGTTAAGTACCGTCGTGTAAGTAACGCCCGAATTTGTACCAAGCATTCCCAAATGTTAGGTACACTTCATCAGCTGGACAAACGTTGTAAATGACGTTCTGCCAGACTTGTACGGAATACGAAACGGAATGTCGTAGATATTCGCGAATAATTACAACGCTTACTCGCTAAGAATGTACATAAATCCGTCAAAAGTCGTATTGTCGTAACACGGCGATTCCCACGTAGCATGCGTACTTCCGCGCGAATAACAAGTTCTTGCGGAGAAACCGAGGCAATCGTTTCCGTTCTCCTTACGAGGAAGAGTCTATAAAAAGCTAGAGATTGACGCAGTGGCGCATCAGATCTGGGGATAAAACTGAGCTGGATAAGGGAAGCCCGGGGCTGCGGTTGGGGCTGGTGCGTGAAACGCCGCTGTTGGTGCGTGCCAAGCATGCGTACGTTTCGCGGCGACGCTACCCGCCGTCGCGTCGGCAGGGAAGGCGGCGTCCCACGTTCGCTTTAGACCCATTAACGCGGCCGGATTTAAGGTCTGCGCAGTCGGCATGATAGGCGCTAACAGCCCATGCGGCGCCGGTGCCCGCAAGAAGGGATAACGGGGATGATGGGGAACATTGAAGAACAAAAACGGCGTAGCCGCCGCAGCTGCCGCGGCCGCTGCTGCCGGATTTGTCTGTGGTGCGTGGAGAGCGGCCGCGACGGCAGCTGCCGCTGCCGCCGAGGGTCCTACCGCGTAGGGTATCTGGGCCGAATGGACCACCGGATTCGAGCTCGTTAGAGCTAGAGACTTGCTCGTGGCGGCGGCAGCGGCAGCGGCGGCGGCGACTGCCGAAGTGGGTGAATGGGTGGTCGAGGTAGGAGACGGATTCGATGCCAAGGCCATCAGCCATAGGTCCTGATTCCTGATAGCCTGCGCCTGGGCGGCCTGCGCTTGCGCCTGAGCCTGTGCTTGAACGGCCTGAGCGGCCTGGGCCTGCACCAGAGCGTGAATGTCCCACAGGGGTGGCGGTGGCGGCGGCGGCTGCGCGGTCGGTACCGGCACCGGCACCGGTGCTGGCGCAGACGGATGTGTGAAGGTCGCGGGGGACTGTGTGGTCAACGTACCGGGTGATAGGAGTGCCTTGGTCGACGGCGGTGTTACCGCACCTGTCAATACCAGATTCATGTCGTCGCCGCTGCACTGGAACACTTCGATGTATCGCTGCTTCTTGCCGTAGATCATGTACCGGTGATGCCGCTGGGTCGCACATGCGTATGCCGATGCCTCGCTGTCCATTTGGATAAATGCCTCGCCAGACGGTTGGCCCTGGTGAAATGATTACAGAATTGAAGATCAGAGAGAAACGAAATAAATAATTATCCGCACATAAAGTATAGTTGACCGAAACCTACCTGAGCATTATAAACCATGTGAACACCCTGGTAGACGATATTTTTAGAATGTTCACCCATAAACTCCAGAATGTGTTCGACGAGCGCCTCGTACGGTAAACCACGAAGTCTAACACAATCCTTGCGCGTACCGGACGTAATGATATGTTGAGGAAGCAAGGGTGGAAGTTGCGCGATAGGCGGTGGTGGTAGTATTACTTGCTTCGGATCTGTCGCCCTATTTAGGACCTGTACAAAATCGGAATTCAGGTAAAAATGCACGTTTCTTATCGTCTTGAGATTCACGTTCAGATCTACCTGTTGCACTTCCGCGGTTGTGCTTCGAAAAAGTTCTATATAGCGACTGCCGATGCAGTCTCTATGCTTGCTCAAGGCTTTCACCGCGTCCTCCTCCTTCGCAAATAACACGAAGGCGTCACCCGTCGCTCTGCCGTCCGGTTTCTTTACAAACAGCACACCGTCCTCGCCGTCCAACACTTGACACGGTTTTTGTCCGGATTGAAAAAATTCCAGCTATAAGGAAATCGCTGCTGGTGTATACAGTAGAAAAGTGATAGACGATACGTAATCGAGAAGCTCGTTATACGCAAATAAGATCTTAGATCATTAAACGAATTATGTACCACTTGTTTAGCAACACAATCATACGGCAAGCCCCTCATTCTAACGATGACTTGAGCCCCGCGTGACAGAAAAGCGTGTGCCTCCCCGCTCGTACCACCAGCAACGCCAACAAAATCCTCTCCGGAGGCCTTGTATACCTCTATGTATCGTGCACCCATGTGATGTTTATGCCGCTTCAGCGCCATGTCTCTGTGTTCTTTATTAATAAACCGTACCAATGCCTCGCCGTTACGCCTTCCCATAGGACTTAAACAAAGAGCTACACCACCCCTAAAAAAGTTATTACACCAATGTTAGCGTATAATCGTCGCGCAGCGACCAGCTCCTCTATTCGTAATTACGTCATTAGAAAATTCGTAAAGACAACAAAGATTAGGAACACTCTACGAGAATTTCTAATCTTTAGAATCGCAGTTATAGATCCGGTACAGCGTACAAGATCCATGATTCCAGAATATATAATGTTCGTCATTATGTACAACAGCTAATAAGCAAGTAGGAAGGTCTCCTCGAGATCGCGCTTATGTTATGTCAACGTAAGAGAGACTAGAATGACAGAAACCTAAGTGCGTCTAAGTGCGTTATAGAAATACTGGCTATCTCAGTTACCTGCTTCACGCAGATCCACGTGGCTTGTGCACAAATACCAAAAAGACAGTTAGAGAGACAATTAATTTATCTTGCTCGAGGCTCCCGTTAGTCGTATATATCGATTTTGCTTTACGTATCTGAGAATCACTTACTTGGCGACATTGAGTCCGCGAAAAAACTTGGCGATGTCCTGATCTGAGGATTGCCAAGGGAGACCGCGCGCTCTCACTACGCAATCATTGTCCACCTCCTCGTCCTTAGAGCTGAAGGCAAGTTAACGTATCGTTATTCGACAATAAATAATCCACAAATTGGATATACAAACAAACTATGTGTACGAAACTCATGAACTTACCATATACCGGGTTCCAGGACAATGTTAACCACCTCTGGATTCTTAAAAACGTGACCTGAAAATTAACGCACAATTATACACCGGTTATACTACAATAATTGGCGTACATTAATTAAAAATTAAATATTCATTAACTACTGCACTTCAAAGTGATCTGGAAGGTACAGCTCGGAGTCCAGAAGAGAAAGGAATGGAAGCCGAATGATTGTGTGACAAACGTGACGTGTAAGAAGCGTACACACACGCGCGCGCACGAAGATGAATGATGATTTAACCTCAGAAATCAATAAACGTTCTTCATCGATCGATTCGGGATCGATACTGTTCGCGAAGAGGCGATCCTTCGAGTAGTTCCCCTTCGACGAAATCGCCGATCGAAGCTGAGAACGCGAATCCACGTGAATCGAGAGGTATGTCCACCACGGAAGAGCGTGGGACGCGTCGCGTGTAAACAACGTGAACCATATGAACCACCGGTTAGCCCGTCGCACACGCGTATTCGCTTTCGCTTCGCTAGCTACACTTTCTGTACTCTCTTTCTCTTCTTTTTCCTCCTCTTCTTTCGATCTTCGCCGCTCGCCGGGCGGTATGCAAAAAAGTACGAAAAAAAATGCGACGAACTAATTTTCAGGATAGTCAAATCCGTCGGAAGCAAATTTTGCAGTGTCTAAATTCTGTCAACAGAATGTGAAGAAATGTAACAGAATCTGCTGACGGGGAATGTGATGACAGATTCACTGTCGAAACTGTCGAGCAGAATTTGTTTGAAATTTTAAAGAAAGACCATTTAAATTTTAAATGGTTACGAAGTAATAAATTTCTGGCGACTTTTAACATTTTGTTTACCGAATTCTGTTACGTGTTGCACAATTGCTATCGTAGAATTTTTAGATTACTATAATATATTCTCGAAGCTTTTTCGAAGTAATTCCCCATCAAATGATGCCTCAAGTATCATAATCTTAATATAATATTAAATCTTCTGCTATCCATGTTGAAACCTCATAAAGATAGGACGTAGTTTCTTAACTCTTTCGAAATCGTCCGACACTGTAATGATAAGACTTATATATCTATCTACCCCTTTCTCAATTACTGAATCTTATACAATTCTAATCCTCTTTTCTAGAAATTCTACATTTTCCTTTCCAAAGCGAATTAATATTTATTTTTGATATTTGAACGTTTTATTAGGAATTTATAGGTATACGTTGTATTATTTAATTATAATATTCATTATCTTACTGCCCTATTTTTTAATCTTTGTGGAGGTCCGAAAACCTTTCTTTCTTAATTCACGAAAATTTAACTTGCTCTAAGAAAATATATTTAACATCCGTTGCAAAATATGACACCGATTTCGAGACATTATAACGTCTCGCGGTCCTCTAAAGACTAAGCGACCCATCTCGAGCTCAGTTTTCGCCAGTAATTCATAATGAACGAACCCTCGACTCAGCGCATTACTGTAATCTCGCTTGCTTGAATAAGACTTGATCGAGAAAACAGTGTTTCACTTTTCCCAACACTCTAAAATATCACGCTCGTGCGTAACAGTGGGGCCGTGATTCAGCATACAAAATCTACACGAGGAGAAAAAAATGACCAGGACTGCCTCGCAAACCCGAGTATTATCGGCGACAATGCGCAATATGTCTTCTAAACTTGCGCTTATGCATTTCCTTTCCGTAACCCTATACCCGCCGGTTAGTCTCCGATTTCTCATACCTGCACGAAACGATCATTCGATTCGCGGCCTCGGCAAAATGTGCGCTGTCGACAAGTAGAAATTCGTTTCTTGTAAAATGCGAATCGATCGCTGTTTCCTTGTTTAGTCCCAAAAGTAAGCTTCGCACTTATCTGAAATTCTCGAGATGAGCATCAGAAAAATCGAAAGATTGAGAATATCGCTCATCAAAAATACCGTCTACATGATATATTTACCGAAATACGTATCCAAAAGTTTCTCAAATGAAATGAATCCTCTTATTTATCTTGTAATTTCGACGAGATCAAAAAATCACATTTTGCAAACATTCTTTCCAACTGTCATGCAACGAATCTGCGATAATTGTAACGAAAACTGAAGATCCGATCGTACAGAACCTTTTGAATTTAATCCAGCTGCACTGTTAAATTAATATTTAACATTTATATTTAATAATTTAATAATTAATTAATAAAAAAATAAAATTAATAATTAAAATTAAATTTTAATAAAGATGAAATTTGAACCAATATCTTGAGTTGAATAACATTATTTCGTTACTTTTAATAACCAACATGTGTGTCAAAATTTAATATTTTAACACAAAATAGTATTATTATAATAATAATTTAATTAAATTAACGACATATTGAGTAAGAGCAAAGGCAACTTACAAGAATGGTTAAAAATGACTCAAATTGAGTTTAATTTGACACTACGAATTTAACAGCGTGCACGGAGAAAATTTTATATTAAATTTTACTATGCTGTCGCACCACCTGCGGACCATCAAGACGCACAAGTTTAAATGCTATAGTTTTGTAGTAAAATTACTATGTCCATAGCATTTAATGCTACGATCATAGCATTCAATGGTATAATTATAGCATTAAATGCTATGATTGTAGCACTAAATGCTATGGACATAGTAATTTTACTATAAGACTATAGCATTTAAACTTGGGCGTCTTGATGGTCCGCAGCTAGTGCGACACCATAGTAATATTTACTATAAAATTTTCTCCGTGTGTATATAGTTACCGTAACTATTAAGCCCGTAGCGTTTCTGTCAATAGGGCAGACTGAAAGATGGAGCGATGTCAAAAACGAAATTCATCTTCCTCTCCTTTCTTCTCACGCGCGTATTATCACGATAACACGCGTTAACGCGCGTGTATTAACAAGTGTATTGGCTTTCCGCAGGTTGAGTATCACTGTAGATAAGAGAGCCGTTACGCTGTTTAGAACGTATGCCTGGCTTGACCTGCGCTCGCTTGCGAACTAGAAAGAGAATGTGCGTTCGTGTATAAGACAGTTAATCGATCAAAGACTGCTGAATCTCGAAACTCAAACGAGCTTTGTCCAACAGTGTGAGATCTCGAGAGAACGCACGACATTCCTCGCGAGATCGGCGAGCTTCTCCGGAGAGGAGAATGACTTGAGCTCGGAGGAAACTGGACTCCTTGACGAGAGCGACTTAATCAGCGGCGCAATCGCGACCTCCAAGGCCATCTCGTTGTCGAGCGTAAACATATTGCACATTATTTGGAGAAATCCGTACAGAAACGCCACACCATGCACGCGCCAGAGTTCTTATCTCTCTCACGAGAGAGAAAGAGATAGAAGCGAGAAGAAGAATATGCGCTGCCAAGTCCAAACATTTTAAGGACCAAGACCTTCTTCATCCGTTTCAGAAGGTTGATAAGATTCGTAATCTTCAGGATTATACGGATTACACCAACCGAATCTTGTTTTCCATTTTTTTCCCTCTAAATTTCGAGACGTCCGATATATTTTTCCTGAGCGCATTCCTCACGTCGGTAGATATGCATACTATAGCTGTAGAATTTCCGATATTTATTGGCTTACCGTCCTTGATCATCCTCTGTACCACGCTGACCATGTCCTGTATCTCTTTGACGTGAAAATCATTATCGGTATCTGGCGGCAGTCCGAAATCTGATTTTTAACTGTCAAGGAGAAATATGTGTTCGGGTAAACAATCAAATCTCGATTCTGATAACGCGAATCGAGAGGCAAAACGACTCGCTCACGATAAGTTCGTAAGAAAGGCGAAATTTTAAAGCGTAACTTCAAACTAGAGCTCCCGCGATCTTTGCGCCGTGCGCTGACTCAAATTTACCAGAAGTGGCAATCGTACGTGGCTCTTATTTTCAGGCGTGTCTCACGCGTCTCTCTTCTAGTCGTCAAACTATGCATTCCAATACGATTGTAAAATTTACGGTGAAAAAAAAAGAATGTATCTTATAATTGAATAGTCTTTGGAGAAAAAGGTCCGCCTTCTTTTAACGAAGTTATTAGAGAACGTATAAAAACGCAATCTGGAAAGATAAGACTTCGAAATAATCTGAGAATATAAAAAACAATAATTCATATAAATTAATGTACTTCATATCTTTCATGAGGTTTCCTTTTTCGTGCGCACTCCTCGATTATAAATGACATCGGTGCCACTCTGCATGTGACCCTAGCGATTATACAGACCTTACATAACGATAATGAGAGAGAGAAAAAGTATATACGTATAGTAATAGTATATAAATAAAATTTCCTGCGTATTTGATCGAGATACGTAGATTTTCTCGCGAGTACGACGTGAGTTAGAAACTTCGTGCGTGCCAGAGGCGGACGAGTGGAAGAACAGCAGTTTGGTAAACGATGTTACACCGATAGAGCGTAAACGAACGATACAAAGAACGTTCCATACTTCGTTGTTTATGAACTACAAATAAACGAGCGCTCTCATAATGACCAGGTAATACGCATATGACGTGTAAGCACGGATTACGTATAGAGATTGATATCGAGCACTTAATCGGAAACTAGGGCCGTCGAGGAAAAGAGGAAAGAAACATAATAATATATTTATATAAGCGTATACATATTTATATACACGTGACGTGACGTTCTCGCTCGTCACTGGCCTGTTACCGATATCTTCATCGCGGAGCTGACCTTTAAACCACGTCCCGATAAGACGGCATCGCCTCGCGGAGGTTTTCTCTCAAGTCATCTGGTCATTATTGATTGTAAAATGCGACGTTCCTTTTTCCTCGCTCACGATCTTTTCCACAGCCGCGAACGATCCGAAAATGTGCCCTATACTTGGGGCGCACGACGGGGGGAGAGACGTAGAAATCGAACCCGCATTCCGACACTCTTGAGAGAGACGAGGAAGAATATTTCACGCGTGCGAGTTCCTGAATGAATCGTCCATTCTCCCACTACGAACACGTTAATTCTGCTACGCACTTTTTGCCTAGAAACGACGATAAGATATAGTATTAGACCTCTAGTTCGATATAGGAAAAACTGGCCCTTTACATTCGTGATTCTCTTTTTATCTTAAGCTACAAACATAAGACGAAATATTAAAAATATTACACGTGCACTTGATAATATATTCATCCTTATCAGTGTCACTCGGGAACGAAAGTCTTTAATCGTGATAAAAGTAATGAAAAGACGTTAATTAGTATCAGTTAGATAAACGAGGACGGCAAAAAAATGCGATTCTGTGATATCACAAGTTCACAATTTTCAAGGAGATATTTAAAAAAAAATGAAATTAATGTTTAACTAACATTTATATAACACTGACATTGAATGCAAATGGCTAATCTACGATCAAATTTCCACTTTAACGTAAATCACGTCGAATGTGCAAATATCGCGAATCTGCACGAGTAGATATGCGCGTGTTCGTGAGAGGAATGTAGAGAACCGAAGTCCGGCTAATCTCGAACGCGGCTCGCATTGGAACAGGTGAACGAGTGAGTCGATCGATATGCATACATGCATATTCGTACACATATGTCTCAGACGGCGCAGGTGGTCTTGTTTTATTAGTGCCAGGTAGATACGGCACGACGCATGCTGGATATAAAAGGGAGACTGGCATCTGACGTGCATCGAGATCGGATTTGAAGACTGGAGCGACAGTCGTCTCATTCGGGCGCGCTTCTTATTACCTCTGACTTCTTGGAAATCTCTTCTCAACTTCGCGATTCAAATCTCCATTACAAATGGAAGTGCACTCGGCACAACGAGCACGATGTCCTCGCGTTGTCGTAGAACAGGAGTGAGATGAATCAAGAGAACCGGGAGACCGCATTACTATTCGCCGTTAGGACGCAAGTATCGAGATAAATTTCATCCGCGAATAAAATAAAGACGATAAGTCTTTATCGAATCAAACGTCACCTTTATAAATAAATAAAAATCGCGATTAATTTAATTAACATGTGGGATTAAAAAATCTCCTCGTATCAAGCTTGAGGCGCGGTTGATAACGGAATCTTATTTTTCAAACGACTCTTCGAATGCAATTTAATCAGATGTTCCAGTTATCTTTTCACCCCGGCCCGCAGGCAGACGCGGAACGAAAACGTACCTGTCCGCGGCTTCGATTCCGATTTAATTTAAGGCGCGTCAAGCCTTAAATTAAAGCTCAGGAAGAGTCCGTCACTCCAGAAGGTTTTGATCTTTTCTAATCCAATCCGCGACAATTCAGACACGTCGCAGATCAGGCAGAGACGGCCAGAGAATTCGTCACGATCGCGTTTGAGTCCGCGGATGGCAGCGACACGTGTGCTCGTACTCCGTACGACCGCAGAGACTACTCGCTACTGGCTCCGCTCGGGGCGGCCGATGCCGTCGTCGGGGATCGCGACGAGTGTTACTTCCGTCGCGCCGTCTGACGGCCACGCGACGCGAAGGTCCCCGACGTGGAAATTCACAGGCGGCCACGGACACGTGGGTGAATTTCTTCGTCGGACGTGCCCGTGTCGGCGTTAGGCCGCTTAAGTTCGAACACGAGACTGCCATACCATTCTACGGCCGGGCACCGTTACCGATACATCATGGGCGAGGACGTGCGCATTTGCATTAGCATACAATACCGCGTGAGATTCCTTAACTGGCACAGCACACTTTGGAGTACGGACTGCTCCGAGCGAGATTTTATTCGACCACGGCCGATTCTTCCGTGAAGAAATTGAGGATCTAATCTGAGGGGCGCGATAGATCGCTTTTCGGAGGTAATTGTTGTCTGAGAATAGCAACGGGTTAAAGAGATCGTTAGCTAAAATAAATTGTCCCACAATTTCCTTGATATCCTCTAAATCGAAGACGAGAAAATTCATATCGAAAAATCGCAATAAAATTTCTGATATGTGTATGAATAAATTGTTAAATTGGTCGCATGCAGTGGCACTGATGTCAAAGATAACGTTACAAATTGTAGACGGAACGAAAAAGAAAAAGAGACTAAAAATGTGTAAAAAGACACGACATAGGAAACATATACGCAACGAAATCAGCACGACGACCGATGACAGTTTTTACGTAAGCGTGGAAAGGATACATTGCAGCATCTCTTGCACTCCGAGGGTCGATAACTCCCCGTGAGACGAGTAGCACTCTACGAAATCCTTCCGAAGATCGTGGAAGTAGTTGTAATGTTCCGGCAGCTCGATGTCCTTGTTGCAAGCCTCCGGATGCAGACACTGCCTCATCGGCGCCTGGCCGTCCACGACGAATCGCGGCTTAACACCGGAAGTTACGCCAGACACGGAGCTCCACCAGGTCTCAAACTTGAAATAGAAATAAGACATCGATATTGGATGTGCAGTTAGATTATTTTATCGTTATTATATAATCCCTTGAGAATATTGTTGACGAATATCTCGCGCGACATATCAGCAATCGATACATGTATAATATCTTCAAAAGAAAGATAAATTTCAGCTTTCAAAATACTTCAAATATTCCGCGATTTTCATATTTTTGGCGCAATTTCTTATATAACTTACTAATAATGACTGATATAACTTATTCTTATATTCTTCTTTCTTATTCTGCGTGTTTTGATGTTGTAATTATAATCGTACTATGTGCACTAAAAGGATCTCCTTTAATCACGTTTATTTATACATAAATAAATAAATAATGTCTTGGTCGAAAGGCATTGCACTTTTGATGCCAAACAAATACTTTTTGCTAAAATTTCGCTCAAGGGATTATCTTTTAACCAAAGTCTCCTGAAATATTCATATCTTTATTTCTCAATAGACAAGAAATGATGAGCAAACTTGTCTTTTCTATTAACTTTCCTTTAGCAATCTCTCGATAAATAATGAAAATTTCTATTCGTCGAGCATTTCAAATAGCCTGTGGCTCTTTAATTAACTTTTCAATGAATATCTCAGATCCGTTTCATTTTCGTCGATATAAGGGGCACCTTTTCGATAGCCTGCTGCAGAGGAATCCCGTACTCCCGGAGGTTTCGCTCGGTCAAGGCTGGCGCGTGTGCCAGCGCGGCCTCGCTAATGATCCCGCTACTTCCGGCAATCGCTGGGTTCTCGCTGCCGGTCCCGGGCGTGCAACTCTCCTCCATTACCATCGGTCGCACGATGTACTGCTGCCTGCCCAGCACCTGCAAAAAGAATCGTGCCCGAGTTCGTGAGGAAGCGACGCCGTGGCAAAAAAACTCCTTCGAGCGGCGAGGCTGTTGCTATGCGGCGCTCGAAAGACGCAATCAATTACTTATATTCCACGCGCAGCACAACGGGGAGAGACGCAACCGACGCAACTTAAATTTTATCTGATATCGGACGGCGCGGGTGAACAAAAGCGGGGCGACGACGTACGCTTTCGCTTCCGTGCTTATCGAGGCGAGTCGCGAAGTACGAGGCAGAAAAAAATACGCGAACGCGAGCCGCTTCCGCGCTCAAAGTCGAAACACTCGCCGCGCGAAAGTAAATGTTATGAAAAATGTTATTGCGAAAGGAAAACGAGCGACGCGCGGATTGTGCGTTACAACACTTCGCGCGACTGCATTAGGTCCCATCTGTCCTAACCATTCGTGCGGGATAAGATTCGTAGTAAGAGAAAAGAATCGTCTTTGTGAAACGAGCATGTTTTTGCCTCGTTTTTACTTCGTTAGACGGTTCCGTTTTATTTCCACCCGCAGATGTGAATAAAAATTGGACTCATCAACTTTTAGACTTATGACGTAGTTTGGGCACAATGTCATAATTACAGAGATTTTTTGTGAGTCTACTATATTACAAAGTCCACTAATTATTAAATACTAGAGGATTTAATAATTAGTATGACTCTTTAGACTTCAAATAAATGATCAATTACTAAATATTAAAGGATGAAATTCAAAACAATACCTTGAGTTAAATAACATTTTATTTTTAACTACCAATGCGTCGAAATCTATTATTTTAACGCGAAACAGTATTATTTTAACTCTATTGGTTTAGTTAAATTAACGACATTTTTTAAAGGAGCAATGGACATGTAGAAACGGTTAAAAATGACTCAAATTGAATATAATTTGACAGTGCGAATTTAACAGTGCATGGCTCTAATTTACATTTTGAAAAAGATCAAAATCCTTGGTCGAAACGTTATAAATTTTATTCAATAAACTTGGCCAGTTAGGCCGAGAGATTAAAATTCACTTCCGTGAATAAAAATCTCAGCGATCGCACACGATCGGCGTTCCATTTCGTTATCGCTACGTGTTTGTTACGTCCCCGCACCGCTCCTCGTCGCAAGCGTTACTTACAGTTACTCGACTTTAATCCATAAACATACGACCCGATACGAATAAAATCCGAACGATTACGCGAAGAGACACGTTCCGTTTTGTTATCGTCGCATGTTTCGCTCTTTCTTCCTCCCGTTTGCAGAAATATGCTCTGTTGAAACATTCCGAAGGGGGACGAGAGGGGGATCCGGGCAGATTCTTTTCGATCGAAACGCAGAACCGGACGGTCGGGGACCGGGGTCTACGACAGCGCGGTCAAGGTCACGAGCACCTTGAACCTGACCCGTGCGTTTTCTCGTGCATCGATAATGCATCGCGATTAGCGGTGTTAACGCCTAGATGCGCCTGCGACGAGACCGATGCGTTTCCGCCGCAGCTGCAATGATTGCATATCGGAAGGGGCAGCTGGAGGTGCATCGGTGCCCCGACAGCTTGGAATAGTGATAATGGGCATAATTGCACCGGCGCTGCTAGCTATACATTTTTTGGAGGAACGTTGAAAGTTAAAAAGAGTTTCCTTAATTTGATTGTAAAAAAAAAGGTTTTTTTTACAATCAGGTTACACGTTACACAAGCTACATGATGATATTTCAATGTCGAGAGCAAAAATGAGTTGCTTATAATTAAGTAATTAAAACGTTACGCGAAATTATAGCTATTGGTTCAGGATCTCGCACGTATAAAAAGAAGCAGAACAATAGAGAATCGTAAATCGTCGAATGGGCTATTCAGACTTCTTTCTTCAACTAATAATGAGAAAAGAAATCGCGAGGCCGAACGAAAGGCCACCGAGCGAAGGAAATATTACAAAACGTTACTTCAAGACGTCAAGACAGTCTCTGATGATAAAGAGATTCTCTAAATTTGCTATTTTTTACACCGCAAAATTTCGCATCCCGCGTTGTTACTGTAAATAAATAAAAATGTATATTCGAGAATTCCCAGGCTAATTCCGTTTCTCGGAAATCGATCAACGCGTAATGCCTTACTGTTAAATATTAAAGGATGAAATTGATTAACGACATATTGAGTAGGAGCAGTGGCGACCTACAGGAATGGTTAAAAATTACTGAAAGAGAGAAATAGTATAATTTGACACTGCGAATTTAATAATGTTCTGATGATTTCAGTTTTATGCGAATTTTTTTTCCAAATTTCGAAGGAACCTGAGACCTCTTATCGCAGCATCAAATCTTTCGAATCGTCTTGCAAGACTAGTGCGACAAAGTTTGCAACATGCACGTCATGTTTTAATTCTGACGTGGTCTAACGACGCGACGCGGTCTTCGAAGAACGAATGGACAAAGTACGAAAGCCCCTCGACCTTGCTGAGCCCGCATATCTTTTATGCAGGTATACACGTGAGTACTAAATCAGCATAAACATATACGAATGATAATACGTATGTCTCCGATGATTACCATGTGCTCCGATGTACAGAATGTCTTAAAATTACCGTCGCTATTAATAGTGAGTATAATAATAGCTACCAATACTAACAATAAGAGTAATAATAACAATGACGCTAGCGCCTCGAAAGCAGTTACGAAGTCATTTTCCGAAAATAATTTTCCGCGATAACTCGCGGAGACGCGCGGGAAAAGCTTATCGCGCGGACTTTTGCGCGCGTTTAAGCTTTCCTTTATGTATTTATTTGTGTCTTGGTTTACGTCACGCAATCACGTTCAACCTATAGTTATATTCTTATCGCGCCGCGACTTCTTCAAATTTAAGAATATATTCGGACGTTAATGTAAACATCGCAGTGAATTCGGTGTTAACCCGGATTATGCTCACCGTCCTTAGAACTATCGATGATTAATTTCCGCTAATTAATTATAGTATATCTTTGAAAGAAAGGATGAAGAGAAAAAGTAAATCGATCAATTTAATCATTTATACATAACTATAAAAGTCACGAAAATCTCAGAAAGTGTCCCAATAAAATCGATTAATTTTGCGATTAAAATTAAATGATTGTAATTTAAAAAAATTATTTTTACTGCTTTGGTCACATTATTAAATTCGTGTCAAATTATACTCAATTTGAGTAATTTTTAACCACTGTTGTAGGTTGCTCTGCTCCTACTCGATATAGCGTTACTAAACTAATGAAGTTAAAATAATATCTACTGTTTTGTGAAAATAATAAATTTCGACACGCATGGTAGTTAAAAATAACAAAATGTTATTTAACTTAAAGTATTGGCTTGAATTTCATCTTTTAATATTCAACAGTGTAGTTGCAGGTCTAACTTGTATCGAGATCTGTTAGATATGTGACTTCCTGTTAATCTTTTATCCAATCCTCCCTTTAATCGCCCAAAAAACTTTCGAATAGCACAAAATCAACGCGCAGACAAATAGTCGAACGTATAATTCAGCTATATTTCTATTTCCAGCGCTTCAAATTGCGCAGCTTTTAATATAAATCCTAATTTTTATTCATAGAGATATGAGTATTGGAATATTTATAACTCTATTCGCGTTCTACAGCTCGCGACGACGTATGTTCGTGCAAGAAATATAATAGGCAGGTTCTTTGACGCGCGGGGTTAACAGATCAAGGTGGTTCTGCCGGAGGCACTATTTATCATCGCAACATTCGCAACCGCGCAGCGCGGATCAAGCGTCTTCGAATGATGCCGCGTCGATGAAAAGCCGTGGCGCAATACGAGAAGGATCTCTTTCTCTCTCTCTCTCTCTCTCACCGAGCATTACGTAAATATAACTTGCTCCTTCGACCGGCCTTCGTCGCTGCGCGAGATCCTTTTTGCACGCACGCGACAGGAATAACTTACCGAAAAACCGCGGAGCCGGTCCCGCTTTCTCGGAAGCTCGCGGGAGAAGGACGTGCGTTTGTTTCAAACTGCATAGAAAGAAGGTTCCGCGAATATCCTTTGGAATTCTTAAACGGCGAAACGGTGCGCGAATTCGAAAAGACGCGAATCGTAATCGCGGTTTGTTTTTGAGAAGATTATACAAACGATGCGTTTTTCCTCGATAATTATAGCCATCAATTTCGGTAGGTTTTCGCAAACCTCGCGTTATCAGAGATAATCTTCGATTCGTCTCAATATGAAACTCGCCGTTCGTTCCCATAACTTTCGAGAAAAGTTAATTGTAAGAAGAAACGACGTTTGTTTTACATACTTGACAGTAAATACTATTACTGGTATTATACCAAATACCAAATCCAAAAACTAAATACTGAATACTAAATACTATAAATATTAAATATATATTACTAATTATGCTGTAAATACTATTACTAAATAAATACTACTAAATACTATTAACAAACGAGCTTAATTTCGTACTCGAGCGTCTTCCGGATCCGATGCACAAGAAAGACAAGAGCTTTCCGAAGGACGAGGGTTCAATGAACGAAAGAGTATTCCACCAATACTATCACCTCCAAGCTGTAGCGAATGGCGCTGAAACCGTGGCACGCGCCGTGCGGAGAAAACAAAGTAGAAAATAGGGGGAAAAAAAAGGAGGAAAAGGAGAGCAGAAGAGAAATCGGCGGGGCGAGAGTGGCGGCGACGTATAACGTTCTCTCCTTCTTCGTTTTGCCGACGACGAGGATGTTGCAACCGTATATAAAACCCGCCGCGGTTGTATACAAGGTCGAATCAAACGTTATACACGCGAAGTACTCTCATAAATTGCAAATGCACCGGTCAAACTGCGACGTTGCGGGATCGCGGTGAGGTGAAGTCCGGGAGGGTCAAAGGTCCCGCTTCGGGAGACGACAAGAATATCCGTCCTCCTCGTCGAGAGAGAGAGAGAGAAAGAGAGAGAGAGAAGAGGGGCAGAGGGAACGAGAAGACAAATGGGAATGCAAACGTGACGAGTTACGTAATTCGACG